GACAAAATATCGTATCCCACGCTTTTTTTTATAATCAAATAATATAACTCATATATATTTATGTTTAATCCTTTAAATTTTACTGGTGTTTAGCTAAAGGGAAGGTACGGGGCCAATCCTTTAGGATGGGATGACGGCGTTTTATTTTATAGAAGAATAAAAATTATTCCATTCTTTTTTATCAAAAGTATGTTTGATTTTAAGCTGAATCAGTATGTTCTTAATAATATATTATTATAATAGCCTTGAAGAGTTTTGCATAAGGTTCTGTAGGCAGAAAAAAAAACCAATTCTCAGGATTAATTAGTTTTTTTAATACTTGCCCAAGGATTGGTATGATTATTATCGTAATCCTCAATTCGATTTCAAAATTCAAATAATTTTTTCATCAAAACACATTTATGTATCTACCAGTAGATTTATATCTGCATTTTGGCAATCCCACAAAGCCATCAACGGATGTTTGATAAACTCCTTTACTAGTCATACCGTTTGAGGACAAGAGTAGCCCGTATCAATGAGCGGATACGATCGGCTTTAGATTTAGAAGACATACCGGGTCCTCTGTGTAAGAGGGATGCCGATTACCCTGCAGAGGCTTATAATGAGCTTCGGGAGATTGAGGGAAAGTTCCTCAAATCCATTTTTTAAAGATCTTTTTAGTGGAGGAAGTTTTACTTTAAGTTATTAACCCTAGAATGCCTCTTCTCCTTCTGTGCTCCTAGTTCAAGTTGTTAAGGCAGTTTCAAGTGGAGAAAAGAAGAAAGTATCTAAAAAACTATTGTAAGTTTTTAAAATCTTGTATTTTATATTTTGTAAGTTAAATAAAGTTTGTATTTTTATTATAAACTGCTGACGAATATAATAAGTCCGTATGTTTTACGGCAACCTTTCTCTCTTCCCTCCCACACCTTCTGGACTTAATTCTTGGGGATCCCAGGTTAAGTGCTGCAGGAACCACTAAACCTTAATAAAATAAAGTTAATTAAAATTGGTTGAGTTGATTGACAAAAAAATTATTTGGTAAATTTGATTTTGTTTGTGATAAGTATTGCTCTGTGCAATGCAGCTTAGTCTGATCTTCCACATAAGAAAATTGTTTAAATTGTATTGTTGATTTTGATGAATTTATATTAAGATATTGCATATAAACCCAATTAATCATAGTATTTTAGTTCAAACAGTTATGATTTATCTTTAAATATTTGTATTGCTGTATTTATTTAAATCCTAGTAATAATCTTAGTGCTATACATATATATGGATTTTTATTTAAAAATTCAAATCTTAAAAATCTTTATTATTTGTTGTTTTCTCTTTGTGATAAAAAATTAAAAAGGGCATATCTCTTTAAAGTCGTGTCATTATTATTTTCAAAGTCATAAGTCATTTGTTTTTATAAGTCGTTTAAGTCTTTGTTAGGTCTTTTGTTTTGCTTTGTAACGTGACGGTTTTTGTGTTAAATTCACAGTCTTTAGTCTTTTAAGTTTCTTAAGTCATTTTTGTTAAAGTTCTTTTAGTCTTTTAGTTCTTTGAATTCCTACTGAACTCTTTTAAATAAACGGTCCTTTAAAGGGATTACTTTAACCATGAGAAGGTTAAATACTAGTATTCTTGCAAGTAGTAAGAGACGCTAAGATTTTTTTAAATTATTCAACAATTCGTTCATTAGGATCAGTTGAGACTAGCTTAAGTGAAGAACCGATCTCACTTTTGAGGGTCTTATTCCAGATATGACTGTCTCGATTAAATGATTTTAAATAATTTTTAAAAAAGATATAGTTAATAATATTATATAATATATATATTATAATATATATATAATATATATAATATATATCACAAAATACTATATCCAAATACTTATGAATAAATTTTTTTACAATATATCTTTTACTTTTGATAATATTTTTAGGCTGAGATTAGAAAAAAAAAAAAAAATTTGTCTAAAACAATATGAATGAGCATTATATATGATGAATGCGAGACCCACTTCCGGATGTAAGAAACAAAACATAGTAAGTTCTGTTCAATAATTCTCTGAACGAAGGACCCCTTTTGATGGAAGACTTCACCTAATAAAGCTTCCTCCTTAGGCCCATGGATTATGATTTTAAAATTTGATATTTTTTTTTTTTAAAAAAATTAAAACTTAAATTATATTCATATCCAATTACATATTATTTTCAACACATAGAGAAAAAGGGGGAAAAAATACAAAATAAGTATGTGTCATAAGATTTGGCAATTACTAAACATTGATATTTTATTTTTATATGTAATAAAAAAGATAATCTATAATTAATATATATAATAATATAATATATGATATTTAGAAAAAAAATTTCAATCCCAGCTGGATGGGAAATTCTTGAAGCCCATGGCACCATTGGAGATTTTTTTTTTTTTTTTTAAATTGTAAAGGACTTTTAGATGTCACAGATTGATTGAATTTCAAAAAAAATATTTTCTCCACCTCGGTGACCATTAAAGTTAATATTAATTTAAGGTATAATTAATAAAATATTTATTATTGAGTAATTATGAGAAGCTAGCTATATAATATTATATTAAACAGATTTAGAAAAATTTCAATGCCCACTTATGGGAAATTCTGAAGCCCAATGGCACCATATGGAGATTTTTTTTTTTAAATTGTAAAGACTTAGATGTCTACAGTTGATTGAATTTCAAAAAAATATTTCTCCCCGGTGACATAAATGTTAATATTTTAATTTTAAGGTATAATAAATAAATATTTATTTATTGAGTAATTATGAGAAGCTTAGCTATATATATATATAAACAGAGCAGTTTGCATTATATGTAAGCCAATTATAAGTATTTGAAATTGTTAAGTACGAGAAAGACGATAATTATTTAGCACTGTTTTAAAAAGATAAGGTATAATGACAGCAATTGTAAGAAGATAAGTTGTTTTATATTTTTAGATAATGTCTTTATCAATGATAATATCTATTAGTTACATCCTATCAAGATAATGCATTAAAATACAAATAACACAAGCTATAAAATAAGAAATATTTAATTTATACAAGAGTTAGGTTGCACGGATACAGGACACGAGATGCGGAACGTAAGAGATATATGATAATAAATAACAATCATTTATAATAAAAAAAACTTAATTTTTTATGTTAATATAATTAGTTTAAATTAAAATTAAAATAATATATACATAACTCAAACTATAAAATAAAAAAATTATTTAATTTCTTATCTTAATGATGACCTTGATGTATAGGATAGTCTTATATACGAAAAATAGGTTGCACGGATACGGGATACGAGATACGAGAATGTATAAGATAGGACAATAAATAAATAATCATTTATAATAAATGTATGCAAAAATAAGTCGCCGAACACACAAAATAAATGGATTAGGGTTGAGGTTAAACGAGTCACTCATTTATGACAAAAATATAAACATGTTGTCACGGGTTGACACATGAGTTAGGCGAGTAACCCGTTTATTTAAGAGTAAAGAGGTCATTTTAATAGTAGATATAAATACTTCAACTAAAACCTATTTAAATTTTATCGTTAGATTGCTTTTTTATTTTAATTATAAATCTTGAATAATTTATGCGTTTTACGTGTGAAATTTTATTTTTAAATATGATTGGAGTTAAATATGTTAAAAATTAAAAAATACTATAAGCAGGTTAAGTGAGGGGTATATAGATCAATTCATCCACTTAACTTATTTATGATATTAAGCGCGTGACACGAGTTGTATATGGGTCAGTACGACCCACTTAACCTGTTTATGATTTTAAATAAGATAAACGTGTTGTATTCATATCGACCGTCTAATTTTCGTGTTATATTTATGTTGAAGTTATAAAATTTTAGTTTTAAATATTGTTCGCGGATTCTAACACTAGTTATCTAATAAAAAATAAATAATTTTAGGGTAAAAAAAAAAAATGAAAGACTGAAAAATAAAAAAAAAAGAGTGCCCACTGATTCCAACTCAACTCAGTCACTCTCACGACCTAAAATGGACACTCCAGTCTAATGGACGTGTACAACTACAAGTAAGCAATAACTTTACATCTTTTAGTTGGATGGTGATGATGATGATGATTACTACAATCCATTACACGTGGCATATTTCGTGGACCCTCCCCGATAAAGTGGTCCCATTTGATGATGCAAACCATTATTCAGACCTCAATGCTTCTCATTCTTCCTTTTCTTCCACCACTTATTGTTTTCGATTGATTCTTTTTCCAATTTTTTTGGTATCTATCACGTTGTACTTCTTATCTTTCATTGCCATTAATTCGCAATTAGATTTTTTTTTTAATTGGACCTTATGCTATTAGAGAAATTTTAATCATTAAAATAAACTTTTTTTTTATTCAATACTCAAAACATTGGGGTTTATATCAAAATTAACTATGACAATCATTACTTACGGATTGTAGCTCAATTAACAATACAGACTAAACATGTAAGAAGAGCTATAAAATACTATTCCCACTGAACATACAGGCAAAGAAGGGGACATGATATATCCAAGATCTAAAAATCATGGCACCTAGTGATATTGATGCTTCCGTATAATTAGTGCTTTGAAGGATAAGAAAACGAAATGACATTGCCATATATACATTGCAGCCATTTTTTCCCCTACCACAAGTTCTCATACGTGCAAGGAAAGTGAGACGAGAAAGGTACCATTACCGTAGATTGTGACCTTAGTAGATATATCGTATCATATACCGTGCTGCACACATATGGAAGAATATATCGGAATATTTGATTTAAAATCTTGTTTGGTATAAATAAATTTTATAAACTTTTGTAAAATTTAATTGAATTTTTTTTTTATTTTTAATAGAAAAAGCTAACTTTGTACAAGAGTTCAATTTTATACGAAATTCGACATGCTTGATGCTAAATTTTATTTTTTATAAATGAGTCGTATCAAAGAAAATTCGGCACACAATATTAAAAAACAAAAAGGGAAAAAAAAAATAAATTCCATATTTGGTTGTACGTTTGGTATACATTGTAATGGGGCCTAATGACAAAACTGATGAAGGTTTTGTAGGTTACAGAATAGCGAAATATTTTGAAGCAGAACTTCACCAGTGGATTCCAATGAAAAAGGCTACTAAAAGCAAATATGCAAAAGTTGTACAATTTCTGAATTTGTTTGCTAAGTTTCATAGAGGCCACAATTGGTGGCCAATGACAACAAATTACAAACAATAACTTAAGAGAGATTTTCAAGTGACTAAATATTGATTAAACCATGTATGTCATACCAACTTGCATGATGTTCATGTGAGGTACTAGCATTGTTGCAGCACCACCTCTGCAATTCCTCCTCAAGAATGAGTAGAGGTAGTTAATTACCAGTTTCTTGAGGAAAAGAGAATCTTTCCTTGCTCTTACATCTGAATGAGCAAGTAGATAAGTAAATCCTGAATCCTTGGCTTCTCGAAGGGCTGCAAGCTCGTACTCTAAACTTGGGTCTTCATCTGTTGACATGGCACTTGCAGGCAATGCTGAGGAAGATTCTGATGCCATTGAAGTTGCCATTTTTTCCATCAATGGAATCCTTAGCTCCTCTGTTCCACCTCCGGCTTGGACTCCGGAATTCGTTGACCTCACTGAAATGCTATCCGAATCCAACTCATTCAAATTGGTCTCCAAAGCAAGATCTTGAGCCTCCCTCTGCAAGAACTTCTCGAGGCTTTCAACCAAAAGTTGCTCGAATGCATGGTGATCTTCCTTACGGACATCTTTATAACCATACCGAGCAATGCAACGAAACATATGGTAGTCTTTTGGGCAAACTCGCCGAAAAAGAAACCTTTCTTCTTGAGGAACTACAGGGACAGGGACATACTTGATGCAAACAAAAACTATAGTAGAGTGGATTGCTGGAAGGCTCAATAGGAACTGTACAAAGATTGAAGGAACACCTTGGACAAGCTCATTGTATAGCAATCCAATTCCAGGAACTCGAACGGTCCCCAAGGTCGAACCAAGCTCGAGCATGAAGTCCATTGAAATCTTCTCCCTTACCTCACTTTGATATTTCAACACACTCCCATAGTTCCAAATGTACATCACAGTGAGGAAAACACTAGCAAAGGCAAGTGGAAGCCATCCACCCTCTTTGATTTTTGACAGAACAGCAGACAAGTAGATGAGTTCTACTGACCCAAAAATGAGTGGGAAACATATAGCCAGAAACAAATTAGTCTGCCAGATTAGAAGCATTACAAGTGTCACTAAGGTGGTGCTCACAATCATCACACCAACCTCAGCTATGCCTGCAAGAACGACGTGAATTCAATTAGGAATACTTACTATTAAGAACTACTAAATGGAGGATTTAATATGCACTTGGCATACCCTATGTCATTAACTTCTATTAAAGTCTTAAAATTTTCTTTTTGGGTTAAATAGGCTCCAACTCAGGGGTTTGAACTTGCGATCTTATAATCTTAAGACAATTAATAGCACTAAGTTAAAACTCATTGATTTACAACTATGTAAGATTTACGATATTTCAGAATGCATGTAAGAGACTGCTTTCTAGGATGATGAAGGAAGAACATGCTTAACCGTATGCATTAGCGATATCTGTAGTGCTCCGGAAGATTGAAACCACAACTATGCACATAACCATTAAAAAGTAATTGATAACAGGGATGTAGATTTGACCCATCCGCTTCCTTGAGGTGTGAACTATCTTCAGTCTTGGGAAGCATCCAAGAGCCATAGATTGCTTCACACATGAAAATGTAGCAGAAATCATTGCTTGGCTGGCAATCATGGCAGCAAGGGTAGCTATGACAAAGACTGGCCAGAACAGGCTACCTGTTTTAATAAGATTCAGGAATTGAACCCGTTAAGATGAGCTCAAAACAATTGTCACCTGGCACATTTTAATGGTACCTTTAATAGTTCATCTTTAATGAAAAAGACATCAGCAAATACTGCAATGGAAAATGTCACCTGGCACAGAATCATAGAATATTCTTCCTGAAGATTCAGGGTGTTTCATTAAATATGAAGCCTGGCCCATGTAAGCTAGGAGAAGACAAGGAAATACTACACCAGAGAAGGCAATCTGTGGAAGCAGTGAAGAATAACTGAGAATCCATGGGGCAAGTCTTGAAGAACAAAATAAAATGAAGATAAGAATAACAAACCTGTATGGCTTTAACAGAGAAATGCCCCAAATCAGCGAACATTGCTTCAGCTCCTGCAATGAACGATAAATACGTTGACACAAAATAAGTGTCTTTTCTTTCCTAAAACGTATAGGAAACCTCAGATAAGTGTTGAAATGATTGTTTGGTTCCCAAGAACCTTTTTTCCGATGAGGAATCAACTAAAATTAGTATGCAAATAAGAATTTCACCAAAACATTGGTATGCAAGAAAATATTTGCAGATTTGAGTATAAGAGGGATTAATTACCATAATCAAATTTAAAGTTGCCCTAACAGCAAAGATCACAATGGATGATAAATTATTAAATACAAAATGAGGGCTCCCTACAAACTGTTGTGAGTAGGACAACACAGGAAAGAAAAACAAGGGGATGAAAGATGTCCTGTAAGAAGACATCTCATAAAAAAGAGAAGCTAAGGATGATGAGAATATGAAAATCTACCAGTTGTACTCCTGGTTTAAGTCAAGATGTACCTGTAATGCACAGAACACAACCACCAAGAGCTGACCATGCGTCGACACTGTTCTTCTTGAAGAAGAGATAGATATAAGTTGGATTGAGTGCCCTCAAGACACTAATATCGTGTGTCACTAAATTGTAAAGTCCAATAGAAGCCAAAGAGAAGAACCACAAAGCAAGTACTGGAGCAAACAGGAAACTCACTTTCCCAGTCCCAAACCGCTGTATACTGAACAAAGCCACGAGGACAACGATCGAGACAACAACCAGTGCAGCTGCAGACAAGTCATGTTATAGGCATTAATGAGTGCAAAATTTCTTCATTTATTGTTGTTCATCTCACTAACAATTCCTAGAAGGAAAGTAAAAAAAAACAATTAATAGTTTATAGCCCAAAATAGCATGGATTGGGTTATGTCTTTTTAGTTAAAACTTAAAATACTAGAGGCTAATTAGCTTATCCAAGCAATCCAGTGAATTCGTACTTAAAAACACCTCAGGCTCACGCTAGTGCAATCAGATTTATATATAAACTGCAACTACGACCCAAGCTAGCTTCCACATCTATTAACAAATAACAACAGTCAATTGTCAAAACCTTGCATAGGGATGTTTCCTTGTACAAACATTCCAATTATTTTATTTCTTTTCGACAAGACATCTGCAGCCAATGGATCATTTTATACATATTAAAAAGTCCAATGAGAAGAAAGATACCTACTTGTGCCAAATCCAGGTATTTCACCCTGCAGACCGCTTATAGCAGACATCACTGCAACAAATAAAGTCGTACTTAAATGTTAGTTTTCATCTCATGAATCTAATATTTGACGTCATTCAACAAATGCATCAGTATGAGGCTGCCCACTGTTGCAATTCCAGGAAGCTGGGAATTGGGAATTCCACTTTTTTGAGACATATTGCAGCAGATACAGTGTGCCAATAAACAAGTTGAAAAAGCCATTGCCCCTAATGCAAAACTTAAAACTGTACACAAATCAACAACGAGAAGAATACCCTAAGGGTTTTTCCTTTAGACTCTCAACTTGGAGGTTTCATCATTATTATGGTTTGTTCTTTACAATATCTCCATTACGTGAAGGCCCACTGGTTATCCACTGAATCAGAAAACAAGAAGAACAAGAATATTATGGAATGAGTAATAACACTCCTGCATCAGATAGACAGGCATGTCAAATTTCTATCACTAGACATGCAAGTCAAATGACAATAATTCTGATAGAATTTTAATTTATGATTATACAGAGTTCCTGGTTTATCCACTGGTCATCTAGTCAGTTCATTACACAAGCATATCTGCAAACAATCCTCGTAAATAAAAGGTTGGAGAGGCTGAATCAAGAGAAACATCTATGTCTATAGAGGTGTCAAGATTTCCAGAATTGTTAGTGAAAGTACAAGAAAAAAAAGGAGATGGAAGGGGACAAAAACAGAGGAACATAAGGAAGAACTATTAGTGAAGCTGTGATTCTCCGTTAGCAGGAATAGAATCTGTATATGTTAATTTATTAAGCTGAGTTTACGGAAGTACATATAGTCTAGCTTTCCAACAGAAAGACTACTCAAACCAATAATCATACGCATGAATATAAGATACAGATTAATATTATACACTTGCATATATGAGGTTATCAAAAACTATAAGCTTTTGATAAGATACACAATCATTATAAGATTTGTTCTTAAAAGGTAGTAGCTTGAACCCTTTGAGACTTCACAGAAATATATGCATAAACCTTCAGACCTCTTTGGAAATCCCTAACTATTAGGGGACAATACTGAAATTCTTGAAAATTATATCGTCTGGATGGTGAATAGCTGGTCAAATTCAGATTTCAGACAGCTTTAAGACCACATATTTCTATAATCATCGCACACATGATTTCTATGGTTCAAGGTATTGTTTAATATTGCCTATTACTGCCTGCCCATATTATGCATCTGTTAATATATACCTGATATTGCTGGAGTTAGAATACCATCTCCTATAACCATGGAAGTTCCCATCAGAACCAACAGCAAGAGCATTGTTTTCAAGGATGACCTCCTCTCCAAAGCATCTTTTATTTTTAAAGCCCTTTCTAACTCTGGAGTGGGTAACTTGAGCTTAAAACTCGAGATTTGTTCATCAGCTGGCTGACGATTTGGCAGCATACTAACTTTTGCATATCTGGAAATCAATGAGTACAAAGCAAATGTTCCTCCTACAATCAGAAATTATTCATGTGTTAACAAATCCACAGGCATGAGATTAGCAGAAAGTATGAAAAAGATACTCATAATTCCGGAAGAACTCTTACCTTCGCCATTATCATTTGCTTTAAGCACTACAAAAACGTATTTTGCTAAAGGAATGATGGCAATCGTGTACATAACTAGTGATAAGGCTCCCAAGACATCAACTTCAGACTCAATGGTCACCTTACTGAACACATCAGCAAAGACATATAATGGGCTTGTGCCCATATCACCATACACTACACCCAGTGTTTGAAAGGCCAATGCAAGAGTGCTCCAAGTAGAGAGATCCTGATGTATTTCAGAAATACAGTTAAGTAATAGAAACACAATGAATTCCATTGACATGAGATCTTTGTCATTGCAGTCCTTGCAAAACGGAGACAATGAATTCCACTGACACTAATTTTATCATGGAAGTCGTAGCATAAGGATTTTCTGATGAACCTTGAAAACCAATCAGCTGTTCATTCTGACAAACCATTTTGAATGCCTTATGGTTATAGTTGGGACCGATATAACACAACTGTTTAACAAGCAACATTGGCATGGAATGCTAACGCAACATGTATATATAAACTGCCTAACATGTTAGATGCATCATACTAGAAGACAATACTTAATATCTAAGTTTCAATTTTAACGTTGTTATTTTAAGCTTGAGGACAGTTTTCAAGAGCTAATATTTCCAGTTTGCCATCCTTTTGATGCTAAAGAGTTCTACCCAGTTCTTACCAGAGCAATTAAAGAAAACTATACCACCGCAAAACTACAAAACATGGTGACTTACTAGCCTAAACCAGGCCACATTGAGTGAACTTGCCCATAATAAAACCACTTTCAAATCCCTAGTACAATTCATTATAGTAGATAAAAGAAGTTGGATGTAACTTACAGTACTCTTTGGTTCTCAATATATTACTAGTTGTTTTACTATACCCCATTTCCACAGTTCGTCAGAACGAAAAAAAAAAAAGATTTTAAAAGCATATACAGTTTTGCCTTTTTCTAATATAAACTTCAAATTGACAAAATATCTACAGTAACAAATCAACCGTCAATTCAAGGAAATAGATATTGAAATATATTGAATAAGCCATGAAAATACAGAATTTAAAAGGAAATTTTGATAATTATAAAAGCAGGTAATATTACCTTCAAGGAGTCACCATGCCCATGAGCAACAGCAATCTCCATGGCTTCCACATCAAAAGAATCAGCTCTCTTGGGCTTCTTCACCAACCTCCTCCTAATGGATCCATACCCAGCTCCACTATTATTATCATTCTCATCAAGTAAAGACCATGGAGGTGACTCTGAATCAACTTCACTCCCATCCACCCACCTAAACTCAGCTCCTCCGCCACCGCCACCGCCACTACTACTATTAGTTGCACTCAGCAATCTTACACTACTCTCTTCAATCCGATCTTCTTCCATCTTTCCCACCAAAACCGACTTCAAAACCTGCCCAAGACACAAACTTTATGCTTACAAATTCATTTCGTGGACCATAGTCTCTTCTAGAAGCTCAGAAAGATATGGCGGATACTGGGTAGAAGAAAGTTTCTCTCTTTCTGATAGTGAAGTGGGTTTCTGAGATTTGTAGCCCAGGATAATAGTCGTTGTTATTACATGATATGCTTTACCAGAACAATGGCTTCTCCTAGTTTGTTCAGTGGATTTTTGAGATTGTATGGTAACTAAGCCAAAGTTTGGTCGAGACAAAGACAAAACAATCATCATCATAGACGTGGGATATAATATTATTATAATTAATTATTTAAGCAAAGATATTTTACACATCTTCTTCATTGGCTTTTGGCCATAACGTATAGCTTAGATTTGGCCATTTGCCAACCTGTCTTCGGAGTTATTTTCCTACTAATGATGGCTTGGTGTGAGAATTTTATTGGGTAATAAAATCCAGCATGATTGGATTTGAGTAATCAGTATCTTTTTTTCCTGTTTCGTGTATTTAAAGTTTTTTCTTTAAATAAGAATTTTCCCAATAAAAATCTAATAAAATCAGACAAAAATATTTACTCTCTAATTATCGAAAACTGTATATTAAGTTTGATCTTGCCCTTTTTTTACAGTTAATTAACTGTAGTATTTTGCTTAAAAAAAAAAAAAAAGTAATTCTTGCAAGAACAGTGGCGAAACGCCAGAGTGCGCCAAGTTTGGATGGGATTGGTGTCCCAATTTCCCCACGTGACGACGACAACCTTTCTTTAATGCATTATCATCGATCGAAAAGGGATAAGGATATTACCCATCAAAAAGTTTTCATGAAGAACAAGAAAATGTTTCTTTCAATTATTTTTTTCTTCTAAATTTTCTTTTAATAGAAGACTAAATAATAAAAATACCAATAGAAAACAGAAACATGAGACATTCTATATAAAAATATAAATCATTTATCATTTCATGCAATTATTATTGTTAAAATTTGTAATTCAGATTACTATTGAATATCAGTTTTAGAATAATTTTAAAACAAAAATTATATGATTTAAGTTGGTTAAACAATAATGTAATTAAATATAATTATTAAAATGATTTATTAGCTTGTTTTCTTTTAAATATATAATTATATACAATGTGATTTTTGATTGGTTCATATGTTATCCCATATTTTTATATTTATAAATAATACAGATATACTAGTATAGATAGAAAATATAAATAAAATAACATCCTTTTTTGATAAATTTACTTAATATAAAATTTTATTTTAATGTATAATAAATTACTTTTTTTTTCATAAAAATAATAGTATATACGAAAAGTTCTCATGAAAAGGATGGGCTTACTTGCTTAGGTCCGACCCAGAAAATATTGGCCCAAAATTAATTCGGGCATATGATGTGGAATATAAATACCGACCTAGAAACTTCAAAACCCAAACAGCGCCTAATCACGCTTGATTGGATTATCATTTCTAGGGTTTTAACAGCTCTGCGATTAACTGCATACCTAAATTCTAATTTCCTGTGTCTCTTTTCGAATACTCGTGGCCGAGGAATCTCGTTAAGGTAAAGCCTAAATTTCTACGCATTGAAGCCCACTCTTACTTATTGTTTACGCGATCTGTTTGCATGCTACCTTCGATTCTTCTTTCTTTCTTGTAACCGTAATCGGTAAATCAAGCCGGCATGTTTTGATCAGAGTTCCCTTTTTTTTTTTCAATTTTAAAAAAAACATATACTGGATTTATATTTCTATTTAGATTTTGTTTTATTGTGGAGCGAAATTAAGTGAATATCTTTTTTTTTTTTTTTTTTTTGTGAACATATCTTTTTTTGTTTTTTGTTTTTTTCTGCCCCACTAGGTTGTTGGTGGCTTGTTTGTTTGTGACAATGCTCGGGTTTAGTGGGGGAATTTGGAGCGAGAGTCTCTGAGAGGGATCTTGAAGCATGATTCAGAATGTATGGTTTTTTTTTTTTTTTTTTTTCTGCCCACTAGGTTGTTGGTGCTTGTTTTGTTTGTGACAATGGCTCGGGTTTACGTGGGGAATTTGGAGCCGAGAGTCTCTGAGAGGGATCTTGAAGATGAATTCAGAATGTATGGCGTTCTTCGGAGGTAATTTTCTATCTCATTTTCTTATCAGGTCAAATTTGTTGGTGCCAAATGCTTATTATTGTCTCCTTTTCGTTCTTTGAATTTTCCAGAAGATATTGGTAAATGATTAGCAAATAAATAAGTTTAGCATAGGGCATTTTTCTACTTTCATGGCAATTTTAGTATTCTAGAGGCATGTAGGTTTCACATTCTTTAAAATCTCATTTTTTTCTTAGTAGTTATGGCCAGTTGTGGCTTAGGTTACCCAATTTAGTGAAGTTTTCAAGGGTTTTTTTATAACCCTGGGGTAGTAAGCCTCGTAGCATTTATCAAATTGCATTAAGTGAATTGTGCACCTTTATTTTTGTGATAAATGCTGCAAACTACACCAGGCATCTAAACTATATTTGGCCATAATTAATTTTGGAAATCCATTTATTCTCATGTATGTGAAGTTATTTTCTATTAATTTACTATAAGTATATTTGTTAAAGACTCAAGGACATTAAGGTGCAAAGTGCAAATGCAGGCTTTGAGGCACAATACTTGATATTCATAGATGCAACACGCTCGAGAAATTAACAAGAAGGTGACAAAAATTAATAATTCTCAAATAATCAATGCAAAGTCAAGATTTGAACAACTAAAATAGGTTTCATTAGGTAAGAATGGGACGAAAAAGAAAGAAATAGTGAAAAGATAAAAAAATAGTAGCAGTTATTTAAGTAGATACAGGAACCGTAGGGGAAAAAAATAAAAAGAAGAATCAGAGAAGAGTAAACACAACATGAAACAGGCACAAAGAAAAACCAAATCAAGGCAGGAGGACAGAGACCCAAGTTGTGTGGATGCCAACAATGGAATTACTGGCAGCAGGAGAGTCGAGGAGTGGTACAGTCAGATTCTAGCCACTTTCCGGATAGAGATGACAATTCTGGCGATTTCTGTGTGAACACTGGATTCTCGTAAATCGACCAATTACAATAAGATTGATGGTGGTCATTGGTGCCAGAGAAGCTTGCCAACGTGAGAGGCATGCCTTTTATGGATGTTTAAGAGGCGTGCCTTTTATAGCGCCCAAGTGAGAAGGCAAGGGTCACCTTCCCCTCTCTGGTAAAGGTGTCGATGCAGCTGTCCAGTGCACCTTGCACCTAAGCTGCATCTTTAGTGACTGAAAAAATAAGGTTAATGGTGATAGTGTAATGCTACTCCTGTGAATTTTATGTTTGCAAGTTTAGGAATCGCCTACGTTCTCTGAATTTAAGGCTTAGAACTAGGATGGTTTGTGTTTGTATGTTGCTGGATTTCTATCAGACTGATGATAACTGTTAATGATTGTTGATTTGTAATAATATTATGCAGTGTGTGGGTTGCACGAAGGCCACCAGGATATGCTTTTGTTGAGTTTGATGATCGTAGGGATGCAATGGATGCAATTCGTGCGTTGGATGGTGATTTTCTTTCTTTTTTGCTATTTGTTATTTACATTAACAATTTTTGTGGCTTTATTTCTTTTTTTTTTTTCTTTGGTCAATTTTACTGCATTAATATCTTTCTTCTTTTTTTTTTTTTCCCAGTATAACTGTTTTATTGTCTCTTTAAGATTTATGTTTTTTTTTCCCCCTTTCTATATACTAGAAATCACTATTGAGTATATTAGCTGAAAATTTAAAATAGCCTTCTATCTCATGCTACACGGTATGATGACAAATTTCATGAAAGGACTCTATAACCTGGATGCCAAATTATTTTCTAGAATTCGGCTAAGATGCTTATTTTGTTTTATAGGAAAGAATGGGTGGCGTGTGGAACTTTCTCATAATTCCAAAGGTGGTGGAGGCCGTGGTGGTGGTGGTGGTGGTGGTGGACGTGGCCGTGGTGGTGAGGATTTGAAGTGTTATGAATGTGGTGAACCAGGTCATTTTGCTCGAGAGTGCCGCTTGCGCATTGGTTCACGAGGTTTGGGAAGTGGGCGCCGCCGAAGCCCCAGCCCAAGACGCCGTAGGAGTCCGAGTTATGGGTATGGGCGCAGGTGCGTCAACTGTATTTACCTTTTTTCTTTAATCTTGAGCCCCCTTCCTGAGACTGAATAACTGCTTCTGCAATATCTGTTTTATAACTGGATGTTTTTTCTTTTTCCTTCCTTAGTTTTACATTTGTTTCTTGGAAGTTGAAATCAATGTGGACTCAAGTAATGGGACCTAATTGTGGAAGTTTGATCATGCGGAATTATTGTCACAAACATTTTTACAAGAAAGGAAACTTTTTTTATGTGATTGTGCTAGAGGAAAATGATGAGAGGCACCATGAATTCAAAGGCTTCTGCATTCAAAAGCAGGATTTATATCCTCAGTTATCAGATAGATTGACAAATATTTTGTAATCCATCTAACTAAAACAATTAAAGCTTGCATGAAATCATGTAGCACATGCACATCCATGCTTGGTATTAGTAACTGGATCTTTATTCTTATTAATGGTTCACACTTGATCCTTTTTTCCTTTTCTATGTACCTTTCATTTTGTTAGCTTTTCTATCTTCAACCTGCAAATTGCCAGCTAGGAAGCCTGATTAACTATATATATTTGCTGTGCTGAATTCCTCTTTTGACAGAAGCTATAGCCCCCGCGGTAGAAGATCTCCAAGACGTCGCAGTCTATCACCACGCCGTGGTCGCAGCTACAGCAGATCTCCTCCATATCGCCATGCCCGTCGTGAGTCACCATATGTTAACGGGTGCGTAGATTTTTAGTTCCTTAGCATCAATTTTATAATGCTGTATGTTATCGTGCTAACCTTGCAACAATTTTGAGCCAATGTTAGTACGAAACTAATAATTGTACTAAAAAAATGTGAAGCTCAGACATTTGTAGTCAAGCAACAATTGTGGATGCAAAGTGGGAATTTCTGAACTTTTATTAGTTATGTTTGTGCCAGTTTACCTTGCTTTCTGGATACTAAAAACATTGGACATTTGATTTAAAGAATCCTTGGAGAGTTGATATTTATGAAATATTATTTTATTTAGTTTCAGGCTTATATGCTTGTTTTGTCTTTGCAGAGATTAAGGCGGGGAGCCAACTGAAGCAGGAGTGGAGGATATTAAAAAGACCAAATATATGCTATACTGTAGTTCTAATAGGACCAGTTGATGTTAGTTACGTTCATTTCGTGACAATGAGGTTTTGTTAGAAATTTGGTTTTGGCTGGCTTCATCAAAGTGTTTCGGCCGGCATGCTTGGGACACTTTTGTGCCGGTTTGCTGTCTCAACTGCTTACTGAAACTTGGAGGTCTCTTTCATACTTCATATTGCAACCTTATTGTTGTTTATAATCCTTTATCTTGACCTTTTATGGTAGTATTGATCTATTTGGGTAAATGTTTCTAAAAGATTTGTGTGTTTTGTTGTGAGGTGCGGTTTTCGGCTAAAACGGCATTGTTTCGCCACTTTACTGCATCTTAGTGCACACGGTTTTTCTCCATCTCTGCTTCTCTGCACGTTATCTACTCCTCGTCGCCCTGCATGTTATTCAGCTTGAATCCCATGTTGAAATTATGAATGTCCAGAAACTTGATTGTGTACGACACTTTATACTGCATTCTTCTGCAACAAAGCTACTGTCCTACTTACAACTTTTACATTTCTGCTAGCTGCTTCAAGAAGGTCAAGCCGTTTATACTTGTGTCCCCAACTCTGCATATCTGCACTTCATCATGTAACATAGTCTTGACCTCCTGTTCTTGTGGTTTTCGTCGGCAAAGTGTCATGGTCTAGTGTTTATCTACTTTTTGTTGCCCTTTTGGTGCTCAGTTTTCCAGTACAGATGAATGTCTCCAGGTAAGTGTCTGCAGAAGAAATTCAAGAAAGTTTTTTATGACATTTTAGTAGAAAGATAAATGGCTGCATAAGAGTGTTGTGAGAAAGGATCTATAATAATTCTGCCCTCCATTGTACAACAGTTTTGGTGCTTAGGTTAGACGTGTAGTTGAGTCACCCGTCGTAATGAGCTCTGCCTTTTTAAAAGGGTTGAAGACATACCTGCTGCCTCAGATCGATTGGATGGCAAAAGGCAATTCATTAATCTTCTGAGTGGTGGGTTTTATGGTCGTCACTACTGACCTTTCTGATTGCCATGGGTTTATCAGGCTTTTTCCTTTTTTTCGTCATGTAATCGACAATTTCTCTTGGTGGTAAAATTTTGGATTGCGCTAGTTAGGTTGTTCTTTTGGATTTATGTTAATGACAAATGTAAAAAAGAAAGCGATCCTTTGATTTATGAACTAATTGGACACCTGATATTAATTTACCTCTATTTTCCATTATTTGTTTGGATTGGTGTAAAATAAGGGTGGAAGACGATTTTCACCTTCTATTTTACATTTAAGCTGTTGCAAAAAAAAGAACTGATGCCATTAAACTTTTTGAAAAAAGGATAACTTTAAGCTAATAGAAAAATCAAAAATAAACTATCGAGCATTAAGCAAACCTTTGAACTAGTTAGGAGGTTGAATTTTTCTCTTAAACTTTGGAAACAATGTACAATCTGTTTAAAAATTATTTTTTTTTTTTTTTTTACAATTAATCTCCTGAATTTGTAACAAAAATCCAATTTTACCAAAAATAAAAAGTTTGATCTAAATCAAATATAATGAAAATTATTTGATATAAATCAAATATGATTGTAAAATAATAAATAGTTTTTAAACTAAATATTCAATGTAATCAAATACTTTTATGATATCATAACTTTTAGGAGGATAGGTTGTTTATTTATACTGTAATTTATAAGTTCAGTAGGTAAATTATAGAGAGAGTTAATTTTACCTAGAAGAATATGAGTGTCCCTTTTTTTTTAAGGAGAACATGTCAAGCTCTCCTTCAAACAGGACTGGAAAGCAGTTCCCATGTTCCTAATATTCGTAGAAAATGTTAATTCGACGACCATCTTTCATTTTGTCCCAAACAACTTTCCGATAGCAAAATTTTAATTTCCAAAAGTCAATTGAAATGATTGGAATTTAAAAAATTTTGCATTTCTTCTGGGTATTAAATTTCTAATTATACGGACTGGAGAATGATATATGTAAATCCAACAATCAACAAGTTTTTCCTACCAAAACATACTCTGAAAGTAACTTAATATCTCAATTTATTCCATGGTTCATTGAAAGATGGATTTTTCATTGAAGACGAGGCTAGACTGTCGAAGACTTAGCTTGACTGCTGCTTCTCCTTCAGTGCTCTTCAAAACTCCTTCATTTGCCTTTTGATTCAATCACCTTCTTTGCAAAAGATGGCAAGCAGAAGGCAGCTGTATGAATCTGGAATCAGAAGCACAAGTTAATATCAAAACAGAAGATACAAGGCTACAATCATGTGCTTATAAATTCATCTAATGCGTGGGAGACATAATACCTCGGAATTATAAAATTTCAAAGGTCTTGTTGTTGTTGATGATGTGCTTTCATTAGTATCTATGGGATTCACAGGATGCTTGAAATCAACAGGAGGTCCCTCAGTAGAACAAAGCATGAAACCAATCACCCCACTAACACAGAATAAAAACGGAAACATCAGCAACCACACATATCCAAACCACAAGAAAATCAGTATCAAATACAACAAAATCTCTGCAAGCAGTTAAGAAGTTCCAGGGGGAGACACAAATACATGCAGTCAAGGAGGTAGGAAATAAGAGCAAGGGGAGTCGACACGCAGATGGCTGGGGATATGTACAAACCTTGGGTAAGTAGGAACAGTTGTCCAGGCATAGTGAACAGAGCCTTTGAAGATCTGACGGCAGTTCGCTACAATATCCTCAATGATGTGCATATGAAGCCATATACTTTCTGCCTGAGTACACACAACCCCTCCAGGACGCAGAGCCTTTGCTACAGATTCAAAAAATGGCTTCTCAAACAGCTCTTGTGCAGGACCTGTTATTAAATACAATGAATTATAAACAGAGTAACATAATTTAGCAGAAAAAAATACATCAATTTGTAAAGATGTCATTACCTATTGGGTCAGAAGAATCTACTATAACTGCATCATATGTTCCAGCAGGTACATCCTTTAAAAATGCAACTCCTGCATGATTTGAAGAAATTCCAACAATAATACATCTATAAAGAAAAAGAAAGCAAGAAAGAAAGAAGGGATAAATAATAGAGTAGCAGTAAATACCATCACCAATCTTGAGAGTCACACGAGGATCTTCAAAACTGACAGCTATATCAGGGAAAAAATCTTTAGAAACCTGGAAAACACAAACAGAAAATATAGATTATAATATTGAATATCTTCTTCAAAGAAAATGGCTATTGGGTCCATAAGTGCAAACAATTGGAGTCCATCTAAGATGAAGTAACAGATAAACTTCCATTGCAAGGAAAGATTCAAATTCTCTTTCTGAAACAAACTCTCAGGAACAAAACGTAACCATAAAGGATAAACACATGCAAAAGCAGGAAAAAGAAAACTTTAATTTCTCACATCAACAACCATCTTGTCAATTTCACATATGTCAATCTGCTCAACAGAAGAATGTCGAGCCACTTCCCGCAGGACCCCACCATCTCCTCCGCCAATAACCAAAACCTGCAAAGGAAACAACATTGTGAGACTTGAAAAGGGTAAATAGAAAATTTAAACACAGGCATTACCGATGTTCATTAGAACTGAAATTTAATATCAAAGAAAAAGGATTGGTGCTTCAATTCTCAAAGTCTTTCTGATTCTTTCTCACTTTTGCCTTCAAATTCTCACAGGCAAGCATAATTTTCAAGATCAAGAAAATGAATAAAGAATTAGATAATGTAATCAAATACAAAGGATCCTCACAATAAATAAAAAAATTGTAATTTTCTCCTCACCCATTACCATAAATAAAGTATTAAGCAGGCCAACAGACTGTATTAAGCAAAATCTCAATCACGATGAAGTTGAAACTTGCTACAACGTGTCACAGCATTTGTAAAAGCTTGCAGTTTCAAAAGGATTGACAAGTTTTAATCACTCCAGGTGAGACTTATATATATTGATTCATTTAAGTTCATTCTTATTCTCCAAATACAAGTACCTTCTTTGGGTTTGGAATTGAGCAAAGAGGGAGGTGAGTAATCATTTCTTGATATGCACATTCATCCCTCTCTGTGAGCTGAATCACCCCATCCAAAACAAGAACCTTTCCATATGTTGATGACTGCAAAAGGATAAAAATACACAACTTAGAAATGCATATGATTAATAGTGATGTGTAATATGTTGATGACTGTATAAGGGTAAAACAAAATACACCACATATATATGGCATATATTTATTAAGACATTGCCTGTTACATGTGTAAAGTACATAAATTAAAAATTAAGTGTCCCACCTGAAAGACCATGACATTCTGGTAGTCAGACTTCCCTTGAAATAATATCTTTTCCACTTTCAAGGAATGTGCCTCTCCTGAAAATTTCAAATTATGAATTTGAAGTAAATAATAAGCATCAAGTATCAACCAAAGAGGCACCAAACAAAATAAAAAAGCAGGTCACTACTAAATAAGTCTGTTTTGACACCTATTTTGCACAGTTTGAAAACAGAGTCGTCAAAGGATTGACATTAGAAGTTCCCATCAAACTTACATTTAACTATGCTTACTGATTATTCAGAAATGAACTTAAAAGAAATAAGGAGAAGACCAACAGTACAGGGTATGCCGACATCAGGATGAAATATGTTTTCCGTTTCTTGGATCAGAAAGAGGGATATACGGAATATATGGGTTCGTAATTACATGAATGGAAAGGATTCGCATTCTTAACTGTGGATTTGTAATAATCATTAGCAACCATTTATCGGGTTTTGTGTTTTGACCCATCGATATTGAGAAATGATTGAAACACAACCAAAGCAATTGTAAGTAAAGTAAAAAAAGAAGCAGAAAAGCAAAACCATGGATGATAACATAAACAAACAAATCAAGATTCGTTCAAGATTCGTTGAACATGACTATAAAGCTATCTATTAATTGCTAAACTACATCCCAAACCATTACAAGTCTAAGTACCCAGATAAAAGACAACCATTCGCAAAACGTATATCTACATATATAGATCAAAAGATAACATACCAGGCCACAAGGGACTAATCTCAGAAAACCAGCCCGGAATAACAGACGATATATAATCATTATTGGTATTCTCAGTCTCCATAGCTACAGTAGTGTCTGAGACTCCATTCTCTTCTTCTTCTCTGGCTCTTTTCACTGGCAAGTCATTGTTGGACACAACACCACCATCTTGAGCCATAGAAGAGATTCTGTTTCTGTCTATCTCTATATCTGTCCCTGTCTTTAAAGAGAACCCAAAAGCCGAAAAATCCCAATAAATGCCTAAACAGGGCAGTGAAGGGAAGCCACACAATCAAGGTGTCACCTTTACAAAAAGCTTCGGGTATATTTATAAGTGAAGAATAATGAGAAAAAGAATCCGCTTGGTAAAGACGCGATTTTTGTTGCAGCGTTTTTTAAGCTTTTGCAGAGAGAGGGGGAGAAAAGGAAAGAGAAGAGAGAGGGAATTATTTTGTTAGGAGTGTGTGAGCGTGGCTGTGAGATTAAAGTACAAATATAAAATGATAGGGCTCTCAATTAGGGTTGGCAACTTTGGGATGGGAGGTTTCTTTCTTTCTTTTTTTTTTTTCCTATTCTTTTATCTTTTTTATTATAAAATTTCTGAGTATCTATGTCCTGTAGTGGGTCCACTTATTGTTGCACTTTTTTTTTTTTTTGAATTTCACATTTGTCAACTTGCCATTTAAACCTTTTTTTATTTGAATAAAACATGTAATTTGGCATTTTTAGTTTACGTTAATGATTCATATATGTAGTAAAATTGAAGTGCCACCCATTTATTTAAAACAAAATCTAGACAAAATTGCTTTACTCCAAACAACCTTTTTTGAAACAACAAATTAGGATATCTGATTCAGCTTATTTGTGTAATTAATAATTGGTTTGCTTTCTAAATTTTAATGTGTAACTAATTATATATTTAATAAGTATTTACATTTGAACAATTAGACCTTTTTATCAAATAATTAATATTCATCATCTAACATCATTCAAGTATGGTCTAATTGTTCTTCTCATTTATGTGAGAAATGAAAGTTTCCAAATTTAAATTTTCTTGACCACAATAATTTTCACTAATTTAATTAGTTAAGCGAAAGGTTACCGCAGTATTCTTGTCTAACATTTATCGGCTATTCTGGCTTTCTAAATTTCGATAACATTCATTCTGCAATGCTTATGAATAAAAAAGTGAAATAAACATTTGACCAATGCTATATTTTTTATGTCCATCCTCGTAGATTATTTGATTAAAAATAAAATAAAAAAGTGAAATAAACAATTGATATTTTTTATGCCCATCCTCATAGATTTTAGTACTATTATTTGATTAAAAACAAAGATGTTGGAAGTTCAAGATGTTGGGTCAAATATTACAACTAATAAAACCATATTATGCTTTTGTCTCATTCCTTCACTATCCTGGTACTTAGCCATAATGCTTTATGTACATAGTTCACAACCAATTAATAATTTATAACAAAAAAAAATTCATAACAAAAAAATAAATAGAAAAATCATAAATTAAATTATATTTATTTAAAACGTATAACATGCAATGTATATTGAAAAACTTATTATATATATAAAAGTGGAAATAGTTGTGGAAATATTAGGATTACAAACAATGCCCCATCTAAATCTATAGATTGATAAAGAATATTAAGGATTTTAATTTGATTGATTGAAAAAAATAAAGGTAAAGTTATATTAATTTTCTATTTAAATTTAAATTCCATTAGATAAAATAAGAAATTACATTATATACTATATAATTATAAGGTATATATAAAATATGGTAATACTATGCGGTTTCACATTCCTTATAGCTTGGAACCAAACAATTTTAAAACCGAAACTATATAATATAATATTAAATAAAATTTATAAAGTATGTACTAAATTTGGTAATGTAGACATTATATGGTAATTTACTTATATTATATGTATATGGTAATACAATGGTAATATATATGGTAAGATATACATATTATATGGTAATATATATAATATGATAATAGTATTTGATGGATACTAATAAAATATATATTAAATATGGTAAAATACAATATATTTATTAATTGAAAAAATAAAGATAATTTAATTTTAATTGGTTATGTTATACTATGTAAGGTACATATTAAATATGGTAGGAATAAAATATATTTGATATTTAATTATTGAATTTTATTTTATTATTTCATAAAATGTGATTTTTTCTACTTTATGAATACTCTTACATTTTTAGCAATATAAATTGTTCATAGCATTGTAATTTATAAATAAAAATTAAATTACATTTACTCATAATACGTAAACATCAATGAGTATAAACAATGTATAATACACGAGAGAAAACTAGTATATGTATAAACATAAATAATTTTTATTTCTAATTAATTTTGATTTTATTCCAAAGGATCAGGGTGAAAAATAATAATAATAGAAGTCAAAAAAAAAAAAAAAAAAAATACTAGCATGGAAATATTTATTCCAAAGGATCAGGGTGAAAAATAATAATAATAGAAGTCAAAAAAAAAAAAAAAAAGAATACTAGCATGGTAAAAGCCAAAAGTTTCCTTTAATAAATTGACGGCTGATAAGCGGCAATGTCATTACATTTTCCCTCAAAAACATGGGAGAATCTCATTCTATCCCAACTTGTGAACATACTCATTTTCATTTAAATTAATCAATTTTGATATAAAAAAAAAAAAAAAAAAGAATACTAGCATGGTAACAAGCAAAAGTTTCCTTTATAAATTGACGGCTGATAAGGGCAATGTCATTACATTTCCCTCAAAACATGGAGAATCTCATTCTATCCCACTTGTGACAATCACTCATTTCTCATTTAATTAATCAATTTTGATATAATTTTCTTATAAGTTTCAATATTATTTGTGTACATGAATCTTAGAAGTGTGAAAAGAACCTAGAAGATGACGGTGAAAAGGTAAGGGATGGGAAAGAAAGTGAGAATGGTGATGGTGGGCATGCACTCAAATAATGTTTGGTGATGATCACACATGCACTCGTGCGAGGCCATGGGCGGTGACTTTGACTCTTTCAGGTCATATCCATCATCATATATAAACAAATAAGAATAAATAATTTTAACGTTACAAGTGGTGACATTAGAATTGAAAAGTGGGAAGCAATTGATTGCCATGCCATGCCATGCATGGTGCTGAGAATGAATGACATTTCACACTATTTCGTGTTTCATGCAATCGAAAACCCAATAGTCAATGAGACTTTCGTATAGTGCTAAATACCAAATTTGATATTTCAACTCAGTAAATTGATTGAAAGACTTGAATAATGGGATACTTTTACAAATTTGAAGTTTTCCAATAAGTCAAGAGTTGGAATAGATAATGATTTTTCTTTTTAAAAAACCAAATATATCTTCTTTCGTTATTTTTAGTGATTTCTCATTCTATTATTCTCTGTTGTTGTATGATTATAATTTATATTCTCTTCATCAAGTTATGTTGATTCGACGTGAAAGAAAACACATTTAGGTTGTGAATTGTTTTTCTAATATTTACTGTAATTATAAATTGAAAGTTGATGGTTGTTGTAAATGAATTTACAAATGCTTTGACATTAATTTATATCAAAAGAAAAGGAAGAACAAGTGTAAAGAAAATGAATTTGCCTTTTCCGATTTGTTTGGTCGGCAAATGCACTGGGGCCTGTCCTATCACACAATCAATTCCTCCGATCTTTTGTCATCACTTTCTTTCCTGGATTGTCTCTTTTAACTGGATTGTTTAGTTTGACATCTTTAATTCTTTGCTTTAAAGTATTCTAAGAAATAAATCAAATAAAAGTCGGACTAACAAATTATGACATTATAACTATCCTTCATAATAATTTTACTGCCTTTATCTGCTGCTAGTTGTTCTATTAGCTATCAGTCATTTTATTAGCATTTATCAAATATTGAATGAAATAATATTTTATAGTCCGTTATTTTAAACTTTATACATCGATATAAATGGTACACCACTAAACACTATAAATAATATGAATAATAGAGTTAAGGTAGACTTTATGGTAGAGCTGACTCTAATATTATATTTAAAATTCACATGTAAAGTTTTATTGACAGTGACGTATGTAATTACTAAATTAATAGTTCTGCATTCAAATATATATATTTTTATTAATAATGGTGGCGGTGGAGTGATGGTGTGAACGGTAGACTTCGAGGTTGAGTTTGGTGAGGTTTGGTTTTTGAAATATTATAATGTAATGACAATTATATAAATTTTTAGATAAAATGACTATTATTACATCATTTTAAATAACGGCAAATACAATTGCAATACTCGTTATATATTGCGAGTAAGTAAGAAATCTGTCCAAACATTGGAATTAATTATATAATGTAATTTTCATTCCATCATATAGTTCGTTACATTCAACTAAATATAGTCTAAAAGTAATATACGGGGAGCAGTGGAGCAGTCCCGACGCCGCAATATTGCTTGTTTATCATATTATAACATAACAAAAACACTCATGTAAAGTTTTATTGACAGTGACTTATGTAATTACTAAATTAATAGTTCTCCATTCAAATTTTTTTTTTATTAATAATGGTGGCGGTAGAGTGATGATGTGAACGGTAGACTTCGAGGTTAAGTTTGGCGAGGTTTGGTTTTTGAAATATTATAATGTAATGACAATTATATAAATTTTTAGATAAAATGACTACTATTACATTATTTTAAATAACGGCAAATACAATTGCAATACTCGTTATATATTGCGAGTAAGTAAGAAATCCATCCAAACATTGGAATTAATTATATAATGTAATTTTCATTCCATCATATAGTTCGTTACATTCAACTAAATATAGTCTAAAAGTAATATATGGGGAGCAGTCCCGACGCCGCAATATTGCTTGTTTATCATATTATAACATAACAAAAACAACAATAATTTTGGCACACCAAACATAACCTGGTAGTAAGTGCGTAATCTCCGATCCCAAAAAATAACAGCAACTTGCTATTGTCACTTCCCACTTCTATTTTGCCGCCTTATCAAAGAGAGGAAAAGAGCCCAACCCAACTTTTACATTGCAAGCCCATTTTTTGTAGGCCGAATTAAATTATTCAAAGCCCTGTAAACTATATTGGTCTGGGCTTTACCCAGGCAAACTCCAAGTTCGGGTCAAAGAGAACGTTAGACGACCTGTCGTTACTAGAGTAACGCTACCCAACATTTTTCTTTATTTTCTCTGCGTTTCTTCGCCATTATAAAAACCCACGGTTTGTCGATTGTCGTCTTGATTGGCGGTGCCTATTTTCTGTTCGTCGCCTCAAGTACCGGTTCTTGGAGGTGCCAATTTTTGTTCTCTTTATCTTCTATCGTTAGAAAATAAAGCTTTCTAATTGCTTGCTCTCTGTTCGATAAATCCTAGAAGGGAAAGCCAGAGTTTCGTCTTTTGAATCTTCAAGCCAAGAAATGGTTAGTGCTATCTTTCTTGGATGTTTTGTTATGATTAATTTGAGCTTTTTGAATTTTTTGGTGCTGCTATAGTACTTTTTAAAAGAATAGCTTGAATTGATCGTTGGTTAACGATACATCACCTTATAATATTCGGGAATGGAATTTGCATGCCAATTGATAATTATTCATAGGTTATGAAACCCTAGGGATAGAGCCTTATCATTCATTATGATAAATATTTGGCATTAGACACAATTTATGATTTTTTTTTTTTTTTTTTTTTTTTTATTGGGAATCGGAATGTTGTCATGCCAATTGATAATTATTCATAGGTTATGAAACCTAGGGTAGAGCCCTTAATCATTCATTATGATAAATATTTGGCATTAAGACACAAATTTATGACTTTTTTTTTTTTTTTTTTTTTGTTTCTTCTTAGTTGTTTTGTGATTGAGGTCCTTAATTTAAGTTGATGAGCTAATTTAGAATTCTTTTATTTGTTGCCCTCCCCTGAAAAGTTTAAATTTCTTTGTCACAATATAAGTGGGTTAATACTTCTTTGTCAAAGATGTTAGAAAAACTACTATGCCTCTCTCTGCTACTGTTTTGTCTTGGTTAATGTTTTTCAGGCAACTCTTGCTGATTCTTCTTTTCCTTGCAGAACCTTGAATTTTTTTTTTTTTTTTTTTTTTGTTCTTATTAGTTGTTCTTGTGATTGAGTCTTAATTTAAGTTGATGAGCTAATTTAGAATTCTTTTATTTGTTGCCTCCTGAAAAGTTAAATTTCTTCTGTCACAATATAAGTGGGTTTTATACTTCTTTGTCAAAGATGTTAGAAAACTACTTGCCTCTCTCTGCTAACTGTTTGTCTTGGTTAATGTTTTCAGGCAACTCTTGCTGATTCTTTCCTTGCAGACCTTGACGAGTTATCTGATAATGATGCTGATCTTGTTGTGAGTATTTTATCCTTTATTTATCTCAAGTTTTCATGGGTTTCTTCTCTTTTCCCCTTTGTCCCTTTGTAATTTCTTGACTGTTTAATGCGGATATTACAATATTTTCTTTTATCTGTAAAGGTTTTTAGGGGACAATCTACAACATTTTTTTTTAAAAAAAAATTTGAGCGTAGTTGTTTTTCTTGTTTTTTATTTTTTGATGAACAACTTTCGCTATATCCCGTCCTCGACATTTTTATTTCTCCTTTTCTTGCAGGAGGAAGATGATGTTGATGCTGGAAACATGGAAGAAGATGTCGATGGGGACATGGCAGACATTGAAGCCCTTAATTATGATGATTTGGACAGTGTATCAAAATTGCAGAAAACTCAAAGATACAATGACATAATGCAGGTTAGTTTATGCACTTTGCATTGGTCATTGTCATTTGCATGCTTTTGTTTGGCTCGTTCTGAATGATTTAGAACTCCAATTCTTGTGTTCTGTACCTAGCTTTATTGTCTCATATTCTCCATCTCCCTTGTTGATCTTAGTGGAAGGAGGAGAAGGTATGATACATTAGTTTTTTAATTCATATCTTTTTTTATGTATTCCTTTGCCTTTTATTTAATCATGCATGAACCATTAGAGGGATGAGGCTTGATCTAATTTCTCCTATCTTTTATTTATTTGTTTTGTTTATTTATTTATCCATTTTGAAAAAGACTAGGGGCACCAACTCGAGTAAAAGCTTCCACTGCCTGTTGGCCAAAATGAGGATCCAAAATGCTTTGCCATTTTGACACTAATGTAATGGCTAACCATTTTTTTTAAATGGCAGAAAGTGGAGGATGCTCTTGAGAAGGGTTCTGATATCTCAAATCAAGGAATGGTGCTCGAAGATGATCCCGAATATCAACTGATTGTTGAATGCAATGCATTGTCTGTTGACATTGAAAATGAAATAATAATAATCCACAATTTCATTCGTGATAAGTACCGGTTGAAATTTCCAGAGCTCGAATCACTTGTGCATCATCCTATTGATTATGCTCGTGTGGTGAAGAAGATTGGTAATGAGATGGATTTGACCCTTGTTGACCTGGAAGGGCTTTTGCCTTCAGCTATTATAATGGTGGTTTCAGTGACGGCATCAACAACAAGTGGCAAACCACTTCCTGAGGAAGTCCTTCAAAAGACGATTGATGCATGTGATCGAGCCCTTGCTCTTGACTCTGCAAAGAAAAAAGTCCTTGATTTCGTAGAAAGTAGAATGGGATACATTGCACCCAATCTTTCTGCTATTGTTGGAAGTGCTGTAGCAGCTAAGCTTATGGGAACAGCTGGTGGTCTGTCAGCATTAGCCAAGATGCCTGCCTGTAATGTTCAGCTTCTTGGTGCCAAGAAGAAGAACCTTGCAGGATTTTCCACGGCAACATCTCAATTTCGTGTAGGTTATATCGAGCAAACAGAGGTATTTCAAACCACACCACCTGCTCTGAGAATGCGTGCTTGCCGACTCTTGGCTGCAAAATCAACACTTGCAGCAAGGGTAGATTCTACAAGGGGGGATCCATCTGGAAGAACTGGAAGAGCCCTTCGAGAAGAAATACATAAGAAAATAGAGAAGTGGCAAGAGCCTCCTCCTGCAAAGCAACCTAAACCACTTCCAGTTCCCGATTCTGAGCCTAAGAAAAAGAGAGGTGGTCGGCGGTTGAGAAAAATGAAGGAAAGGTAAGGAAATTATTCTCATTTTTTTTTCTTTGGATTTCTTGGTAACTTTCCTAACATGTCTTCCCAGATACGCTGTGACAGACATGAGGAAGCTTGCCAATAGGATGCAATTTGGTGTGCCTGAAGAGAGCTCTTTAGGTAACTTCATCTTTTTAGCTTCTTAAGGTTCTAAAACAATTAGATTTATGACCTGCATTATCTACTATGTTCAATGACAAGTTACAAATATAAATGCTCAATTAGTTCAAGTGTTTTGATTAATCGTTATACTTAGATGTGCAGTCATGCCAGCAATACAATTCAATAGCTGTATTATTTAGTTGTTTTTAAGTTAAAAGTTACTTCTTCATGTATATTATTTTTTTCCATTGCATTTAAGAATGAAAGAACTCTTGTTGGTCTTTATAGGTTATAATATGTGGAGACAATTCATGGGAAATAGCTCATCTCTTTCTTCTTATTCCCCTTCCTCTCTTTGAGTTTATCATTGTAGATTGGTAATTTGTTCTGGACTTCCCTTTGTAATTGCTGATATGCTTGTTGACAATAGGTGATGGATTGGGGGAAGGCTATGGAATGCTTGGTCAAGCTGGGAGTGGCAAGCTGCGTGTGTCTATTGGTCAAAGCAAACTCGCTGCTAAAGTTGCGAAGAAGTAAGCTTATTTTTTCCCTTATCTTTTTGTTAAATTTTCAACTAAGCTCTAATGTTTATGAGCTTAGAAGTTCCCTCGCCCTCTTTTTTGACAGTTGTTTGTGTTAAACTTCCGTGTTCTTAGATTCAAGGAGAAGAATTATGGAAGCAGTGGTGCTACATCTGGTCTGACATCAAGTCTGGCGTTTACACCAGTGCAGGTTTGTACTTCTTATCAGCTTGATTATGAATTTCTGCTACAGTGTTGTTTTATATAGGATCTTCAAAGCTTATGCAACATATTTTACTGGCAAAAATATTAAATGAAAATGGAAGGTATATGTAGCCCAAAGGTTCAATTTATGAAATTCTAGTTTGGTTGCTTGCCATCGTTTATATGGTCTGATGGATATGTATAAAAAATGTCGATTCATCACAAAAGTTCTCATTCATTAGTAAGGCTACCTGCTGAAGAAAGAGTAGGAGGTGAAGGGGATAGGATCCTTGTGAAACTTAGTCATGCAAGACCTTGCGAGTTTGATTAAGTTCTAGCTATGTGGAATGGCCATCAATTGGAGTTATAGCTTTCAGAGATTAGCCATGCTGCAGGATAACAGCTTCTTGTCCTTAATCATGTTTTTCCCAGTTCCTGATATTAACTACCTTCTCTTTTCAGGGGATTGAGCTCACAAATCCACAAGCTCATGCCCACCAACTCGGCAGCGGAACCCAGAGTACCTACTTTTCCGAGACGGGAACATTTTCAAAGATCAAGAGAACCTAAATTCTGCATAATTTATGTTAGCACCAACTTGGCAGAGGAATTCAAAAGGACTATTTTTCTGATATAGGTGCAAGAGGAACCAAATTATGTGAAATTTATCTTACATGGCCCAGTTTGTTATCTCTTCCATGCCATAAGTGATGTAACCTCTACATTAGTTTAACTCTGTAAGTTATGCATCATAGTTTTGGAATCCGATTACTTGTTGAGGTTATTGACCTCTCGAATGGTCCGGAAAAAAAAATGCAGGGTATTCGGGGAGATGTTCAGGTTGGAATTCACGTAAATATAATTCATCTTAGCAGATTGGAATTCATTTGTAATCAAGCATTATTCTTGAGTTTAAGTATCATGATACACATATTAGAAGTATCATAATACAAATATTAGAACAACATAGGTAGAACAAAAAATAAAAAAAAAAGGTGTTGACCTTTTCCTGGTAGCAAGAATGAGTGAAACAAACCAATAAATGGACCAGATACACATTGGCAAATATAATATTATATCTTATTTATAGATGTGTGGTTATTTTTTGTTTATTTTGAATTTGTATATTGTGTCGTCAACTGTGACCACACTGATGCAGATACTAGTGTATGTGTATAGAAAAAATTAAAATGTATGAGCCACTTTGTTTGACTTAACCCTAGGTTTTAGGAGAAAAAAAAAAAAAAAACAAAAAATACACACACATAATGTCATGGCCTACTATTCAATCAGCGGTCAGCAATGAAAGCCGGCATTAAGTTTGAATTCTCTAAATTGACTTCCTAACGCCTAAAACAGACTTTCGCTTTCGATGAATGGAAGATTTTTAATCTTGGGTTCGACTTGTTCTGATCACAGAATTTTCTACTAGTTTTCTATATCACAAAATGTTAGTATAATTTATCAATAAATTTAAAGAAAAATATGATTTTTTTTTATATCACCCTTAATAGTTAATACTCCCTCTGTTCCACTTTAATAATATTTGATTTTTTACAAAGTTTGACAAAATAATTGAAACACAACAATTTTACTATAAAATATCTAATGTATGATAGAATCTGTAGATTGTCTTCTTAAAATTAAATACTTTTAATTTAATTTTACTATAAAATACTTAATAAATAGCGATAAAATTAAAAAAATATATTAATATAAATACTTATTAAAATGGATCATTATCAGGTATGTGCAGAGTGAGTCGTCTTAGACTCACGTAGCCACGTAGGTGAAGATGTGGGAAGGGCCATTCAGTAGACGCCACGCAGTAGCCAGATATGATTTATGAGCTCTAAGGTGAATTCATGGAATCATTTGTTGTGATATGTCTATCTATAAACGAGGAAGCACTGTGTGACCGTGATACAATACTTACTGGTCCCAAAAAAGGACATCTGGAAATGAATTTGGGACCAACTTTGTTTCTTTTTGCTCTACTTGTATCCATATTGCTTATCTATCCGCTTGTAAATTTGCCCTTTTCAACTGTGTACTTCATTTATTTCCAAAAATATAACTTTCCTTAAAAAGAAAAAAAAAAAAAAAACAAAAACAGAACTTCTGTACAAGATACTAAGAATTTTAATTTATAAGATCTGTAAAAATATTTAAAATTAATATTTTTTTTATATTTTAAAATTTTATTGTGAAATATTGGAAAAAATATATGAAATTTATAATTTTTAAAATCATCGTGACCTATAATGATGACCAATAATAATATGTGATTGGTTGATGATTTGATCAGTAGTTTAATAAATATATATTTATATATAATATTATAAGTATATTAAAATCTAGAAAATATTTTTAAAAATGTGTGTCACGAAATTTAAAAAAAAAATACCAGAGAGAATTCATGCAAATCAATTGTATATAGATACTACAAGAAAAAAAAAAATAATTTGTTGCTTTACATAATAAAAAAATTATAAAGAGTATTATAAGTATTGGCTTTTAAAATAATTTTTCATTTCAAATCCCTCATTTAATGTTTTTACATGTAGTTGTTTTTCTCATAAAAATTTCAATAATTTCAATATATATGATTGACAATTAATTGATTTTTTATATAGAAAGAGAGGAAAAAAAAAAACTCAAATAAAAATAATTAATAAAAGCAAAAGCTACATTATTGATATCATATCATACTATGAGATTTGTTGAAGAAAATTTAAATGGTGGACACGCGACATATGCGAAAATAAGATTCATAATTAATGAATCTTCATTTTTTAAGGAAAATGCTTAACTTTTTCCATTTTTTTTTTATTTTCTCTTAAAATATTGATTTAAGTTGAGAAAAATAAAATTATTTAGATAAGATAACATATTTATAAAAGTAAAAGGGAAATCAATATACATAATAGTATATATTAAAAAAAACGAGAGTATTTTTGATAATTTATTTAAAAAATAGTGTAAAAATTTTAATTAATTTAGTTTTTAAGTAGATTGACTAAATATAAATAAATTTAATATTTTTTAAAAAATAAATAAGTAATTTACAAGCCATCGCATTATAAAATAACTATCTCTTTAGTTCACCCAAAATTATCGTAATTAAGAATATTCGAACTTAAAAGTCAAAGTTATCACGGATAAGGTTTAACTTTCAAAATTGGAATTACTAGGTCCCATAAATAAAGTCTCACTTTAAAAATAAAAATAAACGTAAAAATAGCTTCTAGACCCCAACGTGTCAAGAAGGTATTGGACAAGCTTGCACACCAAATATACGTAAGGAAACGAAGACGTACCTACAACTACAACTACAAGAAGGAATAAATAAAAATAATAATTATTAAGAACGTAATTATTTATTTCTTGAAGTAAATATATTATTTTTTATAAAATATTGATTGAATATTTAAGTAATAATTATTCTTATAAGATTAATTTAACATAAATAAAAATAAGTTGATAACTTACAACTAGAACCTAATTGTTAAAATAAAGTTGCAATGAATCGCGACTCAACATTGCATATGCTTGTTTTAATGAAATTTATTAAGCTCCTCGTTTGGGGAATATTAATTAATTTAGTTCAATTTAAGTGACCAAGTATCACAACAATTCAATTGAGTTTTCACATTTTTTGATAATATCATTTAATTTGTCTAAGTTAAAATATATTATTGAATAACTTAACAATATTATCTTTAAGTAATTTAAATTATTAAGTGAAACAATCACTGTTGGTCATATATAAAGGATAAAAATAAAAAAAATAAAAATTTATTATTGATGAAATATGCAAATGTGACAGAGAGTAAACTTTTTGCTTGAGATAAACAAATGGTAAATTCTGATTCTATTGGAGCATCTCCAATGCTGTTGTAGATTGTGATTCACTGATGTGTTATGTAGAATAAAATATGTGAACGTTGATTTGTTGAATGTATATTTATGGACATTAAATTTAAAAAGATTTGTCTCATGCACCAGTTTTTAATCGCATTTTATCTTTTTTTTTTCTTCCGAGCCCACAATTCAATATGCAATCGGTTATTATAGAGCGAACCAATGAATGCTAGATAATGTATTTATTTTTTTGACACCTAAGCTTGACATATCTACCAAATGGATATTAACTTTGGATGCCGGATAAATATGGATTATTTTCCTGATATGATAATTAAATAAAAGCAATCCATATTAAGATTAAGATTGAAGATGATCTTATTTCCTTTATTCCAACTAGAAATTCCACCTAATAGATAACTGATTGTGATTCTAAAGATTGATTATTTTATTATCTAATAAACAATTTAATTAACAACTACAATTACAGTATTTTACTGAAAATAATATCAAATTAGAAAAAATGACAGGAAATTGATTCCTGATACAATTAGAAAATATAAAACAGAGTAATGGAAAAAGATAAGAAAATGATATCATGGTCATTACTGCATCATCTCCCATTACTCCATTACCTTAACAACTTTGTCTTTTCTTTAATTTGCCCTTTTTTTTTTTCATATGCTTTCCATTTTTTACCTAGTGGGTTAGTTCATGCGTTTCTGTCTTTTCATCTGCTTCCATCTGATTCTTACTTCTATCTACAGCAAATTACCGTGACTTTATCTATGTTCAAACATATGGAAACAAATAAATAAAAAAATGTTTATTTGGCAATTCGAAGGAATGCCCAGATAAAAAATAATTATAGGGAATTGATAAATATTTAACTTTTTTGACCATTTCCATCATTTTTGGATAATTATTGAAGAAGAAATTGCAAAACCACCCCATGCTGAGTTATTCACTATATGCATAGAAAAATACATATTTTATTATCTATATATAATATGGAAAGTAGAGTCACATAGCACTAAAAAAGAAAACACAGATACGAACAGAGAAAAGATAGAGAGAGAGAGAGAGAGAGAGATTCTATGGCTGGTAGGAGAATATCATGGCTGCTCTCTCGTTCTTTCATTTCTGGTTCTGGTTCTGCTCTGTTTTCACGAGGTATGTCACTTACTAAAGATGCAGTGTGGGAAAAGTAAAAGTTTTCTATTATTTTTCTTGTTTGATTGTTCGTATGATTTGATCATATATTCGCCTTCACCCTTTCATTATTTTATGCCCTGCTGTTTGGTTTCTGAGAAAATATTTGCTAAAAAATGGAGGTAGAAAGTCTACTCCACAGAAAAGGGAGAAAACTAAAACTTTTGTTTATTTTTTCTCTATTTTTCATTTTTTTTTTCCTTTTCTTTTGAAACTGAAGCGATCGATTTTCTTATTATACTAGAGGTAAAGAATGAAACTTTTGATCAATATAAACACAAACAAGCTCTTAATTATTTATTTTTCAGTGATTATTGGTTGGAGGCGTAATATAAACCGCTTCTACATTAAATTCTGAAAAAAAAAGGAAATATATTCCAATTCTACTAACTTTTCAAGAATCTACTGAAGAAAGAATGTAAAACTCAATCTTTATTCATTATTCTAAATGTTTAGATTCAGATAAACTGTCTACTGTTCAGTGTTCAGACCTCATTTCTGGCTTTAAATCAGATTTTAATACCTTTTTTCTCGTAAAAAGAAGAAGAAAAGGTTAATCAAGAAAGAAGTTATCATTCTTTTAAATTTCTCCCAGTTTCTTATCTCTATCATAATTAGCTTCCCACGTTTGAATCGTCGTTTCTTTTTTCTTTTTGTAATTGTGGGACCCACGCTTGCCGTGTTGTGGGCCCTGCCTGTGGAAACTCACCGCCAAACACCCATTATTTTTTGGTTCTATGTGTCATGTGTGTATCGGTTATATGCATAATTTGTACCGATCTTGACAATCCTATATTGCAACTGTTTTATCTTTATTTGTTTGATTTTTAAAATAAAAAATGGGCTAATCTTTTCAAGTCTAAGAGAAGTAATTCTGTGTTGGTTTTTAATATCTTGATATTTGGTTATTTGGTTTTTGTGTTGTTTGGTTTTGACTATAGATTTTGTTATTTCTGTTCAGTCACATTTATTGCTGTATTTGTGTATAGCCTCCACCTCCAGCACATTTGTTATTGTGTATAATGTTATTAAATGTTAAAGAAAAAATACATCTTTTTCAGGGAGTAATTCTAGTCTTGCCAGAGGAATCAGTAGATATAGTACTGCTGCTGCTGTTGAAGAGCCAATAGTTCCATCTGTCTCTGTTAGTCATACTCAACTTTTAATTAATGGGCAGTTTGTCGATGCCGCTTCAGGTGAATTTTTTATTTGATTTTACGTTGTTATTTTCATTTGCCTTGTTAGAGCATTTAATTACTAAATCTTGTGTTTACAGGGAAGACTTTTCCAACATTGGATCCTAGGACAGGTGAAGTGATTGCCCATGTTGCTGAAGGTGATGTTGAAGACATAAATAGAGCAGTGTCTGCTGCTCGCAAGGCATTCGATGAAGGGCCATGGCCAAAGATGACCGCTTATGTATGTTTTACTTGCTGATTTTTTTTTTGTTGTTATTTTGTGCAAAGCTGAAAAGGGCTTTTGGTTTGAGAATTTTCTCCTGTGCAAACAGGAAAGGTCAAGAATAATGTTGCGATTCGCTGATTTGCTTGAAATGCATAATGATGAAATTGCTGCACTTGAGACTTGGGATAATGGGAAACCGTATGAACAGGCTGCTAAAGCTGAAATACCTATGGTTGCACGCCTATTTCGATACTATGCTGGTGGGTAAAATGAATGGAGCACAGCAATGTTGCTGATTTTAGAATTTATATAGCTTGAATATTCTTTATTGACTGTGCTATTTATATGGACATTTCTCAGGTTGGGCAGATAAGATCCACGGTCTTACAGTTCCAGCTGATGGGCAGCATCATGTGCAAACATTGCACGAACCGATTGGTGTTGCAGGTCAGATTATTCCATGGAATTTCCCTCTTCTGATGTATGCTTGGAAAGTTGGACCGGCATTGGCATGTGGCAATACGGTTGTTATTAAGACAGCAGAGCAGACACCATTGTCCGCTTTTTATGTATCTAAGCTATTTCATGAGGTAGCTTTTATAAATTGTTTTAGTGTGTATAACTAAAAATTTTATTGTGTTAATTCGAAGTGTTCTAGCATTTACAAATAACTTTAAGTGAAATTTGTGACTTAAACAACTACATCAATGCATCACACATATGCGTATCTCTCTAAAGAATATTTAGTATCTGCCTTATCCTTGTTAGATTAATTTTTTGTAGATATAGTTTCCGTGTGCTTCAATAGTAGTTTCTGTAAAATTATCACAAGTTAAATATCTAGTTTCTTGAAAAATTTTTGATATAGTTATGTTTCTTTTTCTTTTTCTTTTTTTTTTTTCATGCCTTGTCCTGATTAGATAATCTTTGTGACAGGCTGGACTTCCAGAAGGTGTTTTGAATGTGGTTTCTGGTTTTGGCCCAACTGCTGGTGCTGCTCTTGCGAGCCATATGAATGTGGATAAGGTATTTGCAACTTTATACATCCATACTTTAATAATGTGAGAGCCAATTATGCACCTTAATTGGAAGACTTATTGCTTCTGTGACATAATGTAGCACAAGTTCCGATAAATCCTCAGAAATGATAATCAAATATCAATCCTGATATGTTCTTAATTAAATGAATTGCTGGATTTACTACAAAGAGAGATAAGTCCTCTCTAAAAATTCAGCATTGCTTACGAACAATTGCTCTGTATTCTGTGATTTTGAAATATGAACTGTTGAAGTAATGCTAATTTAGAAGAACTATGTACTTTTAAACTGATAATATTTGCATATTTCATAATTGCCTGCAAAATCTGTGCAGCTTGCTTTCACCGGATCAACAGATACAGGAAAAGTTGTTCTTGAGTTAGCAGCAAGAAGCAATCTTAAGCCAGTAACTTTGGAACTTGGAGGGAAATCGCCTTTTATTGTTTGCGAGGATGCTGATGTTGACCAGGCTGTTGAGCTTGCTCACTTTGCTTTATTCTTTAATCAGGCATGTACAAGAAGATATTTCCAACATACCTGGTAGCTTGCGTGAAAGTAAAAACTGCAATTTTTACTGATTATGTTTCTTATGAAATTTGCAGGGTCAATGCTGCTGTGCTGGTTCCCGCACATATGTTCATGAGCGTATATATGATGAATTCATAGAAAAAGCAAAGGCAAGGGCTATAAAACGGGTTGTTGGTGATCCTTTCAGAGGAGGTATTGAACAAGGTCCTCAGGTATGTCAGCAAAGTTTGTCCTTCAAGAAAAATTACTTTAAGGCTGTTATTTCAGTATTGAAGAAGATATGCTGCCTTCACATACATTTTTGCATGTGTAGACAAAACTTGAAAAGAAAAAGTCAAAATTTCAAAAATTTGAAAGTCACTCTACTAATTGGTGATTAACGTGCCCTACTTGAATGGAACAGGTTGATTCAGAACAATTTGAGAAGATACTAAGGTACATAAGGTCTGGCATTGAAAGTGGAGCTACACTTGAAGCTGGAGGAGATAGATTTGGTACCAAGGGCTATTATATCCAGCCCACAGTTTTCTCAAATGTTAAGGTATATATGTTGTTTAATTGTCAACCATTTTACAGAAAATATTGAAATATGATTATGAAGCTAACCAACACCGTAATTTCCTATTCTAGGATGATATGCTTATAGCGAAAGATGAGATATTCGGTCCAGTGCAGTCCATCTTGAAATTCAAGTAAGCAATATATACTTTCTTTTCTGTGCCCTACTTGAATGGAACAGCGTTGAATTCAGACAATTTGAGAAGATACTAGGGTACAATAAGGTCTGGCATTGAAAGTGGAGCTAACATCTTTGAAGCTGGAGGAGATAGATTTGGTAACCAGGGCATTATTCCAGCCCCAGTGCCAGTTTTTCTCAAATGTCTAGGTAATAATATGTTGTTTAAATTGTCAACCATTTTTGACAGAAAATATGAATATGATTATGAACCTACCAAATCACCGGTAATTTCCTATTACTAGGATCGATATGCTTATAGCGACAAGATGAGATATTCGGTCCAGTTGGCACGTCCATCCTTGAAATTCAAAAGTAAGCGAATATCATACTTTCTTTTCTTTTTTTTTTTCTTTTTTTTTTTGTTTATCTTTATGGATATTGATTTGCATTTGAAGTTGAAACAGTTTTTTTCTGAAAAAATAATACTTTAAAATTGTTGGAAAAAACAGTTTTTGGCCAATAGGGAATTATTAATTAAGTCCTCATGGTTTTACATAATTATCCAACTATCTCAAGTTTTTGCGCAAATATCCTAACTAGTCCCTCACGGTTTAACTCCGTCTAATTTAAAAGGTCTTCCGTCCGAAAAGTTTGAATTTTTTTCCGGTTAATTGAAAGACTAAAAGCACTAAAACACCCCTACCTAGCTAAACGTGGACAGTATGAACGCGATTAATGATCATGCCTAGTCTTGTGTTCCCTTTGTTTCCTTCCATGCATAAATGATATACCTTAGTTTATCTCTTGCACAGAAACCTTGCATTAAATATTAATATTCATATTCAACGTTAATGAAATTATCAATAATATATGGTGGCAATAAATAATTAACTTTTTTATCTATAAATAACTATTGTTTTATGAGCTGGTGTTTTTTCCGCAAATATCTTTTTTTTTTTTTTTAGAATATTAATGAGTGATTAATATTTTTTTTCATTTTTATCCTTATTTATAATTAATTTTATAATTTATTTTTATATTTTATCCAAAATCTGATAACATACTCCTTCTCTTACTTTAAGGTTATGCCTTTACTTTCAAAAAAAAAAAAAAAAAAGTTCTACTTAAGGTTACGTAATAAAATTAATTAATATTTTGTTATAATTTATAAGAATAAATTTACTTACTTAATTACCATAAAAATATTAAAAGTATTTATGAATAGATGGAATACTTTGTTTTTTTTTTTAGATTTTATCAATGATAATAGAAATGTTTCTTGATAAAATTTGCATATTAAATATGAATAAAATAGAAAATATGTTTATTACTTTTTTTTCTAAAAAAGAAACTATGATGATAATTTGGGGTAAAAAGAAAAATGAAGTAATTACTTTTTTGAAGATGTATTTACTTTCATGATTCACTCAAATTTAATAATATTTAATTAGAACATCAAATTAATTTTTTTATCCTTTTTTTAATACTGTCTTTGTTTTATAATACTTGTCAGATTTGAGAAAATAGTTTGTTCTAAAATATTTGTCTAATTTAGTCTAAAATACTTGTTATATTTACGGTTTTAAGGAGTAATAAATATTTTTTTCATATTTACATTTGCGGTTTTAAGGAGTAATAAATATTTTTTTCATATTTACCCTTTGTGTATAATTAATAATTATTACTTCAATTTAATGATTTTCTTAAAGATTAATATTAAATTAAGGGTAATATTGTCAAAATTTTTTCAATAATTTATTATAATTTATACAAATTTAATAATTTTTTTAAAAGACATGAAATTCTAAATGTGACGATTATAGAATGAAGATAGTAATATTTTTAGAGACATAATTATATTTAATGGTTTTCGATTTGCAAATATTCATAATCTAAAACTAAACCGTACATTTAAGAGAGAAAAATGATTATGTCTCTTATGTCTCCATCGACTTTATATGAAAAACTCTTCAATTTTCATTTTTTAATTTTAGCGAAGCGCTAATTTCCTACTCGCTGTAATTAGCTTAGTTTATACAATTTTCTACATGCGCATAAAATTATAGGAAAAATTATGTATTTAGTCCCTCAGGTTTTATTTATTACAATTTCCTCCCCTTATCGCTTCATACTGGTCCACTTCAGCTAGGGGAGAGGGTATTTTAGTCTTTTAGTCTTCAATTAACGGAAAAAAAAACAACTTTTCGGAAACTGGAACTTTTAGTCTTCAATTAACGGAAAAAAAACAACTTTTCGAACGGAAGGACCTTTTAATTAGACGGAGTTAAACCTGAGGGACGAGTTAGATATTTACGCAAAACTTGAGATTAGTTGGATAATTATGTAAAACCTGAGGGACTAAATAATAATTTTCCCTTTGCCAATATTGTGTAACTGTTTTGAAGCAAATGAACTTTATATAAAAAAAATTCATGTTTACAAAAAGGCTTCCCTGGTGGATGAGGCTCTTTGCTTTGTTGGGTTCAAACCAAGGTCATTTATCAAAATGCAGTCTTGCCAATGGATTTAGAAGTGTATATTAATGTTCGAAAATTTTGCAGGGATCTTGGAGAAGTGATACACAGGGCGAATAGCACTCGCTACGGGCTGGCTGCGGGAGTGTTTACACAGAACATAGACACAGCTAACATCCTGACTCGTGCCTTGCGAGTTGGAACAGTATGGATTAATTGCTTTGATGTGTTCGACGCTGCGATTCCTTTTGGTGGATATAAGATGAGTGGACATGGAAGAGAGAAGGGTATTTACAGTCTTAGCAATTACTTGCAAGTGAAGGCAGTGGTTACTCCTTTGAAAAATCCAGCATGGCTATAAACTATATAGTACATACCTCCAAATTGAGTCCACACTTCAGGTTTTTTTATTGCCATGTAACTGAAAATAAAAGGGTAGACTGATAAAATATAAGACCTCCATTGATGGGGGGTATTGATCTTGATAGTGAAGGAGGAGGTGAAGATGATGAAGATAAAAAGGTCTGTTTGTTGAGGACATTTGAGGCTTTTGTCTTTTCTTGTATTTATATCTGGTCGAATTAATTTGTCAGTGATACGTTGCTATTTCTCTTCTGTGATGGTGTTTGACTTGAATCATAAATTGGGCCAATTTAGGTTGAGGTGGGCCGTGGGGGTTTGGTCTCATGTGACGGGCTTCAATAAGAAGTCGGGCAAACTTAGGTTTGGCATAGAGTTTGTTTGGGCGTCAAAATTAACTAATAAAGGAGTCAAAAAAGGTTCACTGAGAAATCTTCTTTAAAATGAAGCAAAGATCCTTTTATTTTTTTTTTTTGGAGGAAGAAGAGCTTAAGTTCATTAAGAAGAATCAGAAATGACGATATTGAATAAAATCAGGGATCATGTCCCACACACAGAAACTAGCAAAATAACAAGCTGCTCGTGCCAGAGAGTGAGCAGGTTGATTTGCATGTCTCTTTACCCAAGCTATAGAAATATCACTTGATTGAGAAATGAAGTGTTTAATGTCTCCAAGAACCAGGCTCCAATCAGAATAATCAAGACTGCCCCCCTGAACTGCATTAACAAGCTGGAGACAGTCTGTTTCTATAATTGTTAGTCCCAAATGGAGAGAGCGTAGCCAAGAAAGTACTTCTCTCATAGCAATAGTTTCAGCTACTCTTGGGGAACATAAACCAGAACTATAACCTGAAACTGCCTTGATAAAACTCCCTCTATGATCTCTAATGACTGCACCATAAGAGAATTTATTATCAAGGGTATAAATGGTCGCATCAACGTTGCACTTGACAGCTCCTTCCGGCGGTGCAATCCATCGGGGCAATATCTGGCCCAACACGGTGTGACGACTAGAACTCCGAACCTGGTGCGAAAGCCAGTCTCGTAAACCACAAGCAGCTGCAGTAACCACAGAGTATGGTGAAGCAATCTGTTGCTGCCAAACTAACTTGTTCCTTGCGAACCATATCTGATACAAAAGCATAGCAAAGCTTGGAATCCGAGATGCTGGTAAAGTTGAAAGCACATGGACCAAGAACTCTCCAAAAGAAGACACAGGTGCCGCAGAAAAATCATAACCATCAAAAGCCCAAACCAGAGTTACCGATGGGCAAAGAAACAGCGTATATCTAATAAATAAATTGTAAATAAATTAAATAAATTGAAAATAACCATCAAGCAAAGATTATGCTTGCATCATGGTTTTGAAAATAAATTGAATAATTTTGCTGTTAGTAGTTATAATCTAATTATAAATGCATATCTAATAATCGAGTTTTGCCTTTCTCGATATTCAAGAATAAATAAATAAAATTTAGTGATATATTCTTTTTATCCACAAATTTGACTTCTTTTTATTTTCAAGTTGTCTTATTCATTTATAAATAAACTATAAGTTCATTTGCAGTTTTATTTTCGAGATGTCATATTCATTTATAAATAAAATATAAGTTCGTTTGCAAATAAATTTTACATATGTAGTATATTCAACTTAAAATATGTAATTTGATTTTAAAATATTTTTTAAAATTAATTTAAAATTGAAAATTAGAAGTGAGTGAATATTTTAACGCGGGAGAGTTAGGAGACTAGGAAATTGATGGCTTAAGAGTCGAAATTAGTGAGTTAGAAGAATAGAGACTTGGATCAATGATGGTGAGTTTAGAAGACACCTTTAAATATTCAAAGATAGAGTGAGATATCAGGAAAAAAGATTTGCAATTAATTGTAACATTTAGTGACTATATCTCATTGAATGTCATATCACAAATAGGTCCTTGGGCTTATGCCAAATTACCAATAGGACCCTCATTCAAATATAATCTATTGATATCCATATATTACCATGTTATCATATTTGATCAAATTACTCTTTATTTTATTATAATTTAAGAGAATTAATTGCTCCCGAATTTCGGCTTAAAAACCGTAAAATAGAGCAGTAAACATGGCAGAAGCCACTTGCCAATGCCAGGTAAATGAAAATCCAGGTAGTTTATAAGTTGATGGCTGTGGAATGTGCATTGTACTACTTCATTAATGCATTAATGGCCATTATTTCAATTTTCAGCTGTCTCTGCTCACCTTGTTTCATTGCATCCCTCATATTACAGCTGTCTATCTACATATTTCTGCTCATTGAAGTTGAAGCTATCTATCTCTGCTGAGCATAGTTTACACTTCTTGATGTACAACTTGGAGAATTGCCCTTAAAGTTTACCTTCTCATTTGCCAATCAGACACTCTTTTAAAAGGACATAAGGAGTATAACTGAGGGACTTTGAAAGAAATAGTTAAATATACAAAATTAAAATAACTTATTAACACAATGGAAGAAGCATCAAATAAACAACTTAATTCCATTTGAATAAAAATATAACTTAATCAGTAATTACATCTCTCCATTTCAATCAATAGATTCCCAAATCTCCAACTCTAACCACATAATATATATTTTTTTTTTTAAATTAAGGTTCCATTTTATCTCTGGTACTGTTGAATCTGCTTTCTGCAAAGATGCTCTGTTCTGTATTTAGTTTCCATATAATCAGGTAAAAAAATAATAGTAGTAAAATTTTTAAAAAATTTAGAAATGAAGTTTTAAATAGCATTTATTTGCACTCAGGTGGCATGACCTTGAATCTAGGTTTGTCATTACAGTAAGAGTAGAACATGAGCTTCCTTCTTGCCCAATCCATTGCCACATTTTGATCTTTTGATAAAGCAGCAAATTCTTGCCCATCTACAGGGTCTAAACTTGAAGTGCCAGTCTTAGAACATGAAGGTGATGGAGTGTATAAGCAACCAGTCATTTCCATTTCTGCAAATGAAACAACAAATGGTGCATATTGATAATTAACTGGGTATTTTCCTCCATGAGTTGCCCATTGTGAACCATCCCAAATTGTTGCATATAGTGACATTGGCTTTGATGGGTATATGGATGGATAGGCATTGTTGTGGACAAACTCTCTTACTGGTACATTGTCCACCAGAAACCTGCAAATTATTATAGTTTCATTAATACAGGATAAATACTTAATTTGAACCTTAGATGTTTTTAAGATGTCTAATTAGATCTAAGATTAAATTTAGGATAAATTTAAGATAAAAAATTCAAATTTTGGGTTAATTTAGCCTGATTTTTGGCAAAAGACAATAAAAAGAACCATCTTTTTTCATTTTTTAAATGAAAGAAACTAAAAAACTCAATTGTGGGTTTCAGTAAATCTGCAGTTATTTCCAGGATTTTTATGTTGCAAGTTTAGAGCCTTAACTTAGCAGAAAAAATAAAGAAAGTTCCAATTTTGATTGGATTAATTAGTAGCTTACACTATATGGTGATTGTTCCAGATGATGCTGTAATGGTGGTAGTCTTCTGTTGGATCAAACCAGAAATAGAATTTCTCTTCTCTTCCTGTGCTTACACTTCCATTTGCATAGATGTTTGTTTGGAGGACCCAATTGTTTCTCTTGTCATGACCAAGAAGTTCAATGTCAATCTCATCATGGTTGTGAGGGTTTGTATCTGCATTAGACATCTGCAAAATTTTTCCATTAAAGCTCACATCTAAATCAAAGAAGCCATTGATATGCAAGCTTAAATACATAGAAAGAGCTTACATAGAAGGCTACAACAACTCCAGAGGATTGACCAGCAGGCAACTTTATTGCAGCACTAAAAAACCCATAATAATATTTGTTCTTTGAGGCCAAACCAGAACCTGAGAAATAAAAACCCAGAAAGAATATATCAGAATGAACTCAAGGAAACATAAACTTCTAAACTTTCCAAACCTCATTTTCTACCTGAAGATTTATCAAGAGCAAGATTTGCATACGACCCATTATTGAGCAACTTAACATTTGAACCTCCAAAAAATGTGGAGAACCCTTGACTAACTGAAACATGGGAGAAGAGATCAGTGAAGTGAGTAACATTAGGAGGTGTGTATTGCATATGATGCCTGCTGTGTGAAGAAACTCCTAATGTCAAGCACAAGAGTAAAAGAAGACCCAAATGGGTGCTTTCTGGCAAAGGTGACATCTTTCTACTAGGATTTGATGGGGGAAATGTATTGGTCAGATTGGTTATATATAATGGTAGAAATAGTGCACAATCTTTGCTTAGTTGTTAACTAGCTGGCTGCCTCTTCCTAGTATCTCCTGTTGGTGGTTGTTTTGGATCTTAAAGACAATTATGCAGTGGTCATATGGTGATGGCTTTAGGACTTATAGCAGAGCTCATGGGGCTGCATTAAAGTTAGGACCATGATTTGGACATTTTCATAAAAGGTTTTTCCATTTGTATATAATAAATTCTCTTTTAAAAGTTAATTTCCATATTATTCTTTCTATTTTTTACAGGGTTAGATCGACAAAATTAGTTATTTTTATAGTTGTTATCTATTTCAATAGCATTTAGGCTATATTCGACACTAACTTTTTAAGTAGAACGATACTTAAAAAATTATTCAATAACACAGCGTTTGAACAAGCTCTTAGAGGTTAAAATAACGTTTTGTAAAAAGTTTAACTCACGGAACGTTTTAACATTTATGAAAAACTATTCAAACAATTAACACTTACCAAAACAATTAATTTTACGGTAACTGTTAGCTGTTTGTACATTAGAAAAATACACATTAAGTATTAAATTAGCAGCTTATGGAGTCATTTTACATAAAAATGTGATGGGATTTCTCATCTATACAAAGGACAATTGGATATTTCCATTTTTACGAGGAATGGTCCAAAAAATCCCCTGATGGGCCAAAACAAGGACATTTTGTTCTTCGCTTGTAATGGGTATAAAGTTTCACACGCAAGACGGGCAGGCAGTATTGACATTTCTATTCCCTTATGTCATTTTCTTAAGTCCTTTTATTTAATTGGACATTTTATTTACCACCTCCTTTTCTTTCTCTTTCAGCTATAAGAATCACTAAAAATGGATTGCATGATTTCGAATGCCTTAAGCAAAAGTAAACCCTCCAATTAAAAATTATTACTTTCTATTTTCAAAAAAAAAAAAAATTTACTTTCTTTAGTTAAAAACTTAAAATCCTATCATTAAATTTAAAACCTAGTTTCGAATAATTTGAAATTTTTAAAATGATAGTTTGACAATAAGAAAGACTTTATTTTCAAACTATTAAGAAGGGATTAAACTTGGATTTTATTGTTAATTAATACATAAATGTAAACATATACAATAATATAGTTTCAAATCAAATAATCAATACATCATCTAATTGATTGGACAAATGAGAGAAATGTTACATGAAATTGATTAGACATTTATATTTTAATTTAGACATATCTAATTTCTTTAATGGTGTCAAAATGATTCGCCAGAACCATATTAGCTGGCACTTTATATGCTTAGGATTTGACAATTAACAAATAAAATTTAAATGATAGAGATTGCATTAAAAAGGCCTTTGTACGTAGCTATGATCATCCGAGTTATGGCTGCAATTTTCCCTACTATTTGTCCATTTTTGACCTTCTATTTCAACAGCAATTTGCAATTTGCAAGACAAAACAACAAAAATTAAATTACGTTTGGAATATATAGCGGTTGAGATCGCTAATCTTAACCAGCTTGGTATATTGGATTATGAATGACATTAGCTTATACGACAGTTATAGCTAATTTCCTCAAGCATTGCTGATGTGGGTGTATTTGGCATTTTCATGTATTAGTTTCTGATCAAAATATATTATTATTTTTAATAATATTATTTGGAACTGTTTAAAAAATGTAATTATAATATAAAAAAATTAAACCAAAACCAAAAGTCATCGAGATTTACATTTTCTTTTTATTTTTTTTGTTTTTTAAAGAAGGATTATCTAATCATCATATGAACATACATGCACAATTAGAATTTTTTTTTTTTCAAAAAAAAAAAAGATTTAACATCAATAATAGTTTATCAAATATTCAATAATCCATTCTAAATAATTAATATTTAATAATAAAATAATTAACGGACCTAAAAATAAAGAAATAAATATAGGTAGCTTCCTTCCCATAACTCTATGATTGATCTCTCTCTCCCTATATGTCGGCAACCTTTCTTCACGTACCTTCACTTTCACGAGATCTTCCCATAATTCTTGGCCACGTGTCACACTCTGATCCAATCCAATTACGAAATTCGAAACTCTCTACGAACCCGCCCTGTGCATATCCCCTACATCCCATCTGTTTATCTACACGTGTCTACTTAGATCACCGTTCGGTGCGTCAACATCACATAATCTGCTGACACGCGTCCATCGCTAGATCCAAGATCCAATACCTATATATACGAACCAACCGCCATTGACAAATTCAAAACCAACAAAAACAAAATCCAAATACGAACGAACTCCCAAAACCCAACTTTCCATCTGTCTTCTTTATTTGTTCGATGATCCGAAGTTATAATGGGTCGGGTCGCCGGATTCTTACGTTCCCGGCCGTGCATCCCTGCGATGGTATAGACCTAACAACACTGCTTTCCTCATTAACCAATCTAGCACTCGACATTTGCGAGTACAAGTCCAAATCGTTCTCTACCAATGCACGAAACGCGCGTGAAATGTTTCGCCAAGTCAGCAACGTTCTCGTCTTCCTGGAGGAAATCCGGATCGCTTTTGGTTTCAATATATCAGAATCGATCGTTCTCAGCTTGTCGGAAATCCATTTGACGTTACAGAAGGTTCGTTTCTTACTGGAAGATTGCACCAAGGAAGGTGCTCGTTTATGGATGTTAATGAAATCGGAGCGAGTGGCGAACCAATTTTGGGTACTTATACGGTCCATCGCTGCGGGTCTGGATGTGTTGCCATTTGAGTCGCTTGATTTACCTGGAGAAGTAAAGGAGTTGATAGAGTTAGTAGCAAAGCAAGCGCGCAAATCAGGATTTGAAGTTGACCCGGATGATAAACGGGTAACGAATGATGTATTCTTGATCTTGAATCAGTTCGAAAACGGTCTCGTTCCTGACAAGAACGACATAAAACGGGTTCTGGATTACATTGGGGTCGAAAAATGGAGTGATTGCGATAAAGAGGTCAAGTTCTTGGATTCAGAGATTGAATTCGAGTATTCAAATCCAGAGAAGAGAAGAGAATTGGAGTTCTTAAGTAGTTTAATGGGTTTCATGTGCTATGCAAGATGTTTATTTTTCAATTCCATCGATTCCAAAATAACCCTACAAAGTCAAGATAGTAAATGCAGCGGCGAATTACTTAACTACCTCAACAGTGATGATTTGAAATGCCCAATATCGCTTGAGATCATGAAAGATCCAGTCACGATAGAGACAGGGCATACTTATGATCGATCTTCAATATTGAAGTGGTTCAGGTCAGGAAACCATACATGTCCTAAAACAGGTAAGAGACTTGAAACCGTAGAGTTAACCCCTAATTTATTGCTTAAAGGGCTGATTCAAACTTATTGTATCCAAAATGGGATCCAATCTGTTGAATCTAATCGCAAGAACCGTGACATTACAAGAACGGTTCTTGCAGGAAGTCTTGCAGCACAAGAAGCTATGAAAATGGTAGCTAAGATTCTTGCTGATAGGCTCGAAAATGGAGATAGTAAAGAGAAGAGTAAAGCATGTTATGAGATTCGGCTTCTTAGTAAAGCAAGCATTTTTAATAGGTCTTGCTTGGTTGAAACTGGTGTGATCTCATCTTTATTGAAGTTGTTATTGTCTGAAGATTGTTTGTGTCAAGAAAATGCTATGGCAGGTTTATTGAATCTTTCAAAGCATCCGAAAAGTAAAGCTTTGATTGTTGAGACTGAGGGATTAGAGTTGATTGTATATGTTTTAAAGAAAGGGTTAGGTATGGATTCTAGGCAACATGCTGCTGCTACATTGTTTTATCTTGCTTCGATAGAGGAGTATAGGAAATTAATTGGGGAGAGTACTGAAGCTATACCGGCTTTAGTACAGTTAATCAGTGAAGGAAATGATCGCGCTAAAAAGAATGCATTGGTTGCTATTTATGGATTGCTTACACATTCTGAGAATCATCTTAGGGTTATTGCAGCTGGAGCAGTTCCTTTGCTTCTTACTCTTTTGAAATGTTGTGAAAGAGAAGTGCTGGTTACGGATTCTTTAGCAGTTTTAGCTAGTCTAGCAGAGAAAACTGATGGGGCTAAAGCCATTCTGCAATCTGGTGCCTTACCTCAAATTTTGAAGATTTTGGATTCCTCAACTTCAAGGGCAACAAAAGAGCAATGTGTGAGTTTGTTGCTTGCTTCATCCATCAACGGTGGTGCTGATGTGGTTGCTTTTTTGGTCAAGAGCTCTTCTGTTATGAGATCATTATATTTTCAATTGAGTGAAGGCACTTCTCGAGCAAGCAAGAAAGCAAGTTCCCTCATTAGGATTCTCCAGGAATTCTATGAGAGGAGCTCCTCTAGCTCAAGAAAACCAGTTCTCCCTCGAGAACAATTTATTCATGTGTGGTAACCCAAATTTTTCAGGGCATTCCACGCATTATTCCTTTTTTGTTTTTTTCTTGCAGGAATCTCTCTCCACGTAAATACACATAATTGTGGGTAGATGACTTCTTGCTTGCTTTTGTGTTTGGTTTTAGGATGTTAGCTCAGTTTTTTCAAGAGCTAATATTTTCATTGGCTTCCGTTTTTTATTATGAAGCTTTGTACAAACATATGATCCTTTTTTTTTTTTAATTTCCTGATTCGTAACAATAAATACTGTATTACTTTGTTGTAAAAATCATTCATCAGAAGATGCAATAAAAATGCGATGTTATCTTCCATTTTTTGTTGCTCAACCATATGTGATTGATTTCATTCTCATAGAGATATGAAGTGCTTTCTCTACTCTTAGTACCACTTGCTCCATTGATGGCCTTTCTTGCTTAGTGCCTGTACATGACAAGGCTAATTTGAGTACCAGATCGAATGCTTCAACTGAGAACTCTCCATTAAGCTTAGGATCAGCAAATTCTGTTATATTGCCACCTCTTGAAAGAAATTTTGCCTGAGAAATTGAGGTATGCAACATCAGCAGAGAATCAGAAGTGTTAAAAGTTCTACTTCTGGTGATATAGGAAGGAGATTTTGCCTATTTACCATTTTGTTTAGTTGCATTGGTCTATTACAATTCAGATTGATCACTCTTTGCCCTGAAATTAGTTGTAGCAGCACGATCCCAAAGCTGTAAACATCGCCCTTTGCATTTACACGGTGATTTCTTCGGTATTCAGGATCAACATAACCAAATGTACCTCTAACTTCAGAACTCACATAAGATTGACCTAAATCCATAACTTTGGATAATCCGAAGTCTGCAAGTTTTGCTTGAAATTCGGCATTGATAAGAATGTTGGTGGGCTGCCAAGACAACAAATATGATAATAAAATCAAAGAAAAAGAAATATTGACAGGAGACTTCTACAATGAATGGACATACCTTGATATCGCGGTGAACAATACAGCCTTCTGGATAACTATGCAGAAACCAAACACCTCTAGCACTATCAATTGCAATCTCAAGCCGTTGAATCCAGGAAAGAACTCTATTTTTACCTATTGTTTTTCGAATTTGTCAATTCTCCATAAATAATAAGGAAAATATTGCAACTGCGCAAGAGTGGGAAATGAAAAGTACCTACCATATAACCACTCTGATAGATTACCATTGCTGCAAAGCTCATAGACTAAAAAATATTCATCTTTGTACTCGCAAAAGCCAACCAAAGCTACAAGGTTAGGATGTCTGATATGAGACAGGCTGGTAACTTCACGAACAAATGTCTCTACATGGCCGTCATTGAGTATGTGCTTCACTGCAACATGTTGCCCATTATGCAGTATCCCTTTGTACACTTTTCCTGTGCAATGCTATAAAATCAAATTTTCTGGTATAAGGAATTCCCAAATTCATCATACAGGCTGCTCGTTTGTGCTCAATGAAGAGATTCGTAAATGTGAATTTCAAGCTTCTTACCTGCTATGCCTTGCCCTATGAAGTTTTTTTCACTGAGGTAGTCTGTTGCCAAGTAAATTTCTTTAGGTGATAACTTCAGATCATCTGACTTCTCAGAATATGACTCATATGATCCTATCCAGTAAAATGGGGGGAAAAATTTTGAGCAATTAAGCTATACATAACTGTAATCGATAATTAAATATTAATCAGCAATAAGTACCATTTCCAGTTAACAGTTTTTCTTGAGCCTTTCTTCTATAAAAGATCCATACTGATACTGCAATAACTACTATTGCCAAAAGTCCCACTAATCCAATGAGTAAAATCAAATTTCCTGTTATAATTAAGAAATTCAAATATATTATAATTAAATACTCATATAAATCAAATGGGGAAAGCAGTAGCCTTTATCAGCGAAACTCACTTGACTTTTGCCTGGTGTCACCATTCCTATCCATGCCCGCGTGTATATTCCCTGGGAGAAAGAAACTATTCAGATCTAAAACAAAAAAGTGAATCAAAATCCGAAAAAGGAAAAATGCAAATGTCTAAAACATATTATAATTACATGAAGAAAGACAATCATAAATTGCTTGAACCCTTTTTCTATCATCAATGAAGTTGCTGGTTAATGCTACGAGAATAGCAAATCTACAAGTGTTGGGATCAGAATTGAAGTTTGATGATTCACCAATCTCCTCCCATCTTCTCAAACAAGCATTGCAATTCTGCAAGTCATCCCTTTTGTTATCTAAACCCGAAAATGCACAATCTTTTTCTAAATTATTCACTCTATTTCTAAGCATATTATCAACATCTGCCTTGGTATAGCTAGAGCAGCCACCATCACCACCTCCACCAGTTTGGTTCTCAATGCCACAGCCCAAAACATCGTTATAAATAGGCTTCATTGAAATTAAGCAATTCTCCTGTTCTGTAGAATTTAAGTAAATTTGGCCAGTTTTATTGGCTCTTTTCCCCAATGCATACAAATACTCATCAAAAACAGCTCCACAACAACTGTTGTTGATTAAGCCACCCCAGTTGTTGTTTGGTTCACAATTTGAGGTTTCTATAGTTGAAGAGAGTTTAATATCAAGAATGCAATTATTATTAGAAGTTTGTGAAGAAACAAAACATGGGGCTGTAGTGATCATAAAAATAAGATTGATGATAAAGGAGAGTAGTTCTTGGTATTTCAAGATTTGTTTAGCCATGTAAAAGGGGGTTCTATATTTGAGGTACTTTCGGCTTAAAGATGAATAAAATGGGCTACAAATACAATGAGAATGCACATACTTGTTTACTCTTTCAACTCAACATGATTGATTTGCTGTTGATCTTATTAAAAACAAACAAATTTAATATTTAATCTAAAAGATTTTTAAAAAGGTGTTAAAAAATGGAACTTGGGTCCTTAGGATCTATAACTTCACAATAGAATCTAGAAGAATGTTGGGACTATGGAGATGGGTTACATTAAGGAGCATAAGTTAATGCACAAGAGACACAGTCGTAGACACATACAATTGAATTTAACAATTTAATATGCATGTTTAGAAGAGAGGCCTTTTTGTAGTCACCAAAAGAAGACATATGCCAAAAAAGAAGAAAAAGAATAAGACATCTGCATAAGCAAATGGGTGTGAGTTGGTGTAAAATACTTTTCTCCTTTATTTATTTATTTAATCATTTTGTTGTGGAAGAGAAGTTGTTTTTGCCACATGGGGTAGCATTATTTCCACCCCCACCTGATTTAATTTTAAAAGCTGATTATGCCAAGTGTAGGCATATGATATAAAATTAGTTATTGTTCGATAAATTCACCATATATTGTAATCTATAAAGAAAGGTACTCGTCGATAATATTGAGGTTGGGAAGTGGTGGACAAGCAAATAAGACCAATAGGAAGGTTAACAACTTAGAATTTGCAGCCTTAGTTTATTGGTATGTAACTTTAGGCTTTGGCATCATGGCAAAAGAGACCTCGCTCGCCTTCAATTTGGGCCTTGGAGCCAGAATTCTTTATTCCAAACGGGACCGATTCACTGGGCCAAGCTATAGTTTGAAACTTACGATTATGGACCGGTAAATGTCAGCAGTTAGCTGTAGCATCTTAGGCCGACAATAAATTTCTATATTTTTTATAAATCAATTCGAAAAATAACAAAATCAGAATCATACAATGCTGAAATTGAAAATATCGAACCTGTTTGGCAACTTATGTCTCTCAGTTCCTCGATGATGGCAATGCCAATAGTCTTTTCTACGAGATTTCCACAAGCTTTCTTCCTTCATAAAAACACATTCCTTTTCCTTCTCCATTGCAATACAAGCAATGGCTGCTTCTAATAGCTTCAAATTTCAGTTTCTGTTGATTGCCTTTTGGTTATGTATAGCTCTGTTAATCTCTCCTTCAAATTCGCTCAAATGCACTTCACAAAAATTTAGAAAAAACATTGTATTTTCAAATTGCACCGATCTTCCTGTACTAAATTCCTTTCTACACTTCACTTACAATTCTTCCAATTCCTCTCTTTCCATCGCCTTCATCGCCACTCCGCCCAAACCAGAAGGCTGGGTCTCGTGGGCGATTAATCCGACAGAGGAATGTATGATTGGATCTCAGGCTCTGATAGCATTCAAATCCGACGGTTCAGATTCAGTTACCGTCAACACTTACAACATTAGTAGCTTCAATCCGCCTGTAGTGTCAAAGCTATCGTTTGATGTGTGGGATTTGAGCGCGGAATCTGACGGCGAAAATTTTACGATATTTGCGACGGTGAAGGTGGTGACAAGTGCGGGGAGGGTGAATCAGGTTTGGCAGGTGGGAGGAGCTGTTAGTAATGGTTTTCCGCAGATACATGCAATGGACGATGCTAATATGAACTCTAAGGGAGTTCTGGAGCTTGCGGCGCCTCCTACTGCGCCAAGTGAAAAGTCTGGATGCATGTGTATTGCTTATTCTAATATTGGAAAGTGGAATTTGGTTTTGGTTTCCTTATTTATTTTGATAGCTAGTGTTCTTGTAGTTTGAGAATTTTAAAAAAATAAATAAATAAATATATGTTTTTTTTTTTTTTTTTCAAGAGTTCAAAAAAGACAATATACTGGTGCTATTATTTTTTTTCTTTATTCTTGCCACTATGGCTTGCGTATGTGTTCTTTTTAATAATTATTTTTGAAATTAAAATATATAAATAGGTAATGAAGGGCTTGAAATTTTTTTAAAAACTTTGCTTCTTTTTGAATTTGATTTATTAAATATATGAATATGGTATTTTTTTTTTTTTTACAGTTTGAGTATTATACATTAACTTTACTTTGTACTTGCATTGTGTTTTTGTTCCAATTTTTCATACGCTTCTTCTGATTATACAAATAAAGAAAATGAATTTTTTCCAAAAAAAAAAAAAAAAAAAAAAAGAAATGCCAGTATGCATGACTTTTTTGAAAAAGTTAACCTATATTCATTATATACATGAAAAAAAAAAAAAAAAAAAAAAAGAAATGCAAGTATGATGACTTTTGAAAATTTAACCATATTCATTATATACCATGAAATATTGATATAGATATTATATATTAATAAATAGATATCATTAAATATGATTTTTAAATTTTATTATATTTTGATTACATCAATTATTCATTAACTTTATATAAAAAATAATATTTATTTAACCGTTAATATGGGGACACTGTGTTTACCTTATTTTCAATGTGAATTCATGCTTTAATAATATATACAATTTAAATAATATTATATGAAAATTATAATCAATATTTAATATTAAAATAAAAAATAAATGAGTATAAAAAAGAGTAACCAACGAACAATAGCAACGTGAAACGCACCGTATAAAGAAAATCTTATAAATGAATGCAAATTATTAGTTAGTCAATTTTTTGATATTTCTGTTGCTTGGACTCAAGGCAAGCAAATAAATTTACTCATTCACTTCTACAAAAAGTTTATTTATATACTATAGCTTTCACCTTTGGGATTGGTATAAAAGTTACTGCTTAGTGTGTTACTGACTAATTAATTAATAAAGCTCCAATCCTTTTTCAAAATAAAAATTTATATTGCTGATTTTTTTCTTAAAAAAAAACTCAATAATTCATTAATAATGAATATAAGTCAAATACATCATAATAATATCCCAACAGAAATAAGAAATATAAATATAGAAAATTAAAATCTTCTGTTTGGAAATATTTTTTATCTTTGTAAAAAAGATTAATCTTCCGCGTAAAAAACGAGTCTATTTTCAAACAAGACAACAAAAGAAATCTTCCGCAATATTGCTCTGAATATTATTTTTTTAGAAACTTGTTACAATTGATATCTGCAAAAAAATTTAATATAATAAAATTTAATGGAAGAACAGATCGCACTACCAAGTTCCATTGGTAAAATAAATTTACCCGAATTTGAAGATCTGAAGTCTCTAATCACAAGCAACTAACAATCCATTTTGTATTTCAAATTGCCAGAAAAATAAATCTAAATAAAAACTCCTCAATAATGAGAAACAACTCCATGAAAGGAGAGAAATAAATAACCCTAATAAGAGGTATCAAAAACACTCAATCTAAGAGGTTAAATTCAAATTTTGTTCCAAACGATCGTAGATTTGAAAATTATTAAAAAGAAAATTAAGTAAAATAAAAAAAACGACAGTAAAGGATGAAAAGAAACCACTGCTGACCAAAGAAGACAGTCAATGGTAGTTTAGAAATAAAATCTAGAAGGACGCAAGAAAAGAGAGCCAGAGAGAGACGGCTAGAACTTATAATTTGAAAATTTTAAATATTTTAAATAAGATAAGTCTAATTAAAAAAGGAAAGATTTAATATTTAGGAAATTGTATAATTCGGAAACTAAAAATTGAGGGTATAATATTTAAAGTAACAAAATTTGAAAATGAATTTATGTAATTCAATAAATTCTCATAAAATGCTTTCCACATAGGTGCGTGAATCACATGTTCCTAAGGGGAAGAAACTTGATTCTATAGAATTTAGTTTGGTTTGAAATTTAATGGACCTAAAAATATAGGTTCAAGTTTAACTCAAGCTTAATTTTAGCTTGATTTGAAATTCGAATAATTTAAAATAATATTATATATATATATACCTTGATTTGAAAATTTCGAATAATTTAAAAATAATATATATGTATATATTATAATATATATATTATAGTAAATTTGTATAAGGATTCGGATAAATTTTTTGAGCCGCACATATTATTAAATCCAAGCTTAATTCAAGCCTGAATTTTTTTCAATATTTCTTTTCGAACTTCGGATCGAATGCTTATGAGCCGGCTGAGCTGATTTTTACACTTCTTAATGAGGGACCATTCCAAAAATTAGAATAGAACGATATATATATATATATATATAAATTTGATAAGATTCGATGAATTTTTGAGCCGAATATTATTAAATCCAAGCTTAATTCAAGCTGAATTTTTTCAAATTTCTTTTCGAATCGGATCGAATGGCTTATGAGCCGGCTGAGCTGATTTTTACACTTCTTAATGAGACCATCCAAAAATTAGAATAGAACGACAGGGGGGCCCATTATAAGGTTCCTGTAAGTTAATAGTTAATACGCAAACAAAAGGATCGCCGTTTAATAAAATATCTTCGACGTCTCCGCCAACCAACGACTATGAACTGATCCCCTTCTAATCATAGAAAAAGAGATTCCAACAAATTATCCGATCAACAATCCAAAAACCCAATCCCAAATCCAAAAACCGAGCCCTGTCAATTCCGTCATGGGTGTCGCCGATGGACCCACCGACGCTGTACCCGACTCCGAAACCTCTCTTTTACTACCCATCACCACAACCACCACCTCCGCGACAGTCACTGTGTCTAGTTCCGTCATCCTTGAAAATGCCCCAAAAGACACTTTCCACTTAGCCTACATAATCTACTTCACTCTCGGCCTCGGCTTTCTTCTCCCATGGAATGCCTTCATCACCGCCGTCGATTACTTCTCCTACATCTATCCCGGTGTCTCCGTTGACCGCATATTCGCCGTCGCTTATATGTTGGTGGGTCTCTGTTGCCTGTTGGTGATAGTCTTTTATGCGCATGTATCTGATGCTTATGTTAGGATAAATGCGGGTCTCGCCCTTTTTGTGCTGGCGCTGTTGGTTGTCCCGGTTATGGACGCGGTTTATATAAAGGGTCGAATCGGGTTGTATGATGGCTTTGATGTTAGTATCGGTGCGGTAGCGCTTTCCGGTATGGCGGATGCGTTGGTCCAAGGTGGGCTTATTGGGGCTGCTGGGGAGTTGCCGGAGAGGTATATGCAGGCTGTTGTTGCTGGCACTGCTGGTTCGGGTAATTAATTTTTACTTATATACCACTATTTTATTACTTTAATTAGATACTTTGGTTATATTTGATTTTATGTGGCATCATCTTCAAATAGACTACATTTTGTTAAAAGTTCAGTTATTGTATAATCTTGGTATTGAAGTAATGAAGTCGATTTGATTTTGATGGAGTTATGGCATTTGGGTCTTGTTTCCTTTTTTGTTTTTTTTCCGGTAGCTGTTATCAAACGGCCGAAGTTGAATTTTTTAATCTTTTGTTTAGTTTAGGTAATGAGTTTGAAGAAAATTAGAAAAGTCATCGCCTTACTCAGTGTTAAAATGCAAATTCGGATCTATTAGCAAATATCATAACAGGAACCCCTTTTAGATTCCATCTAGTTTGCTTATAAGTCAATTTTAACTTTGGTTTATTGGCTTCATATATCACGAGCGGAGTAACCGACCAGCAACTTTAGTGGTTGACTAACTTTAGGAACTTTACCTAGGATAACAATAGCTTAAGCAAAGTCTAAATGGAGCCAACCACAAGGGGAAGCAGCTATCGGGTGGGTGCTCTCCAAATTCTCAAGCTTAAATTTTTTCGATCAAAGCATAAGATAATTTTTTTTTTCTTTGCAAACTCTTTACTCCTGATGTGAATTGGGATGTCGACTTTGTACGGAAATGGAAACTGACCCGTGAAACCAGCAATACCAAGAAAAAACTCTAAACTGAAACCATAGAGCTATTCATTTTTTAGCTGCTTGTGCACTGAAAATTATCGAGAGTTGGATGTCCTAGCCAAGCAATTTAAGAACCATAGAAAATTCTCCCATTGTAGCTTAGAACACTGCAAGAGCTTGTTAAATCTTCAAGTGTACTTATGGTTTGGGAGGAGGTTTGTTGGATTGGTGGTTGAGGTCTTAAGTCTTGACCCATATTACTTCCCATCTCTATCATAAAAAAGTCATCTTCATCTACCATTTCATTTTAGTCCATGAAAGAAAGTTGTAATGCTAGAATAGCTGTAAGGAATACGAGAAAAGCTTGATATCAGTTAAATTGCATGCAGAAAATTGATAGTTACCAAATCTACTAGTTGTTTGTGGTGCTCACTGTTCATGCTCCTAATTTTTTGCTTCTATAATTGAGGTGTAATGTTTGTATTGATTAATTATGCAAGCTGACTACACAAGATTTCTTGAGGGCAAAAATTTGAACTTTCAAGCTATTGAATGCAGGGGTCCTTGTTTCATTTCTAAGAATCATCACCAAAGCTTTATATTCTCAAGATGGACATGGCCTTAGAAAAAGTGCAAATCTTTATTTTGCTGTTGGAATTGTGGTTATGGCCATATGTATTGTATTTTACAATGTGGCACATCACCTTCCAGTTATTAAGTACTATACTGATTTGAAAAATCAGGCTGTCAATGAGGAAAAGAAGGAGAAAGGGCCTCTAACTGGGGCTCAGTGGAGATCAGCCCTGTGGGAGATTGTCGGCAGTGTCAAATGGTACGGGATTGGAATCCTGCTCATATATCTTGTGACTTTGTCGATATTCCCAGGTTATATAACGGAGGATGTGCATTCTGCAACTCTCAAGGACTGGTATGCGATCCTTCTCATCGCAGGCTACAACGTGTTTGATCTGATCGGCAAGTCTTTGACTGCAGTCTATCTGCTGGAAGATGCAAAGCTTGCCATTGGCAGTTGTTTTGCAAGATTGCTCTTTTTCCCTCTCTTTTTAGGTTGCTTGCATGGCCCTAAATTCTTCCGAACAGAGATCCCGGTAACAATCTTGACTTGTCTTTTGGGTCTTACTAATGGCTACTTGACAAGCGTTTTGATGATTTTGGCCCCAAAAGCTGTCCCAATACAGCATGCAGAGACTGCTGGGATTGTTATTGTTTTATTCTTAGTTCTTGGTCTGGCTGTTGGCTCCATTGTAAGTTGGTTTTGGGTCATCTGATATCATATCCAAATGGGAATTTGTATGAAATTGTAATTGTTGAACAGCAGTCTCTCTCAGTCGGTAAAACTTTGTAAACTTAGTTTTAATTTAACTTGTGCTAATGAATTTTAATGTAACCTGTTCTAACGGATAATTGTAATTGAATTGACCTTATTCTTTTCTTTAATTACTTATTAGTGCCTCTATAGTTGTTTAGGTTGTTTCTTAGACTAAACTGGAAGTGACTTCCATTAGTATCCTTGACTTGCGGGTGCATGACTAATAACGAAGCTTCACTTTGACCGCAGACCTTTTGCTTGAAGTCTTGAAAGAGTGAATTACCAACAAACCCTTGTCTTATGCCTCGACTCAATCTGCTCCATTAGACTAGACCCAAAAAAGGAATTTAAAAAAAAAAAAAAAATTAAAGTCCAGTAACTTGCCAAAGAGTGAGTTTCTATCGTGTACCAAACAGGACATAACGGCATGATCTGCACGCAAGCATTCAGCTCAATATATCGTGTCGTTTCACGCCGAATTTTACAACCTTTTGCAATTTGGTCTCAACTTGATTTTGTTTTTGTGGATTTTACCTTATTTTTAACCTTTTGTTGCAATATCATCCTCAATTGAAATTGCTGCTTTTAGTAGCCCCACGCATAATCTCGGATTATCTACACTCAAGCCGCTCAATGCCCATCTCCCAAAACGCACCGTTATTGAAGTGCAAGTATGCGAGAGAAAGCATTATATTTGAAATCTTTCAAAATCTCACGAACGCAGAACTGGAATTATTGATCGATACCTCCAGAGCTTCCATCTATTGCTCATTAAATCGCTCGTATCACTAGCCCGCGGTTATCTAAGTCGATCAACAGAGGGAGGAGAAGACCCAAAATTTGGTATGTTGCTTAACACTCCACTTTATAAATTTTACGTATTTATGTGGTCTTTAAATATCTAATACCGCTATGAACTTTGAAATATGAGAATTAGTAGGAAATTTGATTTTCGTTTGTTGATGTTAGTGGTAATTGCAATCAGATGACGGAAGCCTAAACTGAAATTGCAAGGGAAAACACCTGATTGAAAAAAATAATTCAATCAATCCGAGGGAAACCCTAGCATTGAAAGAGGAGATTGTGTAAGAGAGCGAAACCCTACCGATTTCAATTACTGAAGAACGAAATAAGCGGTTACAGTCAATGAACTAAGATGTTATTCGAGAAACAGAGGAAGATGTCCATCGATTCTGGTGCAGGGAAGATACTGGAAGAAGGGTTCGATGTGGTTTTTGAATCGCCGGAACAACTCTGCGATGAGGAGGTAGTGCAGCAAAGTTGTGAGCTTTCTCTCCACTTGCGGACTATTCTAAGTGATGCGTTTTGGCGAGATGGGTGGCTACGGATAAATTACCCTAAGGTTATCTTCTGTCCTACTAAAACTAATTGCAATTGAAGGTGAAATTAATTGGATGAAATTGAGACAAATATCAAATTGGGGTGAAATTGTAAAATTTCGCGAAGTACGTAATGGAACATTAGGCCCATCTACTTCAGGACAAAGAGCTCTCACGAGGAGACACACGCACTCAACACCCTGAACACTGGAGAAGAAAGGGATAACCTTAACCCATCATTCAATTTAGCACGCATCTAATCATGCTTATTATCCAGTAATTTTTTATTATAAATTAAAATTTAGGCATGATAATTGGTGCCCATTTCAGAAACAACGGTGAAATTACCTCGTGAAAAAAGGAACAAGATTTGTGTTAATTTTACTGCGGTTTTGACAAAAGGGTGCTCTGTTTTTATGTGATGAATGTGTTCAGTTTCGGTGTTATCTTTAAAATAAATTGGATTTTTCTTTTGAAAATAATTGATCTTTCTGCTTCCAGAAATGCGTTTCGTGTACCCCTCAAAACCTGGAAAAGTGACGTTGTCGTCGCCAGGACAGCGTAAAAACGCTACTAGACGACGTCGTTTTCTATTCTCCCAACGTAAATGAGTCTACCTTGTCTATTTCTGTCATTTCCTTGTGCTAACCCCCAAAACCTGCCTTTCGCGACTCCCGAGAACAACCCACCATTGTCTTTCTTTCTTTCAGCTTCGATTCTAAACACGCCCACACAACACAAAATCCAACTTCCATTTCACTATACTCTTTGGTCATTTCGCCGTCTCTCCGCCCCTAGCTTTCGCATTTACACTTCAACCCTTCGATCTCCAGATATTTTCACTCATTTTTCGCCTTCAATTTCGGGGCTTCACTTCAGACTATAATGCTCGTGGCCACAGAGAATCGGGGCCCCTGGAGTTCGAGCTCGGTGTCGGAATCTGTTTTGGTGGTTTAACGGAGAGGATGGAGCTTAAAGATTTTCACGACAAGCCTGGAGAGAGCCGTTCGGTGCCGTTTGACATCGATCTTAACGAGACTCCTCTATCTTCTCCTCGTGAAACGTTCGTCTCTTCTACTAGAGATGACTCTCTTGCGCCGCCGCCCGCCCAGGGGAGTGCAGGTGGTAAGGGTAGACTTGTGCTTTTGGACATCAATGCGTTGCCAACGGAGGCTGAGGGAGAAGAAAGTGGCGAATTTGTGAATTCTGGGTATGATTCTTTTTGCCCTTTTTGGTAATTTTAGTTTTTATTTGGAGTTTAATTGGGTGAAGTTTTGATTTTTATGGAGCAGTATTGCTACTACTATTATTATTAATAATTTATTATTATTGTTATCATTATTTTTATTTTTAAAGCTGGTTAATTTCTTTAGTAGTGGTAAGAGTTAAACTGGTGGGCTTCTAAAGGGAGGGTTTTTGAATTGAGGGTTTAAATATTCAAATTTTCTACTTGTCAAGTTCACAAAGCACCCGCCTGAGTAGATGGCCATTTAAGAGAATCAGATTGAAATGGTTTTTGCAGAATGTAAGAGAATCAGAGTGAAAAGTTTTGCAGAATTTAAGAGAAAATTTTCATTTTTGATAAGCACGGCATGCTGGAAGATGGTCGATTTTTGATAATCATGGTATGCTGGTCGGCGTGTAGATTTTTTTTTTTTGTCAGAACAGGTGTAAAACCTTTGCCGTTTACTACTGTTCACCATATGGAAATAAGTTTGGATCAATATTTGATGTTGCCTGTCATCTTGGATTGGTGTCAAACTCCATTCTTTGGTATGCTAAGTACAGAAATGATGGATTTGCTTTAACACAGAACAGGTTACACTTTCACAGAATAAGAAAGGAATCATTGATGTTCTCAAGGACCAAGGACTTGAAAGAGTGTCAAGAAAATTTGAAAAGCAGTATTGCTGGCAAGTTCTCATTCGGTGTAGAGAACATGGATGCTGAGGCTTTGAAGTTGAGGAGTAATACAAGAGTTGCACACATTAACTCGGGACCTGCTGATGTTTATGGAGCTTCTCATTGTAAGGTTGGTGTGCTGCATTCTTTGTTTTTTTATTTTTTAAAATGCTTTAAGATCTTACCTTTTGTATAAATGCTCTTCCAGGATGGATTTCCAATTCAGTTTGAAGATTTTTTTGTTCTTTCAGTGGGAGAGGTTGATCCACGACCTTCCTATCATTGTACTAGCCAGATTTGGCCTGTAGGCTACAGATCCAGTTGGCATGACAAGATTACTGGATCTCTTTTTGTATGTGATATCTCAGACGGTGGTGATTCTGGTCCAGTTTTCAAGGTTCAACGGTATCCATGTTCTACTCGGTCCATTCCTACTGGGTCAATAGTCCTGTCCAGGCCAAGCCTTGGCATGGATAATATTAATAAAACTGATAGTACTTTTGGCATCAATAACCACGAGGATATAAATTTTCAGATGATATTCTCAGACCCTAGCCCTCCACACCTGGATTTTAATATTTTGACAGGTGTAGCAACTGCTGTGGATGAAGTCTCTCATTTTCAATCAATTTATGACTTGCACACAAATTCAACTTTCATTGTACAGAATGTTGGGAAACCTTCATCTAATAATGGAAGACTAGGTGACGATATTGGTGAATTTCTAGTGGAAGGGAGATCATCATCTTCAGTTTGGAGAGCGGTGTCCGAGAAGCTGGTGCATTCTTGTCATGAGGTGTACAAACAGACTGGTGTATGTAAATTTTGTTGTAGACATGCTTATGAATGGTCATCATGCATGATCAGCGAGACAGTTGAAGCTGTTGAATCAACTGATTCATTAGCCAAGTTTTGCCATATGTCCGCTCCTTTACATATTCCTCATCATGTTGAAAGTGATGAGGAGCTTACTACTAGTTGTGAAGCATTGATGAAGTGGTTAGCCCAGGACAGATTCGGACTGGATATTGATTTTGTGCAAGAAATAATAGAGCAACTTCCTGGGGTCCATTCATGTTCAGACTATGCGTTGCTCAGTAAGAGAAGTGACAAGTCAAATTTGCAGACTGTTGGAAATGGGTTTCTTCTGGCTAAGAGGAAATATGATGTGCAAAGTGAGAAAGAAGCATATAGCACGTTAAATAGGTGTAAAAACCATAGAAAGCAACTTCAAAAGGATTTCTGTCCCCCTGGCAAGCCATTGAGCTCAAAGCTTCCCACAGTTTTAGTTGGTGATGTTCTTCAGGTATGGAATTATGGTTGAATTAGAACTATAAAAACTTGGAACAATTTAATAAAGATTTCCTTAAAATTAGGTTTCATATTCTTATTGTTTCTGTTTTATTTTTTTAGTCATGGGAGTTACTATGGCGGTTCTCTGAAGTTTTGGGATTAGAAGAGCCTTTATCATTTAAGGATCTTGAAAAGGAACTTATAGACTGTTGTTTCTCTACTCCTAGGAGTAGTTCTGCTTCAACAATTAGTGGGAAAAGTCAACATCCATTAATCACAGCTGAAACGGAAACTTTGGAAGAAGGTGCAAAACTGAAATGGGCACCTGATAGCAGTTGCACTGGCGAAACTTTGTCTAAAGCTCATCTCTCACTGTTGAAAGTATTGTTGGCAGAATTACAGTCCAAGTTGGCTGGTTTTGTAGATCCTACTCTTGACAGTGGAGAGTCTAAGTCTAGAAAGAGAAGGAAGAAAGATGCAGATCACTTGATTATTGCTTGGAAATCAATGCTTGATTCACTGCCTATAAATGAACTTACTTGGCCAGAACTGGCTCGAAGATATTTATTGACTGTCTCATCCATGGAGGGTAACCTTGATTCTCTGGAGGCTGTAACCCGTGAAAGTTGCAAAGTATTTCATTGTTTGCAAGGAGATAGTGGGGCACTTCATGGTTCTCTTCCAGGAGTGGCTGTAATGGAAGCAGATGCACTGGTAGATTGGCTTTCATTTCCTAGTCTATGATCCAGTGATATTTTCTTTCCTTAATTATGTTTTGATAGATAAATTGTCTTTAAATGGTCTTAAGATTATACTTTTTATCTCACAATGTTGGTTGCATCAACCATTTTGCTCAGTCTCATAAATAGTAAGGTTCATATTCTTCGGTTTCTAATTACAATCATCTATCACATATGCTTGCGTAGACAAATAATTGTTGCAATTTATGTAGAGATTATGTAACCTATTCTATAATATGATGAACACAATAGTGTAAGTGTTTGATGTTAGGGAATTAGCAATTGAATTGTGATATTTGATTATGGATACCTACATGCCTCAGTATAGCAACGATTATTAAATTCTCTGATCTATTGAGTTTCCTTAGGATTCTTACCTTTACCAGAAGGAAGGAAGTCATCTTTTTATTTTCTTCTTTTTTGTGAAGTAATGTAATAAGAGAAATGCAAGCAGAAATCTTAAACCTTAGTAAAAACAAACCAGAGTACTTGGTGACTAATTATAATGTTGCTACTTGTGTTACATACGCATTCGCTTACATTTATTAGGGGCCAAGCGGCCAACTGTACATTTCCAAGATCTGTAGTTATGAATTTAAATCTTCCTCTTCCATACTGCTTGATGGTAGCAATATGACTACAGTATTGCTCAAACTCAAATATTTAGGAAAGTGTGGCTGAAAAGTCAAGCTTTAGTTGATTTCCAGGTTGCTGATCAGGAAGAAACAAGTGATAAGTAAAGCTCAATCTGTTTGCGGCATGCCTAAATCATTTGCTTGTCCAAACTGCTAATCTTGCTTTAATTACTCTCATCTTCATAGCATTCCAAGATTGGTCAAATTTCCCATGTTTCTTACCTTGTATAGAAATTGCCTGTCCACACGAAGAGCTTGAATTCCCTTTTAAGATGCTTGGATGCAGTTATAATTTGGTTCATCTTATGGCAAGGTAACATGCTCTGTTTCCATACATATGCTATCGAGACAGGGTGGGATATGAGAATACATGCACATAAAATTCATGAGCACAAAAAACATATATAATCTTAAGAGATGAGTGCCAATTTTAGAATTTCAAGAAAGGGAGAGATAACATATGTTTAGAAATATTATTTTGAAACTGACTGCATGCATAATAGACTTTGTAGCTACACACCTAGAAGTTCTGATATCATGATTTCAGCTAGCTGAAACTCATAAATAAGTGGTATGCCACTGTCTTGTATATAATTTTGACTATATCTTCAATTCTTTGTTTGACTTTTGAAGCAAAATTTAGCTCCTTTTTTATTTGGGTACTTATGAATGTATTTAGAACTGCTGGAAGATGTGTGAGATTATCATTCTTGGATTGAGGGCATAAGCTTATCAAATCAAATTGCTAGATTTGTATCACAATTGACAAATCTCAGTGATTATGTTTCCAATTTAATGTAGAGATATTATATATTTTGCAGAATTTGTTGAGTTCTTTTTCCCCCTTCTTATACTCAATGTACACTGGATTGTTTTGCCTGTAGACCCGCTGCTAATTTGTTATCATTCCAATTCTTTGATCTGATATTTATGTTCACCTGGAGCTATAGTATGTGGGACAGTTCTACAGAAAAAATGGCTATTGGAGAGTCAAAGATGCTGCACTTGTATCTACACATGTCCAACTCTAATATAGAAAGTTATTAGAGAACTTGTCATCATTTATGGCAAAATATTTATATTATCAGAGAAGTAATTTCTTCATTGCAAAACAAAACTGAAATGGGATTATTAATTTCATAATTGATATACTATGTGTGATTTTTCTGTTAACAAGTTTGTTAGCATTTATAATATTGATGCTTCATGTCTATGGCAAAACAAGATATTTTGTTGGTTTCTGCAAATTTTACTGGCTTGATTAATGTCTGGCATTAGTTCCTTAACCCCATGGCTTTTTGTATAATCTATGTTTGATTGTTGTCTGTTTTAATGTTTATTGGATAATAGTGCACTAATTTTTCTGATTCTCAGCTGCTTGCAGAGGCTACAAAGCAGATCTTTGGTGCATCGAAAAATATTAATGACCACGTAACTATGGATTCCAATGACTTTGATGCACCCAGTTCAAGCAATGAAGTTAGAGTGAATGATGGTGAAGTTCCTAAATGGGCTAAACTGCTAGAACCTGTTAGAAAGCTACCTACAAATGTCGGAGCAAGGATTCGAAGGTGTATTTATGATGCTTTAGCTCTTAATCCACCAGAATGGGCAAGAAAGATTTTGGAACATTCAATTAGTAAGGAAGTGTACAAGGGAAATGCTTCTGGACCTACCAAGGTACTTACTGGAAAAAGAAAATTTTCAATACTGGCTCTACTGTTAAATACTATTACCAGACATTTATCTTTCCACCTTCTTTGGCTCTATCTTCAACATATTCTTCGTTTTATGTCTGCATGCTGCAGAACATGTTTGTCAAATTTTTTTCATCATTTCGGAACATGTTTGGATTTATTATATTACCATTATAGGAATAGAAGTGTTAACATGCTTGCAAGAGGTTGCATATACCAGTGGTTAGGCAAGACACGATATTTCTCATGCTTGTCTGAAATTGGCAGCATCTAAATCAAAATGTGTTAAGGTTTTATTCTAAACTTTTGTAAAGGAGTGTTTATTATCTCCAACTCGTTTATGTGCGTTTTTTGTTTCCTATTTAACCAATGAAAGAAAATTCATAAGCTATTGTGTTATAACTTTGGGGATGCGAAAGTTGTGTATGAGCAACTCTTTTTGTTTATAAGTGGTGGGTTGTTTAAAATTTGGCGAAACTTCTAATTAACTTGTGTGCTGAAAAGCATAGTGTTGGATATTATTGTTTACTATTTATTTTTTTCCCCGTTTTCAGCTGTCATTTCTGCAAATTAATTTTATGGTTTTAACTGTTAAAAGAGTTCTTTCTTGTACTTGATTAGAGTTTTTCATGGTTATCAAAAGTCTTCAGCCATAGCTTCTCTAAGCATATAATGTTCTTATGACAAAGGTTGTGGGGTTGATGCTGGACTCAAGTTTTCTTCTTTCTGATTGATTACAGAAAGCTGTTCTATCACTATTGGCAGATGTGTGTGGTGAAAATCGGCAGCAGAAACCTACTAGGAAGAGAAAAAGCAAGTGCATAAGTTCTTTGTCTGAGGTGATAATGAAACAATGTCGAATAGTGCTTCGCCGTGCTGCTGCTGCTGATGAAGATAAAGTTTTCTGTAATTTGCTGGGAAGAACCTTTCTTAACGCTTCTGATAATGATGATGAGGGACTACTTGGATTCCCTACAATGGTATCCCGTCCTTTAGACTTCAGAACAATTGATCTGAGACTGGCCTTTGGGGCCTATGGAGGATCACATGAAGCTTTCGTAGAGGACGTTCGGGAGGTAACCTTTTTGCTATTGAAATTTTTTGGGTTAATGGCCTTTGGTAAATCTAAAGGATTTGTTAAAATTTCACTACTTCTAGTGTTAGTCTTTTATAATGTGCACAATTATAAGCAAAACTGTCTATATTAGTCGTCATACAATCTGGCTTAGGATACTAAGTTTGATTCAGATTAGGTAGTCTACCATATCCACCTGGTTTAGACATGTCTTTTAAAAGCTGGAATACGAAGTGGAATTATTTTTTTAATAATTTCGCTTTTGTTCTTTCTTGTCTAGTAGGATACTTTTTTTTTTGCTGCTTCATTTGAGGAATATATTGTTCTTGGCCCTAAAATGCATCTTTTCTTTTCTCTTGGCAGGTTTGGCATCATATACGTACGGCATATGCTGATCAGTCTGATTTAGTACATTTGGCTGATACATTATCCCAAAATTTTGAGTTGCTTTATGAAAAAGAGGTTTGTATTCCATCCTGCTTTCTTCCTTGTTGATCCTACTACAAGCATGTGCACCCGCATACACCCAACACCCTAGGGTGCCCTGCTGACTCACACTCAGAGAGAGAGAGAGAGAGAGAGAGAGAGATTATCAGCGTCATTTATCTCAAAACATGTGATTTAAAATTTTGCAACATCTACTTAGCCTTCTATATGAAACTGGGAGTCCATTCTCCTCTCTCCCTGCTTCTCTCTCTCTCTCTCTCTCTCTCTCTCTCTCTCCAAAGAGCTCATCTAGATAATGATCTTACTCAGTCATTGCCATACCATTTGTTCAATGCATGTCCAATGTTCTGTTGGTTAAAGTTTGCTTCTCTTTCCAGATCTCATTGGGCAGCTTAAGTTTCACCTCTTCTTTTATTGTTTTTGCAACATATGGATAAGGTTTCCTTGGATTTGGAGTACTTTGTCCCCAAATTTGCATTTAAGATTCAATATTGTGAAAACCTTGTGCAGGTCCTCACGCTAGTCCAGAAACTTACAGGCTATGCTGCTATGGAGTGCCTGAGTTCTGAGGCCAAGAAAGAAATGGAAGAGATTCTTGAGCTTGTAAGCGAGATTCCCAAAGCACCTTGGGAAGAAGGTGTCTGTAAAGCTTGTGGTGTAGATAAAGACGATGACAATGTTTTGTTGTGTGACAAATGTGATTCTGGATATCATACATATTGCTTAGATCCTCCACTTGCAAGGATACCTGAAGGAAACTGGTATTGTCCTTCATGCATCAATGGACATTGCACCACGCAGGGTGCTTCAAAGGTTCCTCAGTTGCTTAGCCAGTGCCTGAAAAGAAAACGCCAAGGAGAGTTTACTCATGGTGTTCTGGATGCCCTCACACATTTAGGTACAACTATGGAAGTGAAGGATTATTGGGAGTATAGTATAGAAGAGGTTTGTTTCTCAACCCTTAATATAACTAACTTTTATATCTTTAGACAGTATGAAATTTGATGAAGTGGTAAAATCTGTATGTTTCTCTGTATAATTCTGCAATTGCACCTTATTGAATGTTCATATTTTGTCTGATTGCTCTATTACAAAAATATTTTTGTTGAAATCAATTAGTTTGCACTAAAATAATGATTTTGCGCGCGCTGATCTTTAACATCTGCATTGTGAGTTCCTGACTTTACCACTATCAAATTATTTTCTATATCCAAACATGGAAGCGCAGTATGGAGTTGAATCACTTCTCAATCTTTATCTAAATACAACTATTAGTAATATAAAAATTTTTTAATTATAGTAGTAATTTCACAGACAAAATTAGTGGTCATAGCTGTTGCCCCTGTGAATTTTTATTGAAAAATTAACAAAATTATTTGTGTTAAGAATCTCATAGACTAAATATCAAATCCATAAAGGGTATATAAGGGTTGCGAGCTAGTGAAAATTAGTAATTATTAGTAATTAGTTGATTGGAAATCAGCTATCATTTGATTGGAAAAAACTCTAAATGCAGCTGGTGAAATCAGCAACGAGTTGAAACTTCTACCAACTATTAGGTACTGATTAAAATTCTGACCAAGTACATCTTGTTTAGTTGTTGGGTGCAAATTAGTTGTCAGCTGCATGAAACACGGAAACAATTGAACCAAAATAATAGTTGCTACTTGATTTATGATAGATCTGATGCTCACATGCATGGCGTTTTTCTAGATTTTTTTTACACAGTTAAGGTGTTATTGCTCAACAGAAATTTTTTCTTTTTTGTGCAGAGAGTATTCCTTCTTAAGTTTTTAGTTGATGAGGTGCTGAACAATTCTAATATTCGTGAAAACCTTGATCGCTGTGCCTCAGTATCTGCTGATTTGCAGCAAAAACTGCGTTCACTATCTAAGGAATGGAGGAACCTGAAGTGTAGAGAAGAAGTCCTTGCCGAAAAGGCGGGAAAAGCGAGTACAGTAACGCTTAATGGCATTGGAAAACTGGGAATGGAAGGTATGAGTAGTATGCTCCCAAACTATGAAAAATTGATGGGACAGCCTCTTAATAGTAGCAGTTTATGTTTGAACCCCTCCATTGATCTGGTATATTTGGAGGATGGTCCACAGGCTCACAGTTCAAATGAGTTTACTAAACAACCATACTGGTTATACCCAAAAGTTGTTCCAGAACAACATTCAACCAGCAGTGGAAGTCAATTTATGAAAATTCCTGATTCTGAATGTCAAGTAAACCAACCTGATTTGAAAGAGTTACATGCCAGTAACCTTGAGGCAATCGTCATCAAGAATAGGATTTCCATCTTGCGGGATTCAATTAACTGTCTGGACTCACAATTACAAAAGGTATCTCTGAGGAAGGACTTTTTAGGGCGGGACTCTGCTGGACGACTGTACTGGGTTTTTTATAGGCCGGGTACATCTCCATGGGTGGTTGTTGATGGTACAACATTGGTGCAGCAAAAGAGCATTGTCGAAGAGCACGGAAAACTGCTGTCTGACAATCTGACTCTCAATTCTTCTCCAACTGGAGGAGAGGATCTGTTGAAGTTCAAAGAACCAAATGCTTTTAGTTCATATTTAACTGATGTGGCTAATGGCGCTCTAGTATCTTGTCAATGGTTTTCTTATGAATCCGATACTGAAATTGAAGAACTTATTCAATGGTTGATGGATAGTGACCCAACACAGAGAGAGCTGATAGAGTCTCTTTTGCAGCGGCTGAAAGTTGGACATAATAACTCCAATAAAACTGGAGATTATGTTGAAGAAATGTATCAACCTACTGCAATGCCCGTAAATGTTGAAAAAACTGTGAAGTTGAATGCTCTTAAGACTAAAGCTTCTTTTGCACTTGAGAAGAGATATGGTCCTTGCTTGGAACTGGATGTCAACAACACTCCAGTAGAGTGGAGTCAAAATGCAGAAGTAACTTATGATGAAAGAATGTGCCGTTGTGAATGCCTAGAGCCCATATGGCCTTCTAGGCATCATTGTTGCTCCTGCCATTGGTCATTTCCCACTAAGTGTGTTCTCAAGGAGCACAATGATGGAAAGTGCAGTTCAGCTTCACATGCCTCTCAGAACAGCAAAGTGATTGGTGATGCCCTGAAAGGGAAGGCAACGTTGAAGAGTGAACAGGGAGAATGTTCTGGCAAAATGAGACAATGCAAGTCTGGTAGTGAGGGGCATGAGATTGAGTTTGGGTTGGTTGGATTTCCAAAGGACTTTTCATCCCCTTACAACATTGAAGAGATAAGTGCCAAGTTTGTTATTAGAAGCTCTAATAAAGAATTGGTGAAGGAAATAGGCCTTCTTGGTTCAAATGGCAATCCATTGTTTGTACCATCTGCATCTCCTTATCTCAGTGACCCCACCTTGAAGTTAATGACTTCCTGGGAAAACAAGGCTAGTTGGGGTGATAGGTCCACAAGTGTGGAAAATCAGTCTCAGCGAGCTGTTGAAGGAAACACAATAGCCAGCAAGAAACATCTTAACAATTCCATCATCTCTTCTAAGAGATGCACTGGAGGTGGCATTTATAATGGATTGGAAGAAATTGGTAGATTGAACACACTGAATGACAAGAGAGATCAATCCTCTTTGAGATTTAGCTCTTCAAAACGAAGGAACGTTTTATCTGAAATTCATGATTCTTCATTGAGGCCCCTTGTGGGAAAGGGGGCTCAAATTCTGAGGCAGCTCAAAATCAACTTGCTTGATATGGATGCTGCGCTTCCTGAAGCAGCAGTAAAATCCTCGAAGGCTCACCTGGAAAAAAGATGTGCCTGGCGAGCATTTGTCAAATCTGCTAAGTCGGTATTTGAGGTGAGAATATTATTTTATTCTGATCTAAACAATCATTTCAAAGTTAGTGTCACAACTTTCATGAACTTGGTAAGTGCCTGTTAATATACTCTTTGTAGGGCTGCATGATTGAACACTTGAAACTTGCAACATTTTGAGTGATTCAATACACAAGCAACTTTAGTTTGGTGTTTTTATTTTCTTTTTTTAATTAAGCAGACTTGCATATTGCACATGTTAAGTTGCTCATCTTGAAGTAAAACTGGCATTGTATGACGTGTTTTTACTTTAATTATTATTTCTTATACAGTTTCTTGGATGTTATCTTTTTGATAGATTAAATCTTGAAGACGTGACCCACTGGAATATGGACCTTTAGGTCCTTTTTTTAGGATGAGATGTATTGACAATAATTAGAATTGCACAATTTGTTCAGATTAAAATAGAAAGTAATGTAATATGATAGCATTGTAATGCAAATATTGTAAGCATGTCCTCTCCAAACTAAAAGGACAGGAAAAATATTTTTAAACAAGCACATGTCCTCTCCATAGATGGTGTGCACTAATAGTGATGATTGACAATGTTCCCCACGTTTTTGCTGCCACTATGGTTTTTTTTCATTTCCCATATGCATTTAATGGGAAAGATGTATTGATCTCTTTTTTATTTTATTTTATTTTCAGATGGTTCAAGCAACAATTGTATTTGAAAACATGATTAAGACAGATTACTTGAGAAATGAATGGTGGTATTGGTCATCACTTTCCGCAGCAGCTAAGATTGCTACTGTCTCCTCACTTGCCCTCAGAATATACACCTTGGATGCTGCTATTGTCTATGAAAAGCCTCTTCCCTTCTCTTCTCCTAAAGAAATTGCAGAAGTTGGTAGCAGATTGGAAAATAATTCCTCGCCTAATACAGATCTAGCAAATAATCCAAAGCCAAGTAGCAGGTCAGTTGTAAGAGTTAGTACTGTTGATCCGATTGACAACGGCAAACCACAAAGCAGATCAGCCAAGAAAAGAAAAGATTCAGGAGGATGAATATAAAAAGCATTCATCTTGTTGCCAGAATCCAAATTAACCAGCAGGTCGCATTTGTCCGATTTTGAACATAAATTTCTAACCTAACTGAAACACGAGTCGTCTATGGGCTTGAAGACTGCTGGTAGGGGTGGGCGAAATTGATGCCTTTGCACCTCTGTATATATAAAGTTGCTGCGTACAACATACTGTTTTCTCAGAACTCGAGAATCACAGTCGTTTTCCTGAAGAACAAATCCACATCCACAGCAAAAAAAAAAAAAAAAAAAAAAAACCCTGAAGAACAAATCCACATCCACACAGCAAAAAAAAAAAAAAAAAAAGAAAAGAAAACCAATTGATATTGGGGTTTTCCTTTTTTTGTATAAAAATTGTGTCAAATTTATGTAATCGAAGTTTTAAAAAAAAAAAAAAAAAAAAAGAAAAGAAAACAATTGATATTGGGGTTTTCCTTTTTTGTATAAAAATGTCAAATTTATGTATCGAAGTTTTCAGATGTATAATAGATTTCATTCATTTATTACGTTTTTCACTTTTTGTGGTTGCCCCAGTCAGTAGGAAATTATTTTTGTTTGCTATGATCATGTGACCCCCAGCTAATTCTTCTGCAAGGATAGATTCTTAAACCTGTGAATTGGTAATCCCCATAAAGGAGATAGCTGAAGTTAGGCTTTTTATAGAAGGAATGTTAATGTGTAAACTGAGCACTTTCTTTTTCGGTTACATATTCCTCATGCCATCCTCCATCATCTCAAGTTCTCTTGCAGCTAACCATTTGGAAATTTGTGGTGTTATTCTCTTGTATTAGAAGCAAGGCATTTGACCATGGAGCTAATAAGCTAATAGCTGACTGTTAGCTTTCTTTTTCATTTTCTAAAATATGAAGGAAGTTTTGTTTTTGAAAAAAAAAAAAAAATACTGAACTGTAGTTATTTAAGTTACCTGGAATACGTGCGCTTAAAAGTAAGTTTTGCTTTTCAAATGTCTTATATATAACACAATCAAGTGTTATATCCAAATATAAAATAAACTACTTTACCTCATTCATTCATATACTAGATTGGTGAAAAATAATAGAACGGTAGAGTAAAAATGATTCATTAAAGTATTCTGGCTAAAATAAATTATTCCATATAATCTTTTGTTTATAATTGATTTGCCCAATAGGTGAAGCAATCTTTTTTGCACAAGAACCTACTGGAAGGATCATTCCATCGAAGGTTACAATCAAAACTTGAACATTTGCTACAAGCACCAACCAAAAGAGTGCATTCAGTACAAGAATGTATCCTTCATTTCTTGAAGACGGAAAATTGTACTATTTTTTGAAACAATTCAAATTGAAAAACATTTGATACACCTTGATTGCAATCTATGCTTTGTTCTACCATACTGAAAAATCTACATCTACCAAAAATAAGACATAGTAAGAGGAAGAATACGAGTCTCACAGTAGTACTGTAGCAATTATAAGATATGCTCTCATGATTTTGACCTCAACGCAAGACCAGTTTCGACCTTTTTAATTTCAAAGATAAGCATTCTCCACATCTTGAGCACAAACATCTCCGCTTCATCGTCCAATATCGATTGAAGCATCTCCAGCATCTGAGATGCCTTCACATGTTCTTGAGTGCTTGATACAATGTAATCTACCAGAGTGGTCTCTTCCTCTCCTAAAAACTCTGTAATCTTCTTTGAAATCCACGGTCTCATTCTCTCATGAAGTTCATGCTGTGAAAAAGCAAATCAAATAACAGAGCAACATTTTAGAACATAATGAATGTAATATATACTTAGAAAATAGCACCGTTACACAGAAAACATGAAAGAGCTTAAATGAACACTCCATCAATTTGAAGCATTAAACAGACACTTCAACTACTGAGCCACAAGAGGAACATATGCAGTGTTGGAATCCTCAACTAACCAGGCTCATCATGCACATTCGAGATCAGCCTAGTGAGAAAATATGCACACTTCCATCTAGGTTTAAGGCAGAAGATGGTCCTTCTAAACTCAACCAACAGCAGATTAAGAATATAACAGAGCTAGGTAAAACCTATTCATGCCTTATAAATACAAACTAACAAGAACAAAGACAGAAACACTGCTCTCTTCAGTAGAAGAGTCAAATCAAAATGCAATTATGAATGTCAAGAATCAGAGCTGCAGCAATCAAAGTGAACAACAGCACAGTTTCCAGGAAATTTCCAGATTTTGTTTTTATTTTTTAAGAAAACTTACAAGAATAGAAATTTACACATCAAGCAATGAGCAATTCACAAATTGAGCACTTCTTTTGATATGAGTTAAAACTAAAGTAAATAAAACAGAGATAATGAGGCAAAATATCTGAACAAAATTTGAAGTGCAAGAAAATGAGAAACAGGACACAGGTAGGTGAGATTTCTTACTTTATCATACACTGCCCAATTTATCTCATATGAGAATAGCTCGTCCTTGGTTTTTGGTATCATATCAATCAACTGTTTTGCATCCAAAAGTTTCTGCTTATCTGGTGTTTTTACTTTCTCCTGGCCATGTTCCCAGTTCCTGTCCCGTTCAAGAATCCTATCTTTGTCATCTCTTATCCGATTAATATCCTCATCATTCCTGTCCCTGTCCCGCTGACTTGATCTATCATGAGAACGTTTACTTCTTTCTCTTTCCACATCAGGTTTCTCTTCCTTAGAAGTAACATTAGAAATACGCTTTACAAATTCAGCAGCAGCAGCAAGATTTGGCGGCTGTGCTGCAGAAACTGTAGGTTGAACAGCCTGCAACTCCTCCGTCGAATAATCGATGGGAACCAGGGGTCTCATCTTTTTCTCCTTATGAGCATCATCATCATCCTCCTCATGGAAAACTGAAGGAACTGCCGCTCGTTTGCCAGATCCAACTAAACCAAAACCCAACTTTCTTGCAGGTGCATTACCACTCTGCCGTACATCTGATTCAGCCAATGATGCCATGGTTGATTCATCAACTGTACCATTTTGTAAGACACCATCATCTGCAATTTCAGGTTATACCCATTCAAAATATTGAAAAAAAGTTGAAAAACTCTGTTTCTTTCAATTGCTTGTATTTTATGTGTGCGCCTTTGCACATCATCTTTGCTGTCTTTTGTTTTTTCCTTGCGTATGTTAGAGCAAAACAACAGTAAACAAAAGCAATTATTGAAAAAAAAAAAAAATTACCTATACCGTTTTCATTACCAGAATCTCCCTCATTTTCACCTCCAAATGCCTTATCTTTGCTCTCATCATTGACTTCTTCAGCCAGAACTTTCTTGTCACTTCCATTCATGACATGATCAGATAAAAGCTTTGATTCATCTCTCTGTTGCTGCTGTCGCTTTTCCTCCTCCTCCTTCTTCTTTGCCTCAGCAATTTCCTTCTCTTCTTCGCGTCTGTCAGCTTCATCTTCCTTCTTCTCAAGTAGCCTCTTCCTTCTCTTATCCTCTAAGACATTCCTGCGCCACCTTTTTCTTGAATCATCATCATCATCTTCCTCATCATAAAGTATCTCCTTCCTCCTTTTGCGTTCTCTTTCTTTGTCCTTCTCCTTCTCATAGTGCCGCTGCTTCTCTTTCTCTCTTTCCCTATGTTCCCAATCTTTTAATCGTTCTTCATAATCACGTTCTGCTTCCTCAATCATCCTTCTGTGCTCCCTCTCTTTTCTAATCCGCTCTCGCTCCGATTCCCTTTCATACCTTTCAACTTCTCGTTCCTTTTCCCTTTTTAGATCTCGATCTCTGTCTCTTTCTCTGCTTCTCCTGTCATACTTCCTACTCCTATCAGGAGAGCTTGTTCCAGGTCTATCCTGTTCACTTGCGGCCTTGTTGTCACTAGTTGTCTCATCATCATTTTTATCTTCGGCTGAGTCTGCAGAATTATAAACAAGAAAAATACCAATATTAATACAAGCATTTTAGGCTTGTTTGGATGTGGCGAGGGAAGTTATACTGAAATAAGGTATGATAACATTAAGTGATGGTCTTTTTTATGTTTGGGAAGAAGATAAGGTTAATGAAGGTTTAAGAAACCTTGTGTTGTTTGGTTTGAGGGTATTTAAAGGTAATCTTAAATATAAAATTACAAAAATATCCTGCTCACGGAATTTGTTATATTAAATATATAAATCGGTTATAATTATATTTTGAAAAAAAAATATTAATTTATGGATATTAAATTATTTCTTTTTAAACTATGAAGGGAAAAGGTAAAAAAAAAAAAAAAAAAAAAAAATTTGTTATATTAAATTATATAATCGTTATAATTAATTATTTTGAAAAAAAAAAATATTAAATTTATGGGATATTAAATTATTTCTTTTTTTAAACTATGAAGGGGAAAAGGTAAAAAAAAAAAAAAAAAAAAAAAAAAAAAAAAAAAAAAAAAGAAGACGACAACGAAGAAGAAATACGAAAGGGGCAATTTAAGATGTTAAAAAAATGGATAATAAGGGAAATTAAAATTTTTAGCCCTCCACAACCCCCAATTTGGCAGGTTGAAAACATAGGGGTTTTTCAACCCCTCAAATCACCATAAAAAAACTTTAAACCTCTTTCCAAAAACTTAACCTTCCTTACCTTACCACCAAACCCTACCTGCCCCCCCTTCCCTCCCCCCAATCCAAACAGGCTGTTAAGTTCAGAAAATATTAAATTCGCCACGTAAAATCTACAGATGTTGAGGCCTCAAGGACACTTTTATATTTTAAACATAAAAAGTACAATAAAATCTTATGGTCCAAAAAGGAGAACTTTTGTAAAGATTTTTTTGGACAAAATTAAACACTCTGATATCAACAAACTATTTTTAAATATCATTATTCTACTAAAAATCCCTTAATTTTCTATCAAGTATAGGATTTTCTAGTAGTACATTTACCTTGATTCATTTACTCAAAGCCCTATAGTTAATGAAAATTGTTAATTAAGTGGACAATAAAAATCAGGTACAATATATATACACATGGGTGTAGACCTACAATATGACTTACATTATAGGTTATTTTCTATTAAGTTTCATATAATCATGATATATTTATATCTTTAACAGTAATATAACTGGTAAAATCTGATGAAAGCATACACTTAACAATCAAATGTTAAGCATATTTGACATTATAGACCATCCTTTTTAATTTTCAAAATTATGTGCAATGCCTTTCACATTCTCAATTGTAGCCAACTTGGGAAGTCATACGAGAACTCTTGAATATATATAGTTTTCCATAGAAAGAAAAGAGTAAGTATTCACTTTACAGCAAGACCTACAGAAAATTATTGATTAAAAAACTATTAAACATCATTTAACGCTTAAAAAGGAGAAAAAAAATTTTCTCTTTATCCCTCCCTTTCTTTACATGAGCTTGTGTGAAATGTTTATTAATAAAATACATACCATATTAACCATCTAGAAGCTAAGGCATGTACCCTCTCAAAGTTGGCTACAATGACAGCAATGTGAAATCTTATATTGCATGTGTATTAGAATAACTAACAAGATTGACCATTGTAATCACAAATCAGAGACAAGTTGAGAAATTTTTTCAGCAAGTAACCTAATAATAAAGAGCATTATAATTTGCCTGTGATCACATATCAACTATAAATACTTACCATGTCTTCTTATGTCCACATCAGAGTCCTCCCTTGATTTAGTTGGCATTTCTGAGTTTGCATTCCCAGGACCATCTGCAGGTATTTGTGGAGGCGGAGGCGGCGGAGGCAAAGGTCTAGTCTTCAACCTCTCTTCTATCATGCTACTGAGCTTCTCCAAAGCCTCTTTGTCACCTTCCTTGTCTTCATCAGTCACAATCCCAAAGTTGGCAGGATCAGTATTTTCTTTGTTCCCCTTGTCGCTAGCATTGCTAGAGTCCTCCACAGAAGATTTGGGAGTTTCATTCTTTTCAACACCTACAGCCGTTCCATCCTCCTTGTCAACCCCCATAGCTTGACTTTCTTTCAGATTCTTTGAGTTTTCAGTTTTCTTCTCGACATACCGCTCTAGATATTCTCTTGTTGCTTGATTAACATTTAGCTGTTAATCAGGCAATCAAACAATCACAAAAACACAAAGATCACTTGCAATTTTCCAAAAAAAAAAAAAATCGCAGATGATAATAAGACAGATAATTCACGAAGCAGGTCCAGAATCTAATGCAAAGAGATTAAGTAATGAAACATGTCCATATGCTAGCCCATATTTTTCTGTTGCTTTTCCTTTTTCTTTTCCTTCTATATAATGGTTTCCAAGATGATGCTTCAGAGGTTTCAATCTGATAAAATATACAATTCAAAGCCTGGATACAAATTCACTCTTCTGATCAGAGTTCTTTTCAAATGTCTTTACAATCAATAAGGAACATTAATAATTTTTAGCATGTTACTGTTCAAATTAGAAGTGAAAGGATTCATATAGCAAAATAGAAACAAAGAACTCATATAGTTGTCCCCAAGTAGTTTGGGTTTAAGGCTTAGTTGTTCTAGTTGTACTGTTCACAGTAGCTTGGATATCTTTCATAATCAGAGGGATATTTCAGTAATTTACAAAACTATGTAAGACTGACACACTCATGGCGAATATTTCGAGACTTAAAATCTCCCATTTCCAAAGGGAAGGGGAAGAGGAAAGACAAAGCGAAAGAGAAGGCAAATTCAACCACAGGTTTATTATGAGCTTAAATCATCTTCGTCTCCACCCAAAAACAGCAAACTTCAACCATCACATATATCCAATTCATACTAATTACTGTATGCTTAAATAGTCGGTAGAATGTTAAAAATAAGAACACTGAAATATAATCATAAAATAGGGAAAGAAGATATCAAGATATCCATACATACCACCAGTTCTTGCCCATCAATATTAAATTTACTCAGCAATCGTAATGCACGGAGAACCCCCTCAGCAGATTCAAATTCACAAAACCCAAAGCCTCTAGGAGTCCCATCGGTGGGGTCTTGAGCACGTTTCCAACTCTTAACAGGTCCACAGAACTTCATAAAGTGCAAAAAATCAGACTTCACAATGTCAAAGGTTCAATCATGCAAAACAGCACTCCAAACCAAAACATAAAACAGGAGACCAGGAACCATTAAGTATAACAGGCAAAAAGAACACAATCAATAATGTACCCGAAGGAGAGACAACATAAAATCATTTTCCACAGAAGGAGAAATCTTGCCAACATATACAGTAGTTTGTGGTTTCTCTGCTGGTGTGACAGAAGGAACAGGTGGCCTGATGATGGTGGGTATGAGTGGGCGAACACCGGGAATCCCTGGAACAAGAGGGCGAGCTGCTGGTGGAAGCATGCCAACTGTCCCAGGTGGACAAGGAGGAAATATAGGGCGAACCATAGCTGGGTATGGAGAGGGATAGCGTTGAATTCCTGCAAAATAGAAAACAAACATCTATGCAGACATGTCAGAGCTGGTCCACAAACTAAATGCAGAAATAACTCTGGTGCCCACCATTATGCATATGTGTGGATAAGAATTCAAAAGAATAACAATTAAAATGCTGTTACCACACAATAAAAGCAAATAGAGATTGGCACCATACGCATCAAGCACACCAGCTGAAAAGATAACCTGAGGGAAACATCAAGAAAAATAGGATCGAGCTCATAAACATGGATGTGTGAAGTGGGCTTACCTCATGCACCAACTTGCAAAATAGTAGCCTTTTCAAACTATCCCATGCACCAATTGCAGAATTTTGAACATCTTATGCTCTCAAGGATTTACAACACATAACTAGACTAATTTACTCGTCATTTTAACTTATCTCAATGTTAGCGGTAAAATGCACAAGCATGAAAGCAACATAAAGAAATACAAGAGAGCAGGAGGAAGAGATATAGACTGTAATTGGAAGAAATTGTGATACCTTAGAATGCATGCCAAGGAGCACTCAGTTGCTAACATGGTCTGCTGCAGGCAATTCAGAGACCCATGAAAGGAAAATAATCCTTATAACTACCAGAAAGTAGCCTACTAAATAAATATGACATAGCCAGACATAATTTAGAACGACATATGGAGAAATGGAGAAATGGAGAAATATGACGGTTCAAATTATTATGATTTCTTTAATTGGTAAAGACCAAATGCTGAATTTAGTGCAATAAAACGAATTCCTCAATTAAATTGTTTATTCTGAATACAATCAAAGAAAACCAGGCAAATACGTGCATACCAAAACAGGAGTTGTAGTAGAAGATGCTACTCTCTTAAGCAATATGAAGCCTTCCAACCTTTCTCACCGTATTCAATCAAGACACTGTAGGAGAAAACATCCCGTCATCGATGTCCCTTTTCTAAATTTCTCCGCACCCCTCTTAACACACTTTTCCACCAAATCATACAATTAAGCCTAATCGATATCCATGATAACTAATAGCCTACAGTTCAGATGCTCATTCAACAAATAATAGCTACTATATGAGATTCAAATAAATACAAGCTTAAAGGAATTCAAAAGGCAAGAATCTGTATAACGAGGGGAAAGGACTCAAGGAGAGTCGAGAGCGAATAGGGGAAGGATAACCCACCGGGAAGGGGCATAGTCCCTTGAGGAGCAGCTCCAGGAATGGCAGCAAAACCATTTGGCATAGGCGCGTAATGTCTCAAGGCCGGATTTGGAGGCTGAGCTGGCGGAATCTGATAAGGCATCATGGGAGGTGGAGCTGCTACTGCGCCAGGAGCACCAGAAGCGATAACTGGCTGAGCACTCACTCCAGGCGGCTGCACGCCAACGCTAGGGTTTTGATAATTCGGCAACGTAGAGAATTGAGGAACTGGACGGAAAGATTGAGCACCGGAAGGCACAGATGCACCGGCGATTTGAGGCGGCGGCGCGTATGATGGAAACGCATGTACTGGTGGAGATACTAAAGTTGGGTTCGGATTCAGGCTAGGGTTAGGGTTAGTGTTTGATGCGGGAGGAGTTGCCGACTGTTGCTGTGACGGTGCCTGTGCTGCTGAGGAGTCGGTTGTTGGATTGGGTAGAATGTTCGGGTTAACGGATTCGGGCTTATTAGAATTCGATTCTATGGTAATGGCGGTAGTAGGAGAAGAGGGAGGGTCCGCCATGGAAAATAGAAAACAGAGAGAACGCGCGCGCGAGCGAGAAGGGGAGAGAGAGAGGATCTATAAACTTTAGTGAAAGTTAGCGATTAATTTTCTGTTCTGGCCTTTTCTTTACTTGTGCCTGGAAAAGGGCAAGTTGGCAAAAATTTTATAGAAAACATCGTGACTTAAAGTAAAATCACCAACATTTTTTAATTTTGACTTTTTTATAATTAAAATAAATTTGTTCCATAAATTTTACTAAAAGAAATTAATCCTTTGTTTTTGTTGCGGGGAGTGAAAATTTATCGTTCAACGGTACGCATTCAGGATACTTATTCTTTGTGCTGTTTGCGCTCATTTTATATTTTTATTTATATAATATTAAAATATAAATCAGGATACTTATTCTTTGTGCTGTTTGCGCATCATTTTATATTTTTATTTTATGATAAATATTAAAATAGTAATTATTATTTATATTAAAATAAGATACAATAGATCCAATAAAAACACTTTTACATATAATAAGATGATTGATTTTTTTTTTTAATTACAATCTTGGCGACCGGTCAATCTAAATTGAATAAGCAAGATGTTTGCTATTTTTATCCGGTTAAATGGCACCTTCATATAAAATTTATCGTTTTTATTTCTCATTTTCGATCTCACTGCTGATATTAATATATTATTTATATTCAATAATATAGTAATTTACTCCACAATATTATTTTTTTGTACTTTTATATATATATATTATATATATATATTTTCTATTTTTATGTAATAAAGTGTCTCAAAATAAAGTCTAACCCGGCCATTAGACTTAATTTTACAGCCCTAATTTATAAATATAGATTCTTAAAACATTAATATGTATCCAAAAATAAAATCAAACTATAATTTAATCATCAAGAAAATTAAAAATGTTTAATTATTAACAAATCATCTATTTATTGTAAAAGAAATACAAAATTCTAACTAAATTAATGGAAAAACTATAGTGAAGATTTAAAAAATAATAATTTTTTTCAAGATAAATTATTATCTAATATGTAAATTCATTATCCAAAATAAAATATTTAACATTTTAATAAATAATTATAAAACTTTCTTATTGTGAAATACTTATCATGTATCTACACAATAAAATCATATTATATACACGACTCATTATCTTTTTAATAAAACATTTTTAATTGAGAAAACTAAAACTACATAATTCAAATGTTGGACTTAAAATTTATCCCCTTTTATAATATTTAATTATAAATAGAATCATATTAATAGATAATCATTTAGTTTAATTGATTGCATGATCAGAAAAATAAAAGTTGGGTTTTGTGAAGTAGTAATTGAAATCCATCTTAAAATTTTAAATTGTGAATTAACCTCTGCAGTTTACATAGGGTTGCCAAAATTAAAGAAATATAGTGAAACTTTTTTGAAGTGTTAAGATGTTTCCAAGAGTTTTAGTGTCTGGAATGTGTGCAACATGCTAAAAAAATCTTCATGATTCATATGTTAGAAGAGTGTTCCTCTGTGATCTAGTCTCAAAATGTTTCCTTATATATTTGATTATCAGGTTCTTATGGCTGATTGCAGTGGTCCAGACTCCAGAGATGTTATTTGTTTATTGTTGCCACAGTTGTTGATGGAGCCAAAAAAGGGTGAATTCAATATCTCATGATGTGGTTTTAGTGATGGTGCCAGAACAAGTTCAACTCTTAAAAAGTGCACTCGTTGACATGATAAAAAGACCTATATGCTGTACGATACAAAAAAATTAGCACCTCCAAGTTTTTTAAAACAAAATTATTATTTTATCATTCCAACAATATGTTGCTAGAATATGATTTATTTTTGAAAAAAAATTTCTTAATAATTATTTTGTATTTTTTCAGTTGCAATATTAAAAATTAGTTCAAAATATTAAATTTGCAATTTATAAGACCATACAAAAATTTAAACTATAGAAATTTCATATTTTAAAAATTTATGTTAAATATGAGAAAAATATATAGAAATGTGTAGTCTCTAGAGATAATGACTAGTGGTCGTAAGTGAAGACAATCAATTGGTATTAATGGTGATCCATAATAGTGAATACCCATGAACATCATTAAATTAATAGAAATATGTATTTATAAAGTTATAATAAATTTGTCAGAAAAATATGTTCCCATCTTGAAAAGGAGAAATTATTTTTCTTTAAAATTACATAATTTTTCTGTTTACTAATAAAATATTTTTCATAACTAACTTCTCAGGATATCCAAAATATTACAAATGCTTCGTTTGATATAAATGAATTTAAAATATGAAATTTATTTGTAAATGAATTTTCATGTTTGATAATCATGTATGAAATAAATTCACAATTGAAGATTCATTTGCTTTTATTCACAATGAAGATTCATTTGCTTTTATTTCTAAAATATTCTTGAAGATAGTAATTTCACAAAATAATATAAATACTAATTAATATTGAAGTTATGATATATAATTTTTTTAACATTTTTATTAAAATAAAATATATAAACAAAATAAAAAATAATTTTAATAAAAATTGTTACATTTAATTTAGTGATAAATAATATATTTACTTGAAAAATAAATATATAAAATAAAAATAATTTTAATAAAAATTGTTACATTTAATTTAGTGATAAATATATATTTAACTTGAATCTATCCCTGCAATGATAAAAAAAATACAAAAAAGATGAAAAATATTAAAATAAAAACACAATAATAATAAAATATTTTATAAAAATAAAATTTTAAATAGTTTTGGTTAAGTTTGATAAAATATATAAATTAAATTAAGTAAAAATTTTGAAAAAATGACTTTTTTTTTTTTTTGAGGATAAAAATTGAAAAAATGACTTTGAAGAAGGAGAATGGTAGTTTTGTCATAAAAGTTGGATGAGTTAGTTTTGTGGAATTCATTTGAAAATTTCATTTATTTTTGTGAATTTAGTGTAGTTATGTTCAATTCCATAAAATTGAATTCTTATAATTGAAATATGCATTTTTTTTTTTCATTCAAAACACAAAAATATGGATTTCTAAATGAATTTCACAAAATTTTGTGGAATTCATTTATTCCAAATAAGGGAAAAATCTGAAAAAAATATTTTTTAAATAAATTACTTTCCATAAATAAATGGAGAGTTAATACTGATTATTTAAATACACTTTAACTTTTTATTTTAATAGAATTATCTTTTATAGTTTGATCCTAGATATTTACTTTTGAAAAGTTGATTTACATACCATCAAATGTAAGAAACGTATTTTTAAATTAGTTGATTTGCATAAGTAATTTTCCAAGACATGCATTTTATGGAGAAGTAGATCATTTTGAAATGAATATACTTTTTAAATAATCTTCCTTTATATTTATAGATATTCAATGAAATTAGGCAAGAAGTTTTTTTTCCCAACGAATTTAGAATTTTGAGATATAATCATAAATGTCAAAATGGCAAGTCAACTCAAACAACGTTACGAGTTAAAATCAGCTAAAGTAATCAACACATGTGAAAAATCACATTCATACAAGGCTCCATTTATTTCTGTAAATTGGAATAAAATCATAGTTAAATATTATAAAATTAGTAGAAACCGCTTAAAAACGTTTTACTTTTAGTTTTCTTTTTTTGAAATGGGAACTAGTGTTTCTAAAACTGTAATGCCTAAATTCTACAGCTATATAGAAATTAAAATTTCAAAGTAAAAAGAGAGGTCAGCAAATACACATATTATTGATTTTTGAGGAGAGGTTGAGGATCGTTCCTCCTCTTACAACACAAATGTATCTATTTATAGAGGAACAAAGCTTAAAAATTGACATTACATTTATTATACTTTAGCATTGACTGAATATATGAATTTACCCAGGAACCTTGCAACTTTAATTTTGTGACACTTTAAATTTTGCAGATGATCTATTGTACACTTGAATTTGTAAATTTTGTTACACACCTTTTAACATTAATATTAATAATTTTAAAGTTTTTTAGCTTTTTTCTGCAAAATATCGACTTAATATATACTTAGTATGACTTTTGAAACTATAATTTTCATAAATTTGAACTTTTTAATGAATGCTTAATTTATCTAATTTTGCAAGTTAAAGTATTGAATAAAATAATTTTAAAAATTTAATTGTTTAATAGATATAGTTTTATAATTTTAAATATTTAATATGTCAAAATAAAAATTAAAAATATCATAAAATTAAAATAAGATAGTTCAAAAGTGAATTTATAAATTTTGACTACGTTAATCAAGATAAAGAAAAAATAGACACAAGTACATAATCCATAAAAAGAAAAAATAGACACAAGTACATAATCCATAAAAAGCATGTTCCTTTGAACTATTACATGAATGCATATCAATAAAGTAGATGAGTGGTCCACAGCATGCAATTCTTCGGTCTTTCATATCTCGAGTTGAGTTTGGTTATAGTGGCAGAGAGCCATTCTCAATCAATGTTATAATTTAGCATGCCCAAGTTAGAGTAGTAGTGTACCCAATTTGACTCGGTACGTTTTTACTCTTAATCCATACCTTATCGTGGTAGTTTTTTGACAAGAGAGGATAATAGCCCTAGACAAAGTTGAAATTTCTAATTATCAATTTCAATTTAGTAATGCTCACCCTTCAACTATTGATTCTAGTTGCCAACTATGGGTGGAAGTAACCGCGAATATTAAGTTATTTATATTCATATCTTTACTTGCTTAAAATTTTACTGTATATACTTATTTCAAATCTGTTTAAATATTCGTTTAAGTATCCACATCCGGATCTATTTGAAATTTTACTACGTACGTCTACTTCAAATCCATTTAAAATATCTTTAAATGGGTAAAGTATCTACATTTATTTAAAATATATCTTTTACAAATAATGTATACTCGTAAATAAACTCATTTAATATCGATAATATCATGTAACGGGTATTTAAATATCTATGTGCACGTACTCTAACCTTATTCATAATCTCACTGCTAGTACTTGTTACAACTCATTAATAACTATTTGCACCTTCTCGGAGGAAGCTGAGTACTTCAAAAATACTTATCCCGTTTATCCCGTTTTTATCTCCATTGCCAACCACTGAACTTTGAGCTTATCCTAAAACAAAACAAATAGATTGCATAATGGCCCATTACAAGTAAAAAGAGAAAATAACTTGTATAGACTAGTTCATGCCCTCGTTTATGGATTAAACAAATGAAATTAAGATTATGTTTGTTTCCAAAAAATAATTTACATTTGAAAAATATTTCCCATTTTTTAAATAATTTTTTTTTCGTTATTTGGTTGCAATATTGAAAATTAGTAAATATAAGAAAAAAAATGATAAATTATAAAAGTTATCGGTGATCGTGGTGGTGGCATGTGATGAACGGTGGTGGTGGTAATGACTATCGATGATTAATAAATTAAAAAATATTAATTTACAATGTTTTAATAAGTTTGTCAAGATTTGAAAAATGTTTTGAGAATGAGAAATCATTTCTTTAAAAGTGACTTAATTTTCTTTTAATCAAAAAAATTTGTCAAAGGTTTGAAAAATGTTTTGAGAATGAGAAATCATTTCTTTAAAAGTGACTTAATTTTCTTTTAATCAAAAAAATTTGTCAAAGGTTTGAAAAATGTTTTGAGAATGAGAAATCAGAATGAGAAATCATTTCTTTAAAAGTGACTTAATTTTCTTTTAATCAAAAAAATTTGTCAAAGGTTTGAAAAATGTTTTGAGAATGAGAAATCATTTCTTTAAAAGTGACTTAATTTTCTTTTAATCAAAAAAATTTGTCAAAGGTTTGAAAAATGTTTTGAGAATGAGAAATCATTTCTTTAAAAGTGATTTAATTTTCCTTTAATTAGAAAAATATTTTCCGTTGACTTATTTTTCTAAATTTTAAAAATAATAGAAAATTGTGAAAAATATTTTTATGTAAGTTATTTTATAGTAACAAACGGAGTCTAAATATTTTTTAAAAAATATTTCGGTTTTATTTAAATGTATAATTAAAAATACCATTATTTTAATAAAAATTCTTAATTTTATTAAGTTGGCTCACGAATGAGATAATGCGAACCGATACAGGTAAGTCTTTCCCGACAAAATGTTAAAAAAAAAAAAAAAAAATGAATGGAACATGAAAACAGGAGGGTCATTAGATGCTCTGTTACCACCTACGGCATTTTCCTCTCCCTCCTAAATTTTTCTCATTTGGCTGGGAAAGAAGCAGGGAAAATATTGGAGTATAACAAAGCTAACAGCCTAGCACACTACAAAAGAGTTTTAAAGGAAAAAAAAAAAAATCTATCCTAGGCGATCCAATTCATGCATGGAAGAAGAAAATTCCAAGAAGAAAAGACTGAAACTTGACTGGAAAGAAGTGTTAGACCAAAACGACGACGAACCACCGACGTTAATGATAGTGAAAACAACACCGGAGCCACCAAAACCCTCGCCGATGACCACCGATCTCTCTTCTAGGGATGATTGTTCCTACATGACCGATCACCAATTAAAGGAAGCGATTAAGAGGCATAAGGCTCATATTACATCGTTAAGCTCAAATTTGCCTGACAATGGAGAGAAGCTTCGGACCACTCTTAAAGCCTATGAGGAAGAGCTAGACCGGAGAAAGCTTCGTTGCTCTGATATGGTTTGTTTCATTCTATTGGTTGTTTTGATACTAATTATCAAGTGTTCATTTTGATTTTACAATTTGCTTGGTTGCTTCGAAAATGGGAGAAGAGAACAGAAAATTAAATTGCATTCTGTATACGAGTGAAGTTCTCCCCTTGATAGTCAATTGGAGTTTGTTATGATTTTAGTGGCAGACAGAACGGCAGAGAGCAAAAGAATATTAGTACCGGTCTTCCTTTTCTATCTTTTTTAATGCATATTTTAAATTTTTTTTTCTGTTATTAGGTTTGAAAGAAAAAACTATTATTGGCCTCCCTCTTATTTTCTGTATTTTTCATGAGTATTTTGTAAAATTTTGATGTTATTAGTTTAGTCATTCAGCTTCGTATTTTCTTTACTATTTTTAATACTAGAATGATCAATTTTCTTAAAAATTCACTACTTCTCAGACCTTTGGCTTGTCGATATTCTCCCTACATCTTCCTGGTAACCAAGCATTGCTTTGAAAGTTGATTTTTGCGTCCATCTTATTTTTTTTTAGCTGGAGAAATTACTGTTTTGTTCTTTGGAATTGGTGTGCGACTTATCATTAATGAGTTGACTGATGTGACTTTTGGCCTTTGTTTTTGCCTTGAAGAAATTGTGTGGTCTCTCTGCTGTTAATTAATTAGGTAGCCATATAGAGTCTCTTCTTTTATGATAATGTGCATAAACTATTTGCTAGATATTTTTTAACTTAGTTTTCCTAATCAGTTAAATTTCAAATGTTGAAATCGATTGCTCAGATTTCAGGGATAAATTTGTAGCAACTGAATGTTATTATAGAGTCTCGAGGAGTTTTTCCTTCCCTTATAAATTGCTATTACAGGTAAAGTTTTTGACAGTTGAATTATTAAGTGCGAGTAAGCTTGAATGTTTGTTTACAATCTCCCCAATATTAGATAGCATGATGTCTATTTTAGAGTTTGTTGGATGCAAAAGAGAGAGAGAAAGGTCACCCAACCATGCCAGTCATTTGGTTTTTGGCATTTTAACCTGGAGAATTTGATTCTTTTTTCCTTCCTGAAATGGCAAATGGAATGTTGTTAAAGTATTTAACTATGATAATTCATGGTTGAGTTTATTTGAAATCTACAAGAATTTAATTGGTTGTTTTGTATTCTTGATTATTGTTGAGATTTAATTCAAGAATATTCACATTGTGTTCTTGGCAGATGTCAGCTCAATTAGTGCTTTAAAGGATTTGAATACATGACATGATTCCTTGTACTTTCTTTGGACAGGATGTTGATGTATGTGAGAAGCCCACTCGCACTCACTTAATGAGTTCAGGTATAATTGGCACATTCAACTTTCTGTTTCCACCACCATTCAAAGAAGCTGAAGCAGAGCTAAGATTGGTGGCTTTCATTTCTAAGTATCAGTAAATGCTTCACCTAGGATATGTGATCTTGTAGCTTGAGTAATTGATTAAGAAGCACATGCAATAGTATAAGTCATGATTTTTTTTTTTCTGTCTGCATATTTGTGGAACCTAAAGTGTTTTTATTGATGCTACAGATGAATTTAAACGAGAGAATACATCATCCGAAGTTCGCTCACAATCTGACTTTGCCTCTTTTTTTAGTAGAAAGATGGACGAAAATGTATGGTGCTGTACTGCATTCTTTTAAAACGCAATTCAAGTAGACTGTCACTGCAGAATATAAATTGGTGTTTCCTTATTTTTGTGTAGCGGAATGATAGCAAGGTAGGCAAAGTATTTGATAAAGAATTGTCAATTTTGGGTCGATGCGATCGACAGAAAATGAGATTTAATGGAAACTCATCGCAACGGGGAAGACAAAAGGATTATTCATCCTCAAGGCAATTACCTTTCAAATGCGCTAGCAGTCTTTCACATAATGGAGATAAATATAGTTTGGATAATAGTGACCAAAAGGGCACATCTTCATCTACTTATCTATTCCACTACAATGGGCAAAACTTGTGCAGCAGTTTCTCCGAGAAGTGAGCATTTTTTCCCCAAATCGTTTTAATTTTTTTTTCCTTATATCATATGCATTTCCGAATGGTACATAAGTCAGTTATCTATGCATGTATATCCTTATAAAGCTGTCTCTAGTAATTTGAAATAAGTGTTATGTGTATAGGAATCCTCACCTTATGTCTATCAAAAGTTGCTAGTTTGATCTAGGTGTTAGTTAGTTAAACCTTTATTTTTGCAATTGACAATTTGGAAAATACTGATCTTCAAATATTATTACGATTTATTTGTGCCCAACTGGGGAGACTACTTGGCTTGGTGCATTAAAACTCTCTCTTTGCAAAGGACAAATTTTCAGGTTATGACTTCAATTTTTAAGTCATTTTAACAACATCATGGGACTGCATGATGTCAAATACACCAAATACTTGGTCAGGGCCTTCAATCATGGCTGCATTTATTTAATGAACAAAGAGTCGTGTGGTATTCCTGAATTTTAGTAAGATGTTTGCATTAAACTTAGTATTAGTTTTTGACTCTAGAAGATGCTGAGGTCAATTAACAACTATAAACTGGCTAACCTATTGCATAGAATATTCACCCTATGATTTGTATTTGCTTCGTGAATAGCATTTTTTTTTTTTTTTTTTTTATTTTTTTTTTTTTTTAAGGTTGGTTGGCTCACACTGGTTGCTTTAATGAACTGTTTTTCATCTGTTTTTTCCTCCAGGACAATTTGCTTTGAATTTGGATACGTCTGTGTGATGGTGTTGTTAGGAATGATGCCTACTTTATTATCATGCTTTAGTTTATCTGATCCTTCTATTATACTTCTGACTTCTGTTGGCAATGATCCTTCTTTTTTCTGCTCCCTGTTTTTTTTTTCTCTGAAAGAATACTGTACTTCCGGTGTTGGCATGCAGGATTTCTATAAGACCCTGTTGATAGATGTACCAATTTTAGCATTTTGCTTAAGTTTCTAATTTAGTGATTCTTCCATGTCCTGCAACATGGAGGTATAGCCCTGATTGAAGTTTTGGCTCCTAAACTTGAACCTTATGAAGTCTCCCGAAATCTTTATTTATTCATTTTCTACATTTAGAATAAGAAAAGTTATATTTAGAAAAAAACCAACGCATCTTTTTAATCTTCTTGAATCCGGAAATGTATGCCTTATTTTAATAAACTTTTTTTCCCATTTAAGCAATTTTTGTTATTGCCTTGATTGTAGGAAGGATAGTCGTCAAGTCCTACCTTCAAATGGTTCAAGGCCTAGGAAGGTATATCTTTTACCCTTCTATCTCTTCCGTCTCTTCCAATTCATTGCTTTTGCTTGCTCTTTAACAACAATGATATTAGTTTAATATTTTTATCGTTGAAAGGAGATTTTGGTCTTGAAAGGTTACATAAGCATGGGAATGAAACATAAACCTATAGAACTTAAGGCTGTCTCATATATTAGCTTCAGATTGATTTATGCTGTGCATTGAACATGTAATTTGTGCTTGGAAGGAAAGCTTGTTTGTGTGGACCAATATGTAGATTTTGGTTTTGCTCGTTTACTTTGCTTTTTCAACTTTGGAAAGTTTAAAATTTAACTGTATCGGAGAGTGATTTTGCAACATTTGACTGAATGGACTGATCACCCATGGTGGATTTATTTGAAGAACTGCTCCTTCAGAATTTCCTAGAGATTTGTTGATCTATTCTGTTCATAATCCATCTGTATACACAAGCTAATAAGACAATGACCTGATTGACTACAATTTGCATGAATTCGATGCCTTTGATATTGGCATTAGATTGAAGCTGTTTATTCATTTTTCTGGTTGAAAAATTGAATGGATTGGATTGGTTGTGTGTGACCAAACACTGCCCCGACTTGCTTCATCAATGTAGGTTTTTTTGTGCATTTAGATGGGAATAGTTCTGGGATGAAGTACATGTTTTGGTGACTTGAATGCAAAGCTATTTATCTTTTATGAAGCTAACCTATACTCTGATAGTCTAAGAAAATATACCTGGACGCTCTATAAATCTTCTGTTTTCATTTGGTAGTTGTCATAACTGAGTTGGTTTCATAGTTTGAACTGTGATGTAATCTGGGTTAGGCCTCCACTATGGAATAAATTGTCTGTGGCATACAACTCTTTTTGTTCATGTATCACATGTGGATTGCTGAATTTCTCATAGTTAGTGCTACTGTACTTGCACAACCATTTTTATGATAAGAGGCTACGATCCGCTACTTGATACAATAATCTATTACACTGTGTCCTTGGGCATCGTGATACAATCATATTGCATCTCAGTTCGTTTTGCAATTTTTAGGCTTTTGAAGTTATTATAATCTTCTGATGGAGAATTATGACTATTGAAAGTATCTTGAATATTTACTAATGAACCGTAGTTGAACTTTCAGATCTTCAATTATGAAACACCATTTTAATATAGATGGTACTCTCAGTAAAATTAGGTACATGATGTTGTGAACATGAGAGTTTTCTTCCATGTTCCCAAAACCAATTAGTATACCGTTGTTTTAAACTGTATTATGAGTGAAAAATGTTAATTTAATCCTTATCACACTGAATTGGAGGTATACAATCCTTATCACACTGAATTGTAGGTATAAAATAGAACAAGGTTCAATTATGACGCGATGGATATAAGGAGTTGTGTCGTGCTTGAAATTTGTACTCAAATGGGGGTAATGGAGCCAAATGTTTATTGCTATTGAAAACCTGCTATCAGAATTTTGTTTTTGCCAAGCTGGCTTTTATCTTCAGTTGCTGATTTGATCCATGGTGTCATTACATCAGGGGCAGACAGTTGTTCTTTTGGATGAGGATGAAACTCAGCATGTTGAGGTAACAGAGGATGCAAACAAAATTGCTGAACGGTAAATAGAACTGCCAACACCTTTCTTTTACCGTTCCTCCTATTCCAAGTTCCAAGTTTGTTGTTATTGATGATTGTGATTCTTTGGTTTCTTTCAGCATGAAGGATGCTAAGATTGATTATCCATCAAGGTGCAACAAATGTTTCTTGAAGATGATTTTAACTTCTTTGGGAAATATTTTAATAAAATTACTTTTCATTAGGGTTTAACCAGAATCTGCTAATGATATCTTTCTTGTCTGTAAACCAAGGGATGATCCAGAATCTGTGGAAATTTATTATAAGGATATAAACTGCCTAGCCCCTGAAGGATTTTTGACATCACCTATTATGAACTTTTACATCAGGTAAGTAAATTTGGAACAGTTTAGATCTAACGTCTTGATTCAGGATGTTCGTGGTTTTAGATCCTAGGTTATGTTTGGTAGGTTGTTTTATTGTGCAGCATAATCAAGAATGTAATGAAATGAAATGTCATAACTAGGTACATACTATTCCTATATTTGACTGCAAAATAAAAGTTAATGGATTGCGATTTAAATTCCTTCATCTAGTTTATTTGGTAGTGATTGTGGCAATGATGCTGAGAAATGGAGGCAGAGATAAGGGTGAGAGGGACTGCAAATGGGATAGTGGTGGTAACACGGTGTGGATGTGGTAGAAGTAAAAATAATGAGCACTACATTAATGATGAATGTATAAGATAAAGTATATCAAAAATTCTGTGTAGCAACACAGTGATGAGACTTGTAATATTATTGTGATTGTGTCATCAGGACTTTAAGTTGTATGTCAGAACTTTAAATAGATTTTACCAAAACATAGGCTTTTTCTTAAACTGTTTGGCGAGTAACTAAGTCTTTTGCCAAACAGGCTCCATGTATTTTATTTTTTTTCAAGGCTCTAAGCTTTGCTTGTAGAATGAGAGCTTGAGCTTGATCTGTACCTGGACAATGGATAAGAGTCTCGCCCTCAAGGCACTATAATGTCTAAGTTTTTATTTGAAGTGATTTAAGAAAATTCAAATTCTGGATCAGGGGGGGGGGGGGGATGCCCGTAAATAAGGAGGAGGGTCTTTATTTCTTCCAGATTGGCACTTGTTTTCACAGTTCTCGTATGTATACTTGGATGGAGACATTTAGTTTAGGAAAGGAATGAGATAGAATCCCATTAAAAATATCAATTAGCAGGAGAAGCAATTGTAAGCAATTTGGTGATTGATGATACTAGGCTGGTTTGTGAACCAGCAAGATGCACATTATATGCATTTGAATATGACTCTTTGTTTAGAAAGCTCCAAATTTCTTGTTGGGAGTCAAGCTAAGCAAGGGTTATGTAAACATTCCACTTTTGAGACATTGCTTATGTGGTCTATATGGACGTTTAAGGGATGGAGTGTTTGAAGCTGGCTGTGCTAATTTTTTTAACTTCTTGCCTGGCTAGGTATCTACAAATATCTCCGACAAACAAGGCTACATGTGATTATCACTTTTTCAATACATTCTTCTATCAGAAGCTCAAGCAGGCTGTATCATACAAGGTATTTTCAGTTTTTTGATTACTAATAAAAATGAGGGAAATTATCTTTGTTCTTTTAATTTGCCTAATATTCTTCAACACAAATTCGCAAGTCCAAGTTTGTGTTAACTGTTCTATATTGGAGATTTTGAATACTGACCTGTGGCACCAAGTACATGAGGTAAAAATATTAAGAGTCATTACTTAGCTGCCAATGTCATTTCAATTTCTGATAGTTTTAGCAATTTGATATTAACTTTATAGATCTTAAGACTGAGGCAACATGGCAAATTGGTGTAAGATTCTTCCCATTGTTGTATAAGCTGATCAGGAATTGTAATATTTAGTCGTGTCTGGCAGTTTGAAATTTTTTTTATGGCTTATGCTTGGACAATTTTTTAATATTTGAATGCATTGTTGTCTGCAAATTTTACAAAGTACAAATTGGTGCACAGTGATTCATCTTCCTTCTACTTATGTAGGGGAGTGACAAGGAATCCTTTTTTATCAAGTTCAGAAGGTGGTGGAAGGGGGTTAATATATTCCAGAAGGCGTATGTCTTTATTCCCATACATGATGAGTAAGTTGCTTTTAATTTCGATGAAAACTCTTGCATTATTTTTGGTTGCTGAATATAAGATATATGTAGGCTTTGATCTTGCTAGAGAATTACTATGGTTTCTTTTCTCATTATATCATATGCATATATATTTATTTTTTAATTTGTGTACAAAGAGATGTGTCTCATTCTAGTGTAGGGATTACTCAATTTACTTAGTAGTTGGCTGATATCCTTTCCAGGGATTTTAAGTTCTTTCTAATAACATGAGTTTGAGTTCATGCTAATAGGCATTAGGCTTACAGGAGTTCCCAAGTAATTGGAACATGAGGGACGCTTTTTTTCTTTTTTCCTTTCTAAAGAGCTGCTTATGTAGTTTTCACTTGTTCCTTCAATGCACTTCAGATGGCAATGTAGAATGATCTAGAAATTATCAACAATGACCAGCCATTCAACTTGAACGGCTTGTAGTTTCTACAGGAAATAAAAATTTGGAAGAATGGAAAATGGAAAGAAACTTGAAGACAAAATTGGATTATGGGTTCAGATGATGAACTTCTGACATACATGGCTGATTACCTAAAGATACAAAGATACTCCTCGATAAGTAGGGTCCTGAAGGGGGAATGCAGATATGGTCTACCCTTTAGCATTTATGTGTGACGTAGATCCTCTACCAGTGTACTAGACAATCGAAACTTTTTTTTCTTCTGTAGGCATGTAGACATACGTCAGCTATCTGGTGAGAAGTATAAACTGGTATTTTCTGGTAGAAGATAAAAGATAGGCATATCTATCACGATTAGTGAATTAGTTTCTTGTTTTGTGTCCATCATTGTGTATTATTATTATTATAGCCTAGTGACTAAGAGGTATACTTACTCTTACCTAAGATTTTGGAGATCAATTGATAAAGAGATGTGCCCTTTCTACTCACCCTCTTCTCTTGTTTGGCCTAAATTACTTCTTACTGATTTGATTTGTTTGTGTTTAACGTGTTCAGTCTTCATTGGAGCTTGGTGATTATTTGTATCCCAGACAAGGAAGATGAGTCCGGACCAATTATTCTTCATTTGGATTCTTTGGGACTTCACTCAAGCAAATTGGTTTTTGAAGAAATTAGAAGGTGAGAAAATGACAATTTCAGCAACAACATTTGTTTTCATGGTGAACTCTTGTTAATGCGAAGGAAGTATCATTCAGTTTTCCTATTTCATTTTAAGTGTATGAAGTTAGAATCGGAATTGTGGGTTGTAATTTGCATGTTCAAAGGGTTAGCGCGTGGGAAGCATTAGAAATATCATGACAGTTAACAAGGCATTTACATATTTTAATTAGCTCTTGATTGTAATGGTTTCGTAATCTGAATCTGGGTCCTGAAGATGATACCATCTGCGTGCTGCAGCTATTTGAGAGAGGAATGGAACTACATGAATCAAGAGGTTCCTCCTCCCAAACTTCCGATTGCAGACCGAATATGGAAGCATCTACCTCGTAGAATTGATGAGAAAAAAATTGAGGTAAAAGGATTATGCCAAACTTGGCTGGTGCAGTGATTGCCTTATCAAATTGCTTTCATTTTGCTTCTTAGCTGTCATAGACTATGCATGGTTACTTACATAATTTTCATCTTTTCATACTGTGGGCTATTTTGGATGAAGAATATTGTTCATTTTCAACTGGAACTGTTTTAAGAACTAAAAGTCTGTCTCTTGTCCTTTCTATAAAAAGTGAGATGGCATCATCAATCAATTTCTAATAAATTTTCCAGAGGCAAAATTCAGTCCAGTTAATAAGTTTGTGGCGGGAGTACTTGTAATAGGGGATAGTGATCCTATTTTGTCCATTTGATTTGAGACCAAGTAATGCTCTCTAAATTTACATTGTATGATATGATTCATCATTACTGTAGGCTGTATCACTCTGCAGTTGCAGTTCTAAATTTCTGTGTGAAATATCTAAGCCTGAGGTATTAATTTTACATTAGAATTTGTTTGATGGAATTTATTAACATACCATAGTCAATTTGAACTGCATCTCGACATACCATTATTACCAGGTACCCCAACAGAAAAATGACTATGATTGTGGTCTCTTTGTACTTTTCTTCATGGAGCGCTTCATTGAAGAGGCTCCAGATAGACTGAAAAAGAAAGATTTAGCAATGGTATTGTTTGCTGCTCCTAGACTTGAATAGCTTCTCTTTTGATATAATTCGATGCAGTCCTTCCCTTTATTTGACAGTTTTTTTTTTTCTTTTTCAATTTCAGTTTGGCAAGCGGTGGTTTAGACCGGAACAGGCCTCTGGTTTGAGAGTGAAAATCCGGAAATTACTTTGGGATGAATTTGAAAAAGCATCTCCGGATGGCAGAATTTCGGAATCTTCTTCTCAGCCTTCAGGCGGTGCTTCACCATGAATTTATTCAGCTGACGCTACTGGTTCTCCAATGGATTCGGTGTACCATACATGTATAGCTCACATTTGAGTACAAAATTAATTTGTGAAAGAATGCTGAAATGACTTTTGTATAGACGTGGGGATTGGTGCCACGGAGGAAGGTAGACATTGGACATGGAAGTAGTTCTCGGTCATTTCCCTATTGACCAGTTTTGATGAGTTAGAAGTTCCATTTAATTGCTTCTTCAAATGTATAGGGGGAATTGATATAGGCAGATTACTGATGATGGTGGTGATTAAGACATAACCCACCAATTATTTTGTACTCCTTTTTTGTTTTGTTTTATTTTACCTTTAGTTAATAACAGACTAACTTCAAAGAAAAGAAAATACGAGCAGTAGTTTCTGCTTAAATGAATTTCAACATGTTACTTTTCTTTTCGTTTCTTTTTTTCTTTATTTGGGAGAATTTCAACATACTACTATAAGGAAAAAAAAAATTCAAGCAAAAAATTCCATTGGGTATGATTATGGACTGCTTGAAAAATTCGATTCATTTCTATGTACAAAAGAAAAAAATAAAAATAAAAAGAATATAATATAATATATAAGCATTTTTGTACAAAATAAAAATAAAAAGAATATAATATAATATATAAGCACAAATTTAAATAAAAAATTGTTACAATTGTATTTACACTTGAAATTTTATTCTAATCAGTCAGCAAATTAGTGTTTACAGGAGATTCAGGCGTTGTAGCTTCTGTGTATATATTTCAGAGTCTCCAACAGAAGCAACGCCAAGTCCGGTCAAGAGGGGTCATACCTCTACCTTTTGAAGCATCCATGGCTTCCAACATTGTCACAACTTCCTGCATCTCTGGTCTCTTGTTAGGATTTGTGTCCCAACATCTTCTCATTATTTTTGCCAATCCACGTGGACAATATCTGGGAATTTTTGGCCTCAGTTTCTGCATTCAAAAGTGCAAATGTTCAGTTCAGGGTGATAAAGAGTTCGAATTTGCATCCTTCTGATCGTTGGTAATTAATTTATATGCTTTTCAAATAATTCAAAATCTGAACAAAGATTGATTATGAACAACAATAAAATTATATTAAATTCTGGCGTATCAAAGAAAAACATTACATACCTTATAAACAACAGCTGAAGACAGTTGAGCGAAATTGTTATTCGGAAATGGCATGTCACAGCAGTATATCTCCCATAAGCAAATTCCAAAGCTGTAGACGTCACATTTCCTGTTATATGGTGTGCTGTTGAAGACCTACAAATCATATCAGCACAAATCAACAATGTTAATTTAAATTTAATGGAGGATCACGGGAAATGGTTAAAGTCTAAGTGGTGAAAGTTCAATCCTTAAATTATATCAGCAGAAATCAATATTATCAGGTGCGAAGTTAGGATTTAAATTTACGGGATCACGGAAAATGGTTAAGGCTAAGTGGTGAATATAAATCTCTGAAATTGTCCGGTGAAATTATTTTTTAAAGAGGGGAGCCATTGTCCCCTTCCACAACAAGTGGCTTCGTCATTGAACATTATATTTAACCTTTTCAGAAGGCGTAAAAGCAATATTTGAAATCCTGAGGGGAAATAGCTAAGCTTAAATAATATATATTACCTCTGGTGCCATGTAACCGAGTGATCCAGTATAACCTGTCATTTCACTGGGGTTTAAAGCCTCAAGTCTAGAAACTCCAAAATCTGCTATCTTGATTGTTTGATTCTCGTCAAGAAGTATATTTTCTGTCTTCAGATCTCTGTGCACGATGTTCTTGGAATGAAGATAGCTCAATCTGCCAAGAAGAAGAAGAAGAGCAAAACTAAATTAACAGAAAAATCTTACAGTAAATATTGTTAATTGTAGAAATAATTTTGAAAAACATGATAAAGACTGCAATGTGGAAAAGGAAACTGACCCTCTTGCTAGGTCTAATGCTAGTTGCATGACATTCTTGAAAGGCAGCTTTTTTATCCTGTTCTTTATAAGGTATGACTTTAGAGTGCCTCCAGATTGATATTCAGTTACAAGACAACATATATTTACTCGTGTCCCAATTTGAGCACTTTGGGTTTGAAATTCTATCTCTGATGTACCCGTTACAGCGCCAATGAACTGTGCCAAAAAAAAAAAAAGGTCAAGAATTGTATATTTACTCATAAGGCATTCTGATAATCAAGAAAGAGAGGCAAATAAATAAATAAAATAACTGAGATAAATACAACAATATGCATGTGTTACTTACAATGTGAATTAATAAATTTACCTGTGTAATGTTGGGATGAGATATGTTGTGCAAAACAGAAATCTCTTGTTTAAATTCTTTTCTTAGAGTAGCTATTCGACTTTTCGTTTGTTGTTCTTCATCGCCCCAGTCCAGCACTTTAACTGGAAAAGAGGGAAATTAACAAATAAAAACCCTAAAACCAAATTTATTAAGCAAGAGATAAGAGCAACAAGAATTTGAAAAAAAAAAACCAAAAAATGTTAGGGCATAATCAACATTTCTCAAGTTGAAAACCACATAGTATATGTGTATTGTATACATTAACAAATAAACCCTAATGTACGTAATATTAGGGCACAAAAATCATGCAGTTTATTAACCATGAAAGGCGACAATATTTAGAGAAATAAAAGTTGGAAAAGCTAATATGATAATATTAGGGCACAGAATGTTAATATTTAGGGTAACTATCGTAAAAGAGAAGGTATATGCATGGAAAGGAAAGAAAGAAAGAAAAGTGTAATGGATAATTGCCTGCAACATCTTGGCCATCATAAACTCCTCGATGAACAGAACCATAAGTTCCACGAGCTACAACATGCTTAACAGTTAGTTTCTTGGGATCGATTTCCCATTTTTCTTTAACACCCTTCTTGTTATCGTTTTGCATGTTTAATACACGATCAAGATGCCTATCCAACTTATCCAAGCTCTTCAGATCAATCATCTTTGCCCTATTATACGTACCTATAATACTACTATTATCTCTTTCTCTATCAAGCTAAGTAATTTATTTTTTTGGAGGGAATTAGGGTTGAACAATGTACACGAACCAGTTTGATGGTAATGTCAATTGGAAGTGAATTTGGTTTCTTGATTAATTCGTATTCCAATTGCTGAAAGGAAGCGTGGGCGTGCGAAACTATATTTCTATTCTTAGTACGTATATATATGTTATCTTTCTATTTATGTCAACTTCATATCATGGATAATTCTATCCTTCTCGTCTGTATCCTGTATACAAGCTAATCCTCAATCTAGTAGAATCCAACAAATTTAAAAAGAATTAAAAACATGAATTATACCAATTCCTGAAAAAAAAAAAAAGAAAAGGAATATACTAAGAAACGTGTTTTAAATGTTTTTTTTGTTCCTCCAACCGGAACAAAAGGAGTTCTTTACGTCCAGTTCAAAAAAAGGTTTTTGGGCCTAGCCCAATCAGATCAAAGCTAGGCCGACTATGACTTATGTGTCCTATTACCAAATTTGTAAAACAGCCTCTGTCATTCCGGAGACACTTTTTAACAAAAGTAAAAGGAAAAATTACATCCATGTATGTATGGAAAAGAAAGCGTTTGCTGTATTTGGACCTCCATCGAAGAGATTTTATGTAATTGAAATGCAGAACCAGAAGAGAGGCAGGAGGAGTGATATGTCAGTACCAAACTCTTTAGTTATTGCTTAAAAAAAAAAAAAAAAAAAATTTTTATGTAATTGAAATGCAAAACCAGAGAGGAGGCAGGAGGAGTTGATATGGTTCAAGTACCAAACTCTTTAGTTATTGCTTAAAAAAAAAAAAAAAAAGGAAGTGATCTTGCCATGTCGTATTGAATATCTGTATTCACATGCTTCAATGCTTGACAAAATTGTTTAGTCGAACATAATAAATCGTATTCCTTGATTAGAATTAACATCATTAACCCATTTGTATAACCACAAAATAAAAACATTTCAATATTAAAGCTGAGGTCTTTTGCTTAAAAAAAAAAAAAAAAAAGAGAAGTGATCGTGCATGTCGTTTGAATATTGTATCACATGCTTCAATGCTTGAAAATTTTTAGTCGAACATAATAAATCGTATTTCCTTGATTAGAATTACATCATAACCCATTTGTATAACCACAAAATAAACATGTTCAATATTAAGCTGAGGTCTCAGGTAAACGACGACAAAAGTGCAGATTTATACATTTGCTGATTGGTCAACCTAGTCTAGTCTGCATTTTTTTTTTTCCTAAAACCTTTTCCAACCAATGCTAATATGTACTATAAAGCTAATAGTGAGGTAAGGCGAGAAATGTTGTTGATTAAGGCAATAATCGACGTGATATAGTTCTCTTCTTCCCAGGAGTATCATGTACTTGAGCTTTTCTTCCATATTTCTTGGTCTGAAAGTTTTCGAAGGCTTTAGAAACTATATCCACCTGTATGATCATGTCCATCTATCAGTTGATTGGAATAACGTTGCAATATGCATATATTCATGATCTAATAATAATACTGCTGCATTTTTTCACATACCAGGTCAGGATTCTTAGCATAAACCCTCACAATCTTGTCTTGGAAAGAAGCAGGCAGCAAGTGGCTGATGAGATTATCCTCTATTGTGAATTTTTCCTTGCTCTCATAGTCCTGTAAAGCATGAGCTGTTAAAAAATATCAATACAGAAACAAAACATGTCTTGTAAGAAGCCCAGTTCTAGCCACTGATGCCGAGAGTGGTGCTTCTCCATATTATACAATCCAAAAGTTAAATAAACATTTGATCAAGGTCGGTCTAATGTCATATTCATATGCACAAGTAAATATCAACTATCAGCATCCCATCATCCATATGCTTGCTTCTATTTCTGGTCATGCATTAAAGTAATCCTCTAGATGAAATTCATTCCCCAACCTTAGCCTTGAAAAAGAGTGCAAGCGAACAATTCAAAGAGACACGAACCGTACCTTGAAAAAGTGGACTCTGGATGAGAATACATGCATGAAGAAATATCATCATTAAATTAAAAATTGTGGAGGTAAGTCCATAAAAGAATTAAATAAACAAATAGCAAAGCATTTTGAGTCTTCTCCCTGTACCTTGCAAGAGGGTTATTCCTTCCACATGTCAAATCAATCTGAGTAACACTCACAGCAATATCTTCCTCTTTGAGGTTAACGTTCTTAGAGTTCTGCTAATAAAATTATTCTTTTAAGATAATGTTTCTACTGCTCTGAGAGGAAAGGAAAGACTAATATGGTATCTTTTTGGGACCTGGGGCTGGGAGCAAATAATATCTTGCGGTGTGATGTCTTTGAAGTGGTCTAGCTCTTCTTTTGGGACAGAGAACTCATTGCAGTACTGCAGAACACAATATATTGCTATGATTATACAATGTCTACACATGTTTGATAAGCTATTTACGACCTTTTACCACCAGCAAATTTTGTTTTTTACTTTTTGAGAATATGCCACAGCAGGTAAGTTACTATAGCACATGAACATAAATCCTCTTCCTATCATGATAATATGTTAGGCTACCTGGTATAGATCTCTTCTCCTAATGCGTTGGATCAAATCTCTTGCATCTTTGAGCTCCTCATGGGAACTAGTTTCAATACATTTCAAAATAGAGTCATCTATCTGCACATTTTAGAAGGACAACGTCGGTACTATCAAACATGGAACTGCAAATAAGAAAATTTGTCATTGTTTATGCCAAAAACCTTCCAAAATTCAGCTGGGTCTTGAATTGAGGATGAAATCCCAAGAAAATCATTTGCTTTTGATAAAGCATCCACAACCATGAGTTCTATTGCCTGAAAAAACGAAGCTATCAACCCATTGTGTCTGCAGTGAATGATGAAGTGAGCATTTATTTTCTGAGAAAAGAACATCAAAGATATTTGCACCTTTACTTTTGCATGTGTATAGACCGTTCGATGCATATCAGCACGAGTAGAGAATAACTTGTGGACAGTCAAGTCTGACAAAAAATACCAATCAGAAGTTAGAAAGTACAACAATGACCAGCAATACTGAAAAATAACAGAGCTTCGACAGATACTAACAATCCTTGGCACGGTAGCATATCTCGTCTCCAATAACATGCATGGTATCCATTAGCCTGGATGATAAAATAAAAAATATTGATAGTTACCAGATTCCTGTTTGATAAAGAATGTTATCATAAAGGACAGCATGTCTGAAAACCATAATAGTACCTACCTTTCAAACTGAAAACTACAACCCAGTCCACAAGCCCGGGAGTCACGGACAATGTAATCAAACCTGAAAATAAATCATATGTTCAAACCTGCATTAATTAAATCCTAATAAAAAAATGGTCAGAAAAAAAGTAATAGGGGAAAAAGAGAGATTAACTAACTTGTCCACATCTATTCCATTTCGACCATTTGCAACAATATCATATAGGAACCTCTTTTCATTTGTCGTCTATGTAGGAAGAGAATCTTAATTTAGGAGAATGAGATAATAGCAGATAAAACAGAGAGAGATCCAAACCACAATAAAATGCCAAATTTGCTTACCGTTTGAGAAGTATGTTCACTAGCAATGATCATCTCCTGCAAATAGAACACATATATGTAATATGCACATGATTCTTCATGCAGATATATATACATATATGCACTTTGACATCATCAAGTGGCAAAAAATCCATTAGGCATTTTACAGTGTTAGTAAATGCTAAAAAGTAAGATCATAAGAAACCACCTTTGCTTTCTTCAGGCAATCGGGCTCAATGTCAATATGGTGTTCATCTACAATAAAGTCTATCATTCTCAAAGACATGTCCTCATGAGACCTGGAAAATTACACAAATAACAAAATCAGAAATAGCTAAAATCCTCTAATAATGAGAAAAAAAAATACAGCTAAAATAAAGATTTACCAGTTCCACAAGATTTTGTGACAGAAATGAAAGAATATTGTTTTTCAATGATCTTAACTCGAATATTTGATGACGGCAAATTATAAACAACTAGTTATACGTCTAATTGGGAGGATAATGCCACGTTTTTTCCTTTGCATAGTATAAATGAATTAAAATGGGATCTCTTAATTCAGATTTCCAAATTGATATGATAGAAAAAGATGTGTGAAATATTTTGACAGAAAATATTAGAACATTTTTTATAATTGCTTGACCAATGACAATATTAGAAGATGAGGAACATCAATTTGCAGATGGGATTTAAGAATGCAATAAATATATTACTCATCTCCGAACAAAAATGTCAGCCAGGCTTGCAAAGGCTGATAAACACTCATCTTCTGAATATAGTGAATTTGGATATAATTAACATCTTTTCTACTACAACTTAAACAGGATCAATATGCAAATGGAAAGGTCAAAGATGTTAAGAATGCAACAGGCCAAATTCCAAGGGAAGACAAACATGTATTTTAATAGAGAATGCAAGAATTACCATTTAAGGCCATTAAGAACCCGGGGTAGAAACTCTCGTTCAAACAAGTGGCTAAATGGCCCATGTCCGACATCATGCAATAGTCCTAAACAAAATTGGAATGAGGATAAATAGCAGAAAGAAACAATAAAGGATTTTCATAGCAAGCACAGCCCATTACCAGCAAGTTTCACTGCCTTCGTATCGAAGTTATTAATATCAAGCTCCAAGCCCTACAAGGAAGGCACACATATAAAGAAAGTATTCCCTTATTGAGGACCATAATGAGTGTCATCAGATTGAGGATATATTCCTACTTGGTGAGCTTTAATTCTATGAATTGTTTCACTGGCAAGCCAATATACACCTAATGAGTGCTCAAACCGCGAATGTACAGCTCCTGGGTAAACCATGTATGTTAGACCTGCATACAAGTATATTTTGGCTTATTGACTCAGTTCATGATTAAAATGCATCAAAAACAAATGAATTGTTATGATATGCACTTTCCAGATAACATTTCATTGATTTTTGTCAGTGATAAATCAAGGACAACCTAAATCCACTAAAGCCACTCTAAGAACTATTTCCAGGAAAACAAAAAATCCAATATGTTCTCTGCATGTCCAATGATAACAAATAAGGATTCAACCATAGTTGAAAACAATGATTCACTAAAGAAATTACACTTTGAGTTTGATGTTACAAGTAGCAGATGCAGAAAAAGTAACCTAGATTCAAATATATAGTAAAATGCTAAACAAGTGGCATGTTTCATGGCGAAAATGTGTAGGGCTCCATTCATTGATTGTCTAATGATTGATGGAATATAGGAAAAGCGAGAAGTTTGTATCATTGTATATAATTCAGTTTCATTTCGGTCATTTTAATGCTATTAAAGACTGACTACGAAGTATTAAACCTAGTATGAGCGCTGCTTTAATAATTTGCACCTAACTATTCTCAGACATAGAGAGATGAAAATTTCAATGAATAATGATGAAGGTCATTCAATGAACTTGAATCAGAGTACAAGATTGTTTGCCTTTACATGAATTTATATTTATATCATCAGAAGAAAAATTAGAAATGCCTAACTGTGTAGCTTCAAAACCTCATTTCAACTTAATGTAGCACTTGAATAATACATATAATTCTACAATCAGTCTATTATTTCAATACTAATTATCTCATGCAAATGGAGAGAAACAAAAAATTGTAAAGTGAAATTGATTCTAGATTTCTCAATAGATTAATCTAGACAAGCTCAATACTCACCAACTTGCTTCAGATCGCGAAGTCTGCAATATGCATTAAACATGTTAGATGATTGACTCAATTTTACATTTACAAGGTAGAAAATCCTTGCAATTAACAATTAGTAAATCATACTTGCCTCTGAAACTGTTCGGTATCAACAAACTTCAAGGAGTCCTGGAACAATAATAAATAGAAATGCAATTAAGTCCAACTGCCATATTCACCATCCTTAGAATAATTAGACAAAAACTAAAAGAAGGTCCAATTGCTATGATTACTCCGAATTCCAGCAAAATATCAACCTCTGCTACATCAACGACTCAAATAGTTCAAGTTCAGAAACTTTCTTGTTTTAACTGTAAGTTTTTAGGACATTAATATGCAAACCAGTTTTCTAATGCAGAAAAAAGAAAAATGCAGTAGCACCACTAAGTATTCTTCCAGAAAAGGCAAAAAAAGGCTATTGGATTACCAAAATAAGTACAAAATATTTACTCGATTCAGCTTATGTAGTATTAAATGAAGACAAAGGAGTTAAGATAAATGCAGCAACGTACTAGCCACTTGACGACATCAAGTAGAAAAAAAGACCACAATGAACAGAATCATGAAACCTTAAAGATAATGGCTAAATCCACAAAATGAGGCTAAATGGAGAAATATTAGCACAAGAAACAAAGATTATAACTGACGCGTTCAATTTTAGAACTCAAGTTTCTTGATCTCTTATTCAAAACAATCATCCATCTCCTGATTTTTCTATGCCATCATTCTACTGATTATTTTTCTTTTCTTTTTTTTTTATTTTTTATTTTTTATTATTATCTTCCTTTTGATTCCTCAGTATCATCCTTCTCTTGATTCTTTTCCAGAAATAGAGCTTATATGCTTACTCTGTTCTGTTTCAAAATGATTCCAAGTTTCTTTTTCCTCATTCATTTAAAAATCCTGAAAAATAACGTCTATATCTCATTGTCCGCCAAAATTTTGTCTAATCGAATTAAAACCGCAGAAGTCCATATCAAATTCAGAAGTGAATATACGAAATTCAAAAAAAGAAAAAAAAATGTCGGTCGCATTCGAGAAGAAATCGAGTCAAAACTCAGTAGGCAGTTCTGCATTTCTCTAAAATAATAAAGCTGACAGAAATTTTCCTAGAAAACTGGAATAAGAAGTAGAAGTTGAAGAAAGAAGACGATACTTTATCCAGATAGATGTAGCCATGGACGTTATCGCGAACCTGCTTGGAGTTTCGGCGATCCTGATAATATGCAAAGCAGAAGTCCTCTTTCGAACAAGTTTCCATAGTTATAATTCAGCAACTGCGAAAACAGAGAGAAATGTAGCTCTACAACCGAAACCTAAGATTCTGAAATCACACGCAGAGTAAGAGAGACAGTTATAGTTTGCGTAAGAGAGAAAGGAGAAGACTGAAGAGAGACGGAGAGCCGGTTTACAATATATACAGCCAGGGAATTTTGGGGAGAAAGTGGTGAGGCAGTGCTGCCGCCAAAAAATGCTTTTGTGGTCGTTGAGTGCGCGTGGTATACGCGAGCCAATAAGAAATAGACAATCTGGAATTTTTAAAGAGTGCAAGCATTTTCGTGTTGTGGTGGTGGTGATAAGGCAAGTTTAAACGGACAAGAGGATGAGGTTTAAGTTTACTTACTGCTTAAGGCATAATTTAAATGCGCTTTATTTTGGAGGTTTTGGTTATTAACGTACTATTAATAAATTAAATGTAATATTAATTAATCGATATTAGTAGTAGTAAAAGTTGGAATATATACTATTGGATGATTAGGTCGTTTTTAGTTACAGAAGGTAAAACTTAAAAAGACAATGAGTCGTCAACTTCCCTCCCTTTGCTTTTTGGCAAATTGACAAAAGCCTTGGTTAATGATGGGGACACATGCCGCCTAGATTGTTGGAGAGTTCTAATTAATTTTCATTTTTGTCTGTAAATGCCTAGGAAATGTATGCTAAATTTTGGCTGTAAAATCAAGTTACTACTGCTTCTGGCCTCGCCTGATCGTGGAGACGCGTGGAAAAAAGAAAGAGAATAATTCATAAACCTTTTAGAATAATTTGTTTAGATTCTGTTTGTTAAAATTAATTATTTTTTAAGTTGTTTTAACGACTGTTCGCTGAATAATATAAAAATTAATTTTTTATAAAATATTATTAACTTAATATAAAAATAGTGTTTAATATTTTAATTAAAGTACAACACAGCTAGAAAGACTATTAATGTATGTGAGACGTTCTTTTGCAAGACAACCTCTTGTATGTTACTTCACTCATAAGTAATGCATGTGAGATGTTCTTTTGCACGACCACTTCTTGTATGTTACTTCACTCATAAGAAAATAGTAGTAAATTAGAATCCGAGAGAAAGGAGATTGACAAAAACTCACGAGTTGAAACACTAACTCATATTAACTTCTTTAGCAAGGGCATATGATTGGACTGTTTTCATTTTTGCTTAACGTTTACGCAGATGGAAGTCTGCTACTGACAGAAAACACAAAGCAGTACGAAATGTCCATACTTTATAGTCTATCTCTTCCTTTCTGTCCTTTATACTCGACAAGGACTAACACATTGAGAAGAAATGTATTGCAACTGTAATGGCCCCATCCAAGAGTGGATGACAATAAGATAAAAAGGACACAATAATAAAATAAAAAAAAAAAAAAAAAAAAAAAAAAAAAGTACGAAATTTGTCCCATACTTTATAGTCTATCTCTTCCTTTCTGTCCTTTATACTCGACAAGGACTAACACATTGAGAAGAAATGTATTGCCAACTGTAATGGCCCCATCCAAGAGTGGATGACAATAGATAAAAAAGGACCACAAATAATAAAATAAAAAAAAAAAAAAAAAAACAAAAAAAAAAAAAAAAGAAAGAAGATGACAAGTAGCTGGTTAAACTCAAAAAGGTCAGCTTTCAATTTAATCAACACAAACACAATTGTAGCCATTTCATCTTTAACGGGGAAAAGGAAAAAAAAAAAAAAAAAAAAAAAAAAGCTAAAAAAAAAAAAAAAAAAAAAAAAAGCTATCAGACTAGTTTGTCAAAATGTATATAAATATCACACCTAGCTGTTTACAGCCATTTTGAATTGTTCTGGAACTCGTAGTAATGGAGCTTGGATTGTCCCGAGCTTGCCGAGTTGACCACAGGCAGCCATCTGATCATCGCCTCTACTGTGTCGCAAGAAAACAGTGCACTTGGCTTCTGCCAAAATATTTCGAAACTGAATCATCTTCTCAGTACTGGTTGGTCTAAACTGGGATCCGCAATGAGGATTAAATTGAATGAGATTGATCTTGCATGGAATCCCTTGAACAAGATTAATAAGCCGCTTTGCGTCCTCAAAGCTGAAAACAAAACAATCACCAATTACAGTTAAAAAAAAAAAAAAAATGGTGAGCTACAATTTAATCCCTTTATAGTGATAGACAGATCAGCCAGTTTAGATATCATAAACAACAGGAGTGCCGTCTCAGCAAATATGAATAGATTAGGAGAGATGGCCGAGTTGTTTGATGTCATGGTTAGGAATGTCAAAAGATATAGAGGATGTAACGTCGAACAAATAGTGGGTAACATAATAAAAAAAAAGGTTCCTTTTTTCTCCAGTTTAATGATGTATAGCAAGCTGCTGGTGCACCTCTCCTAACTATTGCAATTTAGTTTCCTCTGAGAAACCACAGGAGCATTTGCCGGGTCATCATCCAAGAATTTTCTTCGTTTGATGCAAATCATTGTAATATTAGATGAGTTTATCTGGTCATATTCCCCAGTGTCATTGTCATGCATAGTTGCATACATTAGTTGCATACATTCACAGCCTGTGAAAGACATCAATGGACCACAAATGCACCAAAAAATAGTAGGCAGAGTGCTTTTACAGTCCACATCCTTTTTTGATCCCCTCGTGATAATGCATAAAATTGAGGGTGTTAATGATACAGGTTCAAAATATAATATCATATGATGGGTTAAAAGCACATCAAACAAATCATTCTTGCCAAAACTAAATAGAAACAAGTCAGCAACTGGTAGTCTGGTACCACAAGTAAACATGCTAGCGTAATTGACAAAGCAACTGCATACATCTATCTTTCTAACTTGCAATATCATGCAGTCAACGTTTACAATGTCAATCATGCAGTTACCCTAACAGTAGCACAAGATATTTCATATGGCCAAACATATTATCGAATATCAAATAAAACTGAGAAAGGAAAATGTTTATCTAACCTGTCATTTACTCCTGCAAGCATCACATACTCGAACAAAACTTTGTAATTCTTTCTGGATTGGAGTTCCTTCCGAAGGGTGTCAATTCCGAAGGGTGTCAAGAAGCAAGCTTAAATTGTATTTCCGGTTAATTGGCATGATCCAGTTTCTTACCTGCATGGTTTATTAGTTAAAGAGAAAGTCAACAACCTGCATGTGTTTCTCAAGTGAATAAACATACAGATATAAATGAAAATGCACCTCATCAGTTGTCGCATTCAGACTAACAGCTAAAGCACAATTGGATTCACGAAGGAAACGTTTCAACTGGGGGACAAGCCCGCTTGTAGAAACAGTTACCTTGCGAGAACTAAAATGAAGACCATGCTCATGCACCATAATATCGGCAGCTTTTATGACATTTTCAATTCTGAAGTGGTTCTCCCATTCCCTGCAAATATATATTTCAAAGCAAATTATTAGAAATTATTGGGCTAACTAAAAAATCTATTTTCTCTCACTTAAACCAAGATCTTTGAAAAATAGGGATTAATACTTCATGGATGTAATAACTCACCTTCAAATATCTAATAGAGCTAGACTAGAGACACTTCGCCAAAAAAAAAAAAAAAAAAAAAAAAAATCGATTACAACAGCTGTAGCAAAAGGAATACAGAAATATAAAAGGGTTAGAAGGGTGTAAATGCCCATAGGTAGTGGATATGCAATCCAGGGATAGTATTGTTGAATGGTTGAACAAGTATTCCAATCCATGAATAAGGAAACACATGGACTTAATTCCTCAAATTATGTATTTTTCTATGTGACCATGGAATGCATGACGACAACAAAATGAATGAAATCTTCACTTTCTATTTATGTTGTCGATAGATAGTGAAAATAACATTGAATTATTAGATGCCTTAGTACTAGACTGAGCAAAGTCACTAACTGAGCCAAATCTGAACTGATTGGAAAAACTTCTGTTAATAGAAAATTTTCTAGATCACAGACTTACATCACACGTTCGCTAGACTTAACATAAATACAACGTTTGGTGATGAACAACTTCGCTCGTCACAAGACGTTGTGCAAATACAACCTGGTCTACAATCTCTGCAGTAGTCAGATGTCTCTTCAAACCCATCCTAAAAATTGGATTATGCATCAAGAAGATGTACCTTGTAGAAAGTAATAATAGCAATAATACAGATACAAATAAGAAAGATATAAAACTTACCTGCCAGTGTAGCAGAACTGACAATTCATGGCACAGCCCACTTGACTTGAAACACAAACTGTTGTCCTACCTCTATCACAAGGTATGACGACTGTTTCAATTAACAGTTCATCATTCAACCTAAATAAAATCTGCAAGCTCCTGTGAGTTTCAAAACCAATGAGAAGATAATGCAACTGCTAAAAGCAATATATCGGGCCAGAATAAAGTGATTTCGAGACCAAAAATACAACAGATAATGGTTTTGGCTACCTTCTTAGTTCCATCAGATGCAGTACGAACATCTTCCAAAGATATTGCCTTAAATTCTGCGTGTTCACTCAACATTTTCCTAAAATCCTTATTCAAACCTGAATAAGGTTATCAAAGACAAAATTCATAAGGCTCAGCATGTCTCTCTTATTGGAAGAGGGATTCAATTTTGCACATAGATAGGGAAATCAAAGGGAGATAAAATCATTTAGCTCACTGAAAAGGCTATAAAACCGGACAATAGATAGCATTTCAGAGACAAGGTGGTGTAAGAATACCTTCTAGTTCATCAACATAATGCGCCCAAATCTAGTTCATACAAGGTGGTGTAAGAATACCTTCTAGTTCATCAACATAATGCGCCCAAATATTTTCCCCATAAAGACGCTTCCACAGCATCATAGCTTGACCAGGTCTGAATCCACGAGATTGAACCCATTTCTGGCATAGTGGATTCCCACAATTATTACTTGGAAAACTTTAACATAAAATTATACATAAATTCTCATATTTGGAATATTAGAATTTATTTTGAATTTCTAGTCTAGCTAGCTTGTACCACAGTTTAAAATTATATACTTTTTTGAGTTTAGCATAGGAAGAAAAAGAGAGTAGAAAAACACACTTCAAGCTCAATGTAATTCATTCCCTTAAGAAGCCCCTTTGAACCCTTGGTTAGAATAGCATTCATGTATCTACTTCCTACACAAATAAACAGCCATAAAACAAATAAATAAATAAAATGGGAGCTCGAAAAACAACATATGTTACTAGGAAACGATTTATCTGCTTACCCATATCAACAGGAAGTAGTAACGATGAACAAGCGGCGGTCGAAACGGAACGACGCACGGAAGAGAAAAGAGAAGTGAGGTGGAGATGGAGATTGGGCGGGTTGTCGGTGATGAAGAGAGTTTGTTTTAGAGAGGAAAGAGAGAGATGAGATCGATAAAGAGAGAGATGAGATCGATTAGGGTAAGGAATTGAGAGCGAAGCAGATGAGGAGGCCATGGAAGGGTGATTTACAAGAACCACTGACCGCACGCGCCTCATCCACATACAACCCATCTCCATTCTCTAATTTCTCGAAGCACGAACGTGTAAAATGTTCCCAAGATGAAAATATATATCAGCTTTCTTATATAATTCTTATAACGCGTGTGAAAATAATTTATTTCAAAATATTTATTATATTATTATTTTAATTAATAATTTTTTTTAAAAAATTAGTATTAAGTTAAAAATAATATAGTTAATTTATTTAATAATTTGAAATTTTAAATGTGAAAAGTATTATAGACTAGAGATAGTATAAAATAGCTAAACTAGAAAGGTTCAGTTGGTTTTCTAGGTATGGTTATTGGTTCGGTTTGAACCAGAATCAAATTGTACTGCACATGAACTGCTACCGGATTGCACAGATGGTTCAAAATTTTGAACCAGAACTGAGGGTCACCGACTGGTTCAATCCATGTCAACACGTTAAAAAATAAACTTGAATCCGTATCGTTGGTTCAAAATTTTAAATCATAACTGGATTCAAAGACTGGTTCCAATTCATGTCAATGTTAAAAAATAAACACGAATCGGAATGGAATTGACGATTAAATCCGATTCAAACAGAAGATTCTATTTTTATTTTGAAAAGTTTATAATCATCTACTCATAAATAAATTTTGTCATGGTACACTTGATAAAATTAGAAAAAAAAAAGTGAAATACTTATTCAAATTTAGTCTGCATGGAAGTTTAACAGTGTTTTTTTCTTCTAAATTTTTTTTACTTAGTCCAAAATTACATTATTTAAAATATTTTTTAAATTTATCAAACAATTTATTTAATTAATAACGTTTAGATAAAATAAAATTTTGATTTATTTGATTATTTCATATTTATTTGTAAAACTAATGAATTTTATTTCTTATAAAAATATAAATACTCTAACCATTGTTTAAAATAAAATTTACAAATATTTGTTTAATTCACATTAATTTTTTCCGGAAAATGACGTAATTCTGATTCCATGTTTCAAAAGCCGGTTTAAATTCAACATTTTAAAAATTGTAGGAGACCCCTCAATCATAAGAATTTTGTACATTGGACTAAGAGAATTCCAATCTATTTTGAAAAATTATCACAGAAAGAAATCGTCACCACATAGAATTCCAATCTATCTCACCCAAAAATTGGATATTTATGTTTTTTTTTTATGAACTTCAAATTATGTTTACGAAAATAACTTCCATCCTTACTTGTTAATATAATAATATGGAAAAAATAATATGCATTTTCAAAATATAAAATGGACAACAAATTAAACATATTTTTCAATGTAAAATTTTCCTTTATTATTCTATTAAATGTGTTAAGTACATGTCTTTGAATAGATTGATATATTGGTCCAATGTTCTAAAATTATAGCAAAATCCTTCAATTAAGCTATAGGTGCCCTGCTGGTTATGGAATTTTGAGGTATCTAAATGGACGATGGCAACCGTTTGGAAGATAATTTCACCAAATCCAAAGTTACTTATCTTCAACGACCAAAATCCGAAGTTGCATAGCATCAAGGATTCTCCTTTCTCCTTTGGTCTGCCTAGATGGCCATTTTTCTTTCTCCTTCAAGCGTACAATCTGTCCCCACATTTGTTTCTGAAGATTGTTTCCACATCAAGATGGTCCTTTCTCCTTACCAAGCGTAGACGATGAATCCAACCCTCATGGCCTGTCTTCATTTTCGACGAAAGAGAAAATAATTAAACAAAAGAAATGATATGTTCAACCAGAAAGGAAGAACCAGAAGATGAAGATTCTCAAACCACGATTGAATCAAGTGTAAAAAACCATGGAGGCAATCTTCAAGAATTAATCACCTAGGATTAAACTTTTCAACCATATTTTACTAACCATGGAACGTTGACTAGAAACATGAATTAAACCGGAAAAGGTGGGACTCAAATCACTTGATTGTATAAAAGGAGCACAGGTGGGACTCAAATCACTTGATTGTATAAAAGGAGCACCAAAATCTAAAATCAGTGTTTAAGCGTTAAAGAAAGCCGAACTGAATAACTCTTCACAAAACAATTTTTTTAAAAGAGAACCTGTCAAATATCTACAATTCATTTCTCATACAGATGAAATTCATTCAACATAATAAGAAACTCAAAATAGAATCATAAAATTATGAATATTTTTTAGAGGCTCTGATTGTGCATTTGTCAAACAAACGGGATAATAAAGAAAAACTATGGTAGCAATCACAGAAGATCGTAACAGAAACAGAATTTTCTACAGGATGATTAGTTTCACAGTAGCAAAGCAAATATTAATAAAATCAAGATTAATACCAATCCGAAAAGGAATTTGAAATATGGAAATAGACAGTCTAAAAATCCAAAGGCAGAAAGAAAAACAAAAAGGATTGACAAAAAAAAGATCAATATAAATTTGAAAGCCAGATGCTTTAACATGAGAAATAAACATCCTAATTCCTAAAAGTCTGCATGCCATTTTTCAACAAAAACTCAATTTTTTTTTTGTCAAACAAAAAAAGAAAGAGAGAACAATACCTTTGTTGCAATAATAAAGAAAGACTAACAAACAAACAATACGAGACACTCGTTTACAACCTTTGAGTAAAGAAAAAAGAAATAAGATTCGAGTCGAGTCAAATTAAATAAAAAAAAAAAACTGCCCCACCACAGTTTTGTCCCTTCAAAATGCTTGATTTGTATTTAACATCATCACAGCCGACAAGAACTCAAGATTTAAGTAAAGCGTAAATTTTCAATTTTTTATGATAATTTCAGAAAAACAAAAGAAAAATTCATCAGATTTAATTAATTTAACTAAATTCAAGATTCAATCATTTATATTGCAAAAAAGTGAACTAATCATTCAGAATTTGAAATAATTCGTAGCACCTATTGTCAGAAAGAAAGAAAATAGGAGGAAAATGTGGGATCAGATTTTATCATTTTCCAATTAGTGTACATAATTAGAAAATAATTATAGGGGGAGAATAATTCTCTTTTTATTGTTTATTTCTTTCCTTGTATAAACTTGTACCTTAGCTATATTAAAACGTTGTAAAGCAGCAGAATAGAACAATCAATACAATTCCTCCAAATTATGTCTCAAATAATATTGCTTAACATGGTATCAGAGCAAGTTCAATGATTCTAGGATCAAACAGTTGCAATTGCTCATCATTTACCAACTTACCAATAGAAATCCGGTCACCATGTCCGAAGACGACAACTCCTCATCAGCCACCAGTGTACCAACCCAGAAGACTCCGGCTACCATGTCTGAAGACGGCAACTTGGAGAAACAGTATGGCATCAGCAACGATGACCTGACAATTCAATTAGCAAATCTCATAAAAAATGGCCTCAGTAACCAAAACCAAAAACAAACCCTTTCAGATAATTTAATCATCAGCTCAAATTAAACAGCCAAAATTATGTGTTATGGGCATGCATGATTAAGGTTGCAATTGAATATCTAAGGCCTTGTTGAGCCACCTCACTGGAATTCCAGCGCCACCATAGATCGGCGATGAGAAATACGAGAAATGGGAACAAGACGATCTCATCGTGTTTTCATGGTTAATTCAAAATATTGAACCCCAATTGGCAAGCAATCTGACCGAATTTCCTACAGCAAAAGCATTATGGAATGCTCTTGTTACAACGTACAGCAGTGGCAGGGACAAATTACAAACTTTTGATCTTCATTCAAGGGAAAATGGTATAAAACAAAATGGAGCCCCTTTAGAAGATTTCTGAATTACCATGCAAGGAGTATGGGGCAAGATTGACCGCCGGGAACCAAATCCAATGACCTCAGAAGCAGACATAGCCACATACAACAGAATACGTCAAGAACAAAAACTGTTCCAGTTCCTGAATGCAATCGATCATGAATATAATCAAATAAAAAGAGAAATTTTAAGGCAAGATTCGTTACCCTCACCGGAAGCCGCCTACGCCACCGTTAGGAAAAAGGCAGCCCGCCTCAACATTTTAGGACCGGCTTCTGGAATCTCGTCACAATAGGGCATAGGCAGCGGATTGATTGCAACCGGGACTGAAGCCATGGGAATGGCAACACAGGGACAGCGACGGTCAGGCTCCGCCGGCGAGCCAGGCAGATCATCATTCCGTTCAGACAAGGCAAAACTCAAGTGTACTCACTGTGGGATGAGTAAACACACGAAGGAGAATTGTTTCCGGATTGTGGGATATCCCGATTGGTGGAACGATGACATAAAAGGGACGGACAAGCCACAGGAGGTAAAGTCGCCATCACCGTGAGCAGCCCTAAGGCTACCAGCAGCGGTGACGGTGGCCAAGGAGGCGTCGGAGATGGAGGCAGTGTTGGACGAGCTATGGCTGCTAGGGCTGAAGAAAGTGGTAATACAGGTTATAAAGGTAAAGGGTTTGGGAATTTCTTCCTAAGCCCTTCCAATTTGGACAAATTATTTTCTACCCTAAACCTATTACAAATTGACCCAAAAAGATCTTTGTCTATTGCAAATATGGTCCAAAATTTTGATAACAGTAAGAGTGCATCATGGATTTTTGATTGTGCCGCCACTGACACCATGACATTTGATGCCAACGATATTAAAATACAGTCCAAACCCACAAAGACACATGTAGGAGCAGCCAATGGGGGAATAGTTCCTGTAGAGGGAACCGGGTCTATTGAAATATTACCCACACTAAAACTGTCAAACTGTCTTTATGTCCCTTCACTTTCACATAAATTATTGTCTATTAGTCATGTAACAAAGGAACTTAATTGTATTATGCTAATGACACCCACTTTCTGTATACTGCAGGACATCAAGACAGGAACGATTATTGGACGTGGCACTGAGCGCCAAGGACTGTACTACGTGGATGAAGTTGTCCAACACGGTACTGTGATGTTAGCACATGGAACTGCGGATCGAGAAGCTTGGCTTTGGCACCAAAGATTAGGACATCCATCCACTGGTTATTTACATCTTTTATTTCCTAAACTCTTTAAATCCAATAAAATATTACATTGTGAGACTTGTGTTTTGGCGAAAAGCCACAGACAAACTTTCAGGCCAAATAATACTAGGGTTGATTTACCTTTTTCATTAGTCCATTCTGATGTGTGGGGTCTAGCACCTGTCATGGGAGGGAAAGGTTTTCGTTATTTCTCGATATTTGTGGATGATTGTACTCGCATGACGTGGGTATATTTTTTGAAAAACAAGTCAGAGGTTGTTGATAAATTTATACTATTTTATACCATGATCCAAACCCAATTTACTAAGTCAATTCAAATTTTAAGATCCGACAACGGGGGAGAATTTGTCAACACAACCATGAAACAATTTTAACAACAAAAAGGATTAGTACACCAAACTACTTGTCCTCATACTCCTGAGCAAAATGGTGTTGCCGAACGAAAAAATAGGATTCTCCTTGAAATGACCCGAGCTCTTCTTATTGAGTCTCGGGTCCCTAAAGTTTTTTGGCCTGAAGCTTTAGCCACTGCCACCTACCTTCCAAATAGACTCCCAACCTAAATCCTTGACCTTCAAACTCCAATCCAAACCCTAGCCAAATTTACCAAAATTCTCCCGACCTTAACTCTTCAACCACGAATTTTAGGTTGCTCTGTATTTGTCCACATTCCGAAAACTGAAAGAACTAAATTTGACCCATGTGCAAAAAAATGTGTATTTGTTGGGTACGGGGTTAATCAAAAGGAGTACCGATGCTATAATCCTAAAACTTATCATATGTTCACCACAATGAACTGTGATTTCCTTGAAACCGAATACTTTTATACTACCCAATCCAGTGGTCAGGGGGAGAAGGAATTATGGACACATTGAGTTGGCTTCCAGAACCAGTGTTCCCACAGGTGAAATTGGATCTTCAGAAAGAGAACCCATGAGTGACAGTAGTAGAACAAGAAGAAAACAATATTGTTAGGCCAACTTCTGATACTTCCATACAGTCTACGGAGCCTAGTGTCTCAGAAAATACTATTCTTAACCTGGTGTCTGAGGTAAGAGAAACTGAAGATCCTAACTCTCCTGTTATTTCCACTAATCCTGGTGACTGTGAAACTGTAGCAGAACAGGTGGCAGAGCAGGAAGAACAATATGTATTACCACCCAGAGCCAATAGGGGAGTTCCACCTAACAGATACTCTCCAGAAAAAGAGGCTCGGAGGTCCAGATATCCGGTAGCAAACATAGCCAGAGGAAGTCTATCCAGAGAAGCCAAAGCATTCATCTCAGCTCTGTATGAGGAAAAGATCCCGACCATAGTGGAACATGCCTTGACATCAGAAAAATGGACCAATGCAATGAAGGAGGAAATGAATGCTTTAATCCAGAACCACACATGGGAGAAATGTGCCTTACCGACAGGAAAGAAACCAGTTGGGTGTCGCTGGGTCTTCATGATAAAGCATAAGCCAGATGGTTCCATTGAAAGGTACAAGGCACGGTTAGTGGCAAAAGGATACACCCAGACTTATGGCATTGATTACTCAGAGACTTTTTTACCGGTAGCAAAAATTGATACTATCAGGGTATTGTTGTCACGCCCCGACTCTAATCACCAGAGGAATTATCCGCTTTGGTGTAGTCCACGAACGCCCTACACCTCAATGTAGTCCCCGCACACCCTACCCACACGGTTTTATCCCGCAGGTGAAATGGGAAACTTCCCAGGAGGTCACCCATCCTGAGATTTCCGTTAAGCGAGCACGCTTAACCCTGGAGTTCCGCCCCGACTCTAATCACCAGAGGAATTATCCGCTTTGGTGTAGTCCCACGAACGCCCTACCGCTCAATGTAATCCCGCACACCTACCCACACGGTTTTCTATCTCCGCAGGCTGGACAATGGGAACTTCCAGGAGGTCACCCACATCCTGAGATTCCGTTAAGACGAGCACGCTTAGTACCCCTAAGTTCGTTCTCCAAGACTCTCCACATTCCCCAAAGACCGCCTCTAATGTTAGTTTCCCCTTTTCGATATATGATTCGATTCGTTCCTGTGTCCCGCACTTCCAGCTACCTAAGCAGCCCTGCCATCACTAGATCGGCTTTTGCAGGGTCGGATGTCACAGGCCCATAGCTTCCACGTGGTTCGTCTCGGAACCCATACATTCCTACTGGAGGGGGTCAAGGCCTCTGATACCCAACCGTCACGCCTGACTCTAATCACGCAGAGGGAATTGCTTCCGCTTTGGTGTAGTCACGGACGCCCTACAACCTCAGTGTGTCCCGCACACGCTACCCGCACGGTTTGTCCGCAAGGTTTGAAATGGGAAACTTCCAGAAGGGTCACCCATCTGAGATTTCTGTTAAGCGGCAGCTTAACCCTGGAGTTCTCTCCCAACTCTCCAGCCTTCCCAAAAGGCGCCTTAACTGATTAGTTTCCCCTTTCGATATATGATTCGATTCATTCCTGTGTCCCGCATTCCACTACCCTAGCTAGCCTGCCATCCTAGGATCGCTTTGCCAGGTCGGGATGTCACAATTGTTCTCAGTAGCAGCAAACAAGGGATGGCCACTTCACCAGTTTGATGTGAAGAATGCTTTTCTGCATGGGGATCTGAAAGAAGAAGTTTATATGGAGGCTCCACCAAGTTTCACAGAGGAATTCCAGAAAGGAGAAGTGTGTCGGTTGAAGAAGTCACTTTATGGACTTAAGCAGTCACCTAGAGCCTGGTTTGGTAAGTTTACATGAGCAATGAAGGGATATGGGTTCAAACAGAGCAATTCCGATCATACTCTATTCCTGAAGCGGAGAGGCAGACTTGTAATGTGTTTGATCATTTATGTTGATGACATGATCATTACAAGAGATGACATGGAAGAAATGACCAAGCTAAGGGAAAACCTGTTCACAGAATTTGAAATGAAAGACCCAGGAAGGTTGAAGTATTTTCTCGGAATTGAGGTTTTGAGATCAAAACAAGGGATTTTTCTATGTCAGAAGAAATACATTTTGGATCTTTTGGCAGAGACGAGAATGATCGATTGTAAACCGGCTGACACACCAATGGTGGTGAATCATGGACTGAAGATAGTGGAAGGAGCAGAACGATAGTGGAAGGAGCAGAACTAGCAGATAAGGAGAGGTATCAAAGGTTGGTTGGAAAATTGATATATCTCTCACATACTCGGCCAGATATAGCTTATGCAGTTGGAGTAGTGAGCCAGTTCATGCATCAACCTCAGATAGACCATATGGAAGCCGTGTGGAGGATTGTAAGGTATCTAAAGGGGACATATGGACGTGGTGTTCTATTCAAAGCACATGGACACCTAGAATACAGGGGTATACTAACACCGACTGGGAGGCAATCCAGTGGACCGCAGATCTACTTCAGGATATTTTACTCTTGTGGGGGGGGTAACTTAGTCACATGGAGGAGCAAAAATCAAAAAGTTGTAGCTTTGTCCAGTGAAGAGGTTGAATTTCAAGGAGTGGCACGAGGCTTGGCAGAAATATTCTGGTTACGAAAATTGCTAACTGAAATTGGGTTTCCACCATCTGAGGCTTGCAAGATAATGTGCGATAATCAGGCAACAATTAGTATCTTAGAAAATCCAGTACAACATGATCGGACAAAACACGTAGAAGTTGATAGACACTTCATAAAAGAGAAGTTAGATGCAGGTATTGTAGAACTAACTTTCGTACGCTCTGAAGATCAACTAGCAGATATATTAATGAAGGCAGTGAACGGAAGGATCTTCAATGAAGTTTTGGGCAAGTTGAGTATTGGCAACCCCACTACTCAACTTGAGGGGGAGTGTCAGAAAGAAAGGAAATATGAGGAAAATGTGGGATCAGATTTTCTCATCATTTCCCAATTAGTGTACATAATTAGAGAATAATCTTTTTATTGTTTATTTCTTTTCTTGTATAAACTTGTACCTTAGCTATATTAAAACGTTTTAAAGCAGCAGAATAGAACAATCAATACAATTCCTCCAAATTATGTCTCAAATAATATTGCTTAACACCTGCATAGTAATCGCAAAGCTTAAAACCAACAAATGAAAAAAAAAGGGAAAAAGAAAAAGGAAGGTCCTCACCAATTTCAAGCGATTAATCAAATTTTGAAGAGATAGGTCCTTTTTTTTTCCTTGAATTGACCAATTTCAGGCGTTTTTTCCTTTTTCAGAAGGGAGAGAGATTGAGACGAAGGTGAAGAGATCAAGAGAGAGGTAGTTAGTACTTAATATGAAGAAGAGGCGTGGTCGTGGAGAGATAGTGAGCTGTGGGCTTTACCATATAAATGGACCCTGGAAGTTGGAATACGTACGGTCTTTAAGATTAGGGATTTTTGTTTCTTTGTTTTCTTCAAATGATTATAAAAATAATTGAATAAATGAAATTAAAGGACTAACACTAAAATTAAATAAAAATTTTACTTCTTTTCCATTTTATGGTAACTACGCAAAATAGTACATTTTCAGTCGACATATAACTAGAGAGCTACATTATTTCAAAAAAGAATTACATAAGTAAATTATCGTGCTCTTTTATAATATGACATCTTATGATTTCAATTATATTATTGAATCTCTCTTGTAGTTTGCTAATTAAACGGTAGATCTCTTCACGTGAATTATATATTACTTTAGCGAACAAAGAGGCCCATAAAATTAAAATAATCCAACCAAAAATTGGGACAACGATAAATAAAAGTGCAACTATGGCCAATCCAAGAGCAAATAAGCCAACTTTGCTAATAATTGAATTGAAGGAGTTCCAAGCTTGAAAGATAATTCCAAACCCATATGTGAATAGAGCAAGAAGAAAGATTGTTAATATAAAGTGTGTGTCTGTATCAACCAAAGACTTGATTTGAATGAGGCCAATTAAACTTGCTATGGTCAAGGTGAAAACATTATGCACTGCCTTCACATTTCCCCTGAAAAGAAAAATGAAATAAATAAACTATTAGAAGGCTTTAGCACGTTTCAATTTAACTGTAATTGATAAGGATAAAGAAAGTTGCATAAATTTTATAGACTGAGCAATAATTGCAAAATGGATAAAAAGTTTGGAAGAGTTTTGAATAAGCTTTCATGAATTGTAATAAAGATTGATAGCTTGAAATGATAAGAGAAGTGAATCAAATACTGAAACACTTGAAGATACAATAAAAAGTTTGACAACCCAATGTTTAATGATACTAACCTTTCGATTGGCATTTTCTTTTAAATTCTTCGTGCTTGCTATTTTTAGTTGCAAGAGCTCCTTTAATAGACAAACATGAAAATATCAAGTTCTACCCCACTTCTTTTTGTTTCTCACATTCATTTTATCCTTGACCCTTTTTGCATCTCACAATGTCGTTTCATATAAGTCGACTTTCCAGTCATAATTATATTGTCGACTTTATTCGACACATAATAATACGAAATTTTTTCATAGCAGGTTGTGATGGGCTGTTGATTCTTGGAATCAATTTTCCAAGCCCAACCTCATTACCTTATTGTTGGAATTTAGAGATACTAATAAGTGTGTAGAAGTGTTGACACCTGTTTCTATAACTTATCAAAGACAAAATTCATAAGGCTCAGCATGTCTCTCTTGTTGGAAGAGAGATTCAATTTTGCACATAGTTAGGGACATAAAATCATTTATCTCACTGAAAAGGCTATAAAACCGGACAATAGATAGCATTTCAGAGACAAGGTGGTGTAAGAATACCTTCTAGTTCTAGTTCATCAACATAATGCGCCCAAATATTTTCCCCATAAATACGCTACCACAGCATCATAGCTTGACCAGGTCTGAATCCATGAGATTGAACCCATTTCTGGCATAGTGGATTCCCACAATTATTACTTGGAAAACTTGAACATAAAATAGTGGGATTCCCACAATTATTAACTTGGAAAATTATTACTTGGAAAACTTGAACATAAAATTATACATAAATTCTCATGTTTGGAATATCAGAATTCATTTTGAATTTCTAGCCTAGCTAGCTTGTACCACAGTTTAAAATTATATACTTTTTTGAGTTTAACATAGGAAGAAAAAGAGAGTAGAAAAACATACTTCAAGCTCAGTGTAATTCATTCCCTTAAGAAGCACCTTTGAACCCTTGGTTAGAATAGCATTCATGTCTCTAATTCCTACACAAATAAACAGCCACAAAACAAATAAATAAATAAAATGGGAGCTCCAAAAACAACATATGTTGAAACGATTTATCTGCTTTACCCATATCAAACAGGAAGTAGTAAACGATAACAAGCTGCGGATCCGAAACGGAACGACGCGCGGCAAGAGAAAAGAGAAGTGAGCGTGGAGAATGGAGATTGGGGCGTCGGTTATGAAGAGAGTTGGTTTTTAATAGAGAGAAAGAGAGAGATGAGATCGATTAGGCGCTGGGTAAGGAATTGAGAGCGAAGCAGATGAGGAGGCCATGGAAGGGTGATTTACAAGAACCACTGATCGCACGCGCCTCATCCACATACAACCCATCTCCGGTCTCCGATTTCTTGTAGCCCGAAAGTAGTACATGTTCATTTGATGAAAATATATATTAACATCATCACAGCCGACAAGAACTTAAGATTTAAGTATAGCGGAAATTTTCAATTTTTTATGATAATTTCAGAAAAACAAAAGAAAAATTCATCAGATTTAATTAATTTAACTAAATTCAGGATTCAATCATTATTGCAAAAACATCATTATTGCAAAAAAAGGTGAATTTTGATCATTCAGATGAAATAATCCGTAGGCACCTTATAGTAATCGGCAGAGCTTAAAAACCAACAAATTGAAAAATAAAGGGGAAAAAAGAAAAGGAAGGTTCTCACCAATTTCAAGCGTTAATCAAAATTTGGAAGGAGATATTCTTCTTGAATGACCATTTCAGGCGTTTTCCTTTGCAGAAGGGGAAAAAAAATTGAGACGAAGAAGAAGAGACAAGCGAGAGACTTAGTAGAAGGAGAGGCCCGTGGTCGTCGGGTCGTGGAGAGATTAGTAAGATTTAGGGTTTATTTTTTTTTTTTTTTTTTTTTTGTTTTTTTCAAATGATTATGAAAATAATTGAATAAATGAAATTAAAGGACTAACACTGAAATTAAATAAAAATTCTATTTCTTTTCCACTTTATGGTAACTACACAAAATAGCATAATTTCAACTGATATATAGCTAGAGAGCTACATTATTTAAAAAAGAATTACACAGGTAAATTATCGTTCTCTTTTATAATATAACGTCTTATGATTTTAACTTCTATAATATAACGTTTTATACTTTCAATTTTCTCATTGAATTTCTCTCGTAGTGTACTGATTAAATAATAGATCTCTTCCCTTGAATTATATATTACTCCAGCGAACAAGGAGGCCCATAAAATTAAAATGATCCAACCAAAAATTGGGAGAACCATAAATACAAGTGCGACTACGGCCAATCCAACAGCAAATAAGCCAACTTTGCTATTAATTGAATTGAATGAATTCCAAGCTTGAAATATAGTTCCAAACCCGTATGTGAATAGAGCAACGAGAAAGATTGGTAATATAAAGTGTCTGTCTGTATCATCCAAATGCTTGATTTGAACGAGGCCAATTAAACTTGATATAGTCAAGGTGAAAACATTATGCACTGCGTTTAAATTTTCCCTGAAAAGAAAAATGAAATAAAAAAACTATTAGAAGGCTTTAGCACATTTCAATTTAACTATATATATTTGTAATTGATAAGGATAAACAAAGTTGCATAAATTTTATAGACTTAGGATAAACAAAGTTGCATAAATTTTATAGACTTAGCAATAATTGCAAAACGGGTAAAAATTTTGGAAGAGTTTTGAATAATCTTTCATGAATTGAATAAAGATTGATAGCTTGAAACGATAGAGAAGTTAAACAAAGTGTGCTCTGTCTAGTCATGATCAAATACAGAAAAACTTGAAGATAAAATAAAAAGTTTGCAACCCAATCCCAATATTTAATGATACTTACATTTTCTTCTTCGTGCTTGTTGTTAGAGAATGCAAGAATGGTAGAGAACGCAAGAATATGAAGATAGGAGAGGAGCTTGTTACTAGGAGCAGGTCGCAGAGGAGATGGCAAGAATATGAAGATAGGAGGAGCAGGTCGCAGAGGAGATGGTCGCAGTCGCAGAGGAGATGGCAAGAATATGAAGAATAGGAGAGGAGCTGTTACTAGGTCGCAAGAGGAGATGGTCGCAGAGGAAGATGGCAAAGAATTATGAAGATAGGAGGAGCAGGTCGCAGAGGAGATTGGTCGCAAGGATGATGAGCAAGAATATGGTAAGATAGGAGAGGAGCTTGTTACATAGGGTCGCAGAGGAGATGGTCGCAGAGGAGATGGCAAGAATATGAAAGATAGGAGAGGGCTTGTTATAAGGAAGCAGGTCGCAGAGGAGTGGTCGCAGAGGAGATGGCAAGAATATGGAAGGATAGGAGGAGCAGTCGCAGAGAGATTTGGTCGCAGAGGAGATGGCAAGAATATGAAGATAGTTAGAGGAGCTTGTTACTAGGTCGCAGAGGAGATGGTCGCAGAGGAGATGGCAAGAATATGAAGATAGGACAAGAATATGAAGATAGGAGAGGAGCTTGTTACTAGGAGCAGGTCGCAGAGGAGATGGCAAGAATATGAAGATAGGAGAGGAGCTTGTTACTAGGAGTAAGTCAGAGGAGATGGTATTATATAATATTCTAGTCTAGTCAATATACCTAGACATTGACATTGACAGGGTGGAATTGGAGGGTTGGAGAGGGTTGGAGGGTTGGCAATTCCATTGCACAGTTCAGGGTGGTGTATTTTAGAAGATAATATTATATAATATTCTAGTCTAGTCAATTTTTCCAGGCCCAACCTCATTGAATTTTTCCATTTTGGTCTGATGGGCCGTTGATTCTTCGATTCAATTTTTCCAAGCCCAACCTCATTACCTTGTGTCAGAATTTACAGATACTAATAGGTAATAAAAAAAGATTTCAATACTTTTACACAGGCAATATGGGACAATATTATTCTTTGGAAAAAAAAAAAAAAAAGCTATTATTGCTGTTGATGGACAATATTATGTCTTCCCACCAGCAAGACATCTCCAGTTCCGATTCGATCCGGTTCCGATTCTCACCGGTTCCAATTACGATTCGGGACCGGTTCGAACCGACGGTTCCGATTTCCGAAACCGTAATATGGCCACCCCTAAATATGGGACAATATTATTCTTTGGAAAAAAAAAAAAAAAAAAGCTATTATTGCTGTCTTCCGATTGCCTTTCCAATCCTATTTCCTACTGTTGTTTTCTCACATCTGCCTTAATTATTCAATAAATAAATTTTCATTATTACTTTTTTCAGTTCATTAATATTGGCAATTGGGTAAAAAAGGGATGGATTATGATATCATATTAAAAAAATAAAAGCTTGAATATGCAACTTAGTATTCAAATAAAAGCTGAATATGCAAACTTAGGTATCAAAAGCTAAAAGTACTAATAATTAATTATAAGAAAGTGATGTAAGGATAAACAAAATTAAATTTTTTTTTTTTTAGCAAAATGTTTTTAACATCCTCAAATATAAATTCACCTCTAATATGATTTGTTTTTACATTTTATTTTTACTTCTTGCACCTACATATTTTATATTGTATATTGTGGCCTCCTGCTTTTATTATTGTATTAAACCTACTCTTTTTTTACTCTATATATATTGCATTATTTTATTTTATTTTATTTTGTTGTTGCATTGCTTTTGATTCTTTTTCTTTTTATAAAGAACATGATGTTATCTCGCATTATGGATTAAATAAAACAATACTTCTTTCGTTGGATTTATGCATATTAATTTGGGATATACATGCAAAAAATTTTGGTTCAAGGTATAAATTCATCCCTGTACTTTTTTTACGAGAAATCTCGTGACATTCTCAACTTTTATTTTTTCTTATTAAATATTTCAACTTATAAAATTGCACTTATTAAATACTTTAATTGCATTTATTAAATACTTTAATTGACTTATTAAACACTTCAATTTATAAAATTAAATCGATTAAAATACTTATTGAATAGTTCAAATGTAAAATTTATTGTTTTAAAAATTATATTAACTACATATTAAATTAATATTTTGCATATAAAACTAAAAAAATTTAAAATTTATTATTACAATAACGAGATGAGAGATCATATAAAAATAAAAATTAGAATGCCACAAAATTGATTTTAAAATTTACAAAATATCATGAATTTTTTTTTATAAATTTTAAAAGTTAAATTATATATTGCGCCGAAAGAAAATCTACACGCAACTAACGTAACGCAACAGACTTTTCTCCCTCAAAATTTTAAATTATTTATTTCGAATTTTTTTATTGCTCAACTCACTTGCTGCTCTCTTTCCTTCTGTGCCTTCGGCCCGGATTGACAAGAATGATACGAATACGTACTTCAAAAGTGATTCAGACAATTTACCCATATACATAAATTCAACGTTTAGCTTTATTACTTAAATTTTACAGTGCTTTTAATTTTTTATTTAATTCATCCAACATTTTAATTTATAAAATTATTTTATTAAATATTTCAATTTACAAAATAGATCAATTAAACACCTATGAAATAATTAAAATTTATGAAAATTATTATTCTAAAAATTTTAAACATTATTGTTGTTACTGTGAAAAAATATTTAATATTACCAAAATTTATAAATTCAAATAATTACCAAAATTTATAAATTCAAATATACGATAAATCATCATAAAATTAAGGATAGCAAGAGTTAAAATTGCAAAATTAGAGAGTAAATTTATATATTCAACGCTTTTTTAAGATTTTAAATAATGTTTCCTTGGCATTTTTCAATTTTAAAAATTATTACGGTATTATATAAATATTTTTTGTTAAGAGCTAAAATAATTTAAGAAGAAATAAAGTAAGAAAATGGTAAGCTGAAATATTTTATATTTTATGGCTTTCAAAGAAGAAATAATGTAAGAAAATGCTAAACTGAATCGGGCCAAAAACATAATCAAACAAAATCAACTTTTAAAAAAAAGAAAAAAGAAAATAATAAAAGATATGAAAAGGAAGAAAAGGATGGAGTTGTAGTTAAACAAAATATTAAGGTCTGGATCCATGAGCTTGAACCCGTTTCTGGCATAGTGGATTCCCACAATTATTACTTGGAAAACTTGAACATAAAATTATACATAAATTCTCATGTTTGGAATATTAGAATTCATTTTGAATTTCTAGTCTAGCTAGCTTAGCTTGTACCACAGTTTAAAATTATATACTTTTTTGAGTTTAGCATAGGAAGAAAAAGAGAGTAGAAAAACATACTTCAAGCTCAGTGTAATTCATTCCCTTAGTGTAATTCATTCCCTTAAGAAGCCCCTTTGAACCCTTGGTTAGAATAGCATTCATGTCTCTACTTCCTACACAAATAAACAACCACAAAACAAATAAATAAATAAAATGGGGGCTCGAAAAATAACATATGTTACTAGGAAACGATTTATCTGCTTACCCATATCAACAGGAAGTAGTGACGATGAACAAGCGGCGGTCGAAACGGAACGACGCGCGGAAGAGAAAAGAGAAGTGGGGTGGAGATGGAGATTGGGCCGGTGGATGAAGGAGAGGTCGTGTTTTTAGAGAGAAAGAGGAGGAGATGAGGATCGATTGGGTAAGGAATTGATGAGCAAGCAGATGAGGAGTCCATTGGAAGGGTGATTTACAAGAACCACTGGACCGCACGCCTCACCACATTACAACCCATCTCCATTCTCCGATTTCTCCTAGCCCGAAAGTTACATGTTCATTTGATGAACCGAAAGTATTACATGTTCATTTGATGAAAATATATATTAACATCATCACAGCCGACAAGAACTCAAGATTTAAGTAAAGCGGAAATTTTCAATATTTTATGATAATTTCAGAAAAACAAAAGAAAAATTCATCAGATTTAATTAATTGAACTAAATTCAGGATTCAATCATTACTGCAAAAAAGTGAATCGATCATTCAGAATTTGAAATAATCCGTATTATAGTAATTGCAGAGCTTAAAACCAACAAATGAAAAAATAAAGGGAAAAAGAAAACGGAAGGTTCTCACCAATTTCAAGCGATTAATCAAAATTTGAAAAGATCAAGAGAGAGGTAGTTAGTACTTAGTAGGAAGGAGAGGCGTGGTCGGTTCGGGTCGGGCCGGGTCGAGAGAGTAACACTGAAATTAATTGAATAAATGAAATTAAAGGACTAACACTGAAATTAAATAAAAATTCTATTTCTTTTCCATTTTATGCTAACTACACAAAATAGCAATTTTCAATCGATATATAACTAGAGAGCTACATTATTTCGAAAAAGAATTACACAGGTAAATTATCGTGCTCTTCTATAATATAACGTCTTATGATTTCAACTTCTATAATATAACGTCTTATAATTTCAATTCTCTTATTGAATTTCTCTCGTAGTTTACTGATTAAACAATAGATTTCTTTCCTTGAATTATATATTACTTTAACGAACAAGGAGGCCCATAAGATTAAAATAATCCAACCAAAAATTGGGACAAGGAGAAAGGCAAGTGCAACTATGGCCGATCCAACAGCAAATAGGCCAACTTTGCTAACAATTGAATTGAAGGAGCTCCAAGCTTGAAAGATAGTTCCAAAGCCATATGTGAATAGACCAACAAGAAAGATTGTGAATATAAAGTGTTTGTCTGTATCAACTAAAGGCTTGATTTGAATGAGACCAATTAAACTTGCTACGGTGAAGGCGAAAACCTTGTGTACTGCATTTAAATTTTCCCTGAAAAGGGTTAGAAGGCTTTTAAATTTCCCCTGAAAAGAAAAATGAAATAAAAAAAACTATTAGAAGGCTTTAGCACATTTCAATTTAACTATATATATTTGTAATTCATAAGGATAAACAAAGTTGCATAAATTTTATAGACTTGGCAATAATTGCAAAATGGATAAAAATTTTGGAAGAGTTTTGAATAATTTTTAATGAATTTTAATAAAGATTGATAGCTTGAAATGAGGAGAGAAGTGAATCAAATACTGAAAAACTTGAAGATACAATAAAAAGTTTGCAACCCAATATTTAATTATACTTACCTTTCGCTTGGCATTCTTTTAAATTCTTCGTGCTTGTTAGAGAACGGAAGAGTAGGAAGATAGGAGAGCAGCTGCAATGACTAGAGAGCGAGAGCTGAGTAGTAGCGCTTAGTTTTTTCTGATGACAGCGACACGCGACTGTCATTTCTTTGTTACTTTTGAGTAGTGGCGTATTACTACAGTAGCGCTTCAACTAAATCTCATATTTTTAGTTTTTTCTTATGAGAGCGACGCGCGACTGTCATTTTCCAGTCTAGTTTGCATATGGCCACAACTAAGATTATAAGTTAACATGACTTTATATGGGCCGTTGATTTGCTTCTTCCATTCAAATTTTCCAAGCTCAACCTCATTCAATTTTTCCATTTTGGTCTGATGGGCCGTTGATTTTTGGATTCAATTTTTCCAAGCCCAACCTCATTACCTTGTTGTCAGAATCTACAGATACTAACAGGTAATAAAAAAAGATTTCAAGACTTTTACACATGCAATAAATGACAAGAAGAAAATGCCAATTCAGTTTAGAAATAGATAATACTAAACTGAATTCAAAATGTCCTTTAGTATCCTAAAGGGTTAAAATCAATCTTAAATGACAAGAAGAAAATGCCAATTCATTTTCTTTGGAATGCAAAAATCCATTTAAGATATTGTGAGAGAATAAATGTTCGTTTACTAATGCAGCCTAAATTTCATAGAGAATTTGGAATCACTGCTGTTACCCGAATACTAGCCAGCTTGAACATTTAAAAAAAAAAAAAAACAAAACAAAAGAAAAGAAAACCCGTATATATATTTTATTATGTGACTCTACAACATGATTTTGAAAATTTGCAGCAGCACAACAACAGCAGCCAAGCCTTAGCCACAAACTAGTTGGGAATTTGCACAAATACACAATGACCAAATACAAATCTTTTGTTCCTTAGGCTCTATGCTAGATTATAGATAATACTAAAACTGAATTCAAAATGTCCTTTTTAGTATCCTAAAGGGTTTTAAAATCAATCTTAAAATGACAAGAAGAAACGCCAATTCATTTGTTTGGAATGCAAAAATCCATTTAAAGATATTGTGAGAAGAAAATAAATGTTTGTTTACTAATGCAGCCTAAATTTCATAGAGGTTGGGAACATCCATTGCAAAGGACCAGCAATGCAAGCAGAAAAATTCATACGAACCAGCAAATAGCAATACAAGGATATCAGCATCAAAATAAAAATTGCCAATCAAAATAAAAAATTGCCACGTGTGAAAATTGTGGCATGAGAGGTTACTCACCAGTACTTAATCAAGCCATCCCAGCCGCAAGTTGCCACTTTGCTTTGCTCCAATGGATGCCACTCGCACCCAATGCACACACCCTCATGACACTTGTCCTGAAAACTTTACAACTCTTCCAGTCCCAAAACCAGCACTTACCCTCACCGTCTCCTGACATAACAAAACGTCCATCTGGTGAGAAATTTACTTGGCAAGCATAACCTGCCACAATATGCTCAGCAAACCGCTGGTGCACCTCTCCTAACTATTGCAATTTAGTTTCCTCTGAGAAACCGTTTCCTCTGAGAAACCTCAGGAGCATTTGCTGGTGCACCATAATATCTGCAGCTTTTATGACATTTTCAATGTTCTCAAGTGGTTCTCACATTCCCTGCAAATACATATTTCAAAGCGAATTATTAGAAATTATTGGGCTAACTAAAAATCTATTTTCTCTCACTTAAACCAAGATCTTTGAAAAATAGGGATTAATACTGCATGGATGTAATAACTCTCCTTCAAATATCTAATAGAGCTAGACTAGAGACACTTCACCAAAAAAAAAAATCCATTTACAATAGCTGCGAGCAAAAGAATACAGAAACATACAAGGGTTAGAAGGGTGTAAATGCCCATAGGTAGTGGATATGCAATCCAGGAATAGTATTGTTGAATGGTTGGACAAGTATTCCGATCAATGAATAAGGAAACACATGGACTTAATTCCACAAATTATGTGTTTTTCTATGTGAACAGGGAATGCATAACGACCACAAAACGAATGAAATCTTCACTTTCTATTTATGTTGTCGATAGATAGTGAAAATAACATTGAATTATTAGATGCCTTATTACTGGACTGAGCAAAGTCACTAACTGAGCCAAATCTGAACTGATTGGAAAAACTTCTGTTAATAGAAAATTTTCTAGATCACAGACTTACCACAAATACAACATTTGTGATGGAACCAACTTCGCTCGTCACAAGACGTTGTGCAAATACAACCTGGTCTACAATCTCTGCAGTAGTCAGATGTCTCTTCAAACCCATCCTAAAAATTGGATTATGCATCAAGAAGATGTACCTTGTAGACATCCTAAAAATTGGATTATGCATCAAGAAGATGTACCTTGTAGAAAGTAATAATAGCAATAATACAGATACAAATAAGAAAGATATAAAACTTACCTGCCAGTGTAGCAGAACTGACAATTCATGGCACAGCCCACTTGACTTGAAACACAAACTGTTGTCCTACCTCTATCACAAGGTATGACGACTGTTTCAATTAACAGTTCATCATTCAACCTAAATAAAATCTGCAAGCTCCTGTGAGTTTCAAAACCAATGAGAAGATAATGCAACTGCTAAAAGCAATATATCGGGCCAGAATAAAGTGATTTCGAGACCAAAAATACAACAGATAATGGTTTTGGCTACCTTCTTAGTTCCATCAGATGCAGTACGAACATCTTCCAAAGATATTGCCTTAAATTCTGCGTGTTCACTCAACATTTTCCTAAAATCCTTATTCAAACCTGAATAAGGTTATCAAAGACAAAATTCATAAGGCTCAGCATGTCTCTCTTATTGGAAGAGGGATTCAATTTTGCACATAGATAGGGAAATCAAAGGGAGATAAAATCATTTAGCTCACTGAAAAGGCTATAAAACCGGACAATAGATAGCATTTCAGAGACAAGGTGGTGTAAGAATACCTTCTAGTTCATCAACATAATGCGCCCAAATCATCAACATAATGCGCCCAAATATTTTCCCCATGAAGACGCTTCCACAGCATCATAGCTTGACCAGGTCTGAATCCATGAGCGTGGACCCATTTCTGGCATAGTGGATTCCCACAATTATTACTTGGAAAACTTGAACATAAAACTATACATAAATTCTCATGGTTGGAATATTAGAATTCATTTTGAATTTCTAGTCTAGCTAGCTTGTACCACAGTTTAAAATTAAATACTTTTTTGAGTTTAGCATAGGAAGAAAAAGAGAGTAGAAAAACATACTTCAAGCTCAGTGTAATTCATTCCCTTAAGAAGCACCTTTGAACCGTTAGAATAGCCATTCATGTCTCTACTTCCTACACAAATAAAATAAACAGCCACAAAACAAATAAATAAACAAAATGGGAGCTCCAAAAACAACATATGTTACTAGGAAACGATTTATCTGCTTACCCATATCAACAGGAAGGTAGTGACGATGAACAATGCTTACCCATATCAACAGGAAGTAGTGACGATGAACAAGCGGCGGTAGAAACGGAACGAGGAGATGGAGATTGGGCGGTGGCGGTGATGAAGAGAGTTCTTTTAGAGAGGAAAGAGAGAGATGAGATCGATTAGGGTAAGTAATTGAGAGCGAAGCGGATGAGGAGGCCATTGAAGGGTGATTTACAAGAACCACTGACCGCACGCGCCCCATCCACATACAACCCATCTCCATTCTCCGATTTCTCGTAGCCCGAAAGTATAACATGTTCATTTGATGAAAATATATACAAGCTCTCTTACATAATACTTATATGAAAATAACTTATATCCGAAAATATCTTATTTCAAAATACATATGAGTCGTAAGAAGTAATAAATATTTTTTTATTTATTCTTTATATATAATCAATCTTTATATTAATCAATATTATTATATTATTATTTTAATTTAATAATTTTTTAGAAAATTAATATTAAATTAAAGATAATATAGTCAATTTATTTAATAATTTATTATAATTTAAACACATTTAATAATTTTCTTAAGAAATCTGAAATTTATGACAAGTATTATTGACCAGAGATCATATGAAATGGCTAAACTAGCAAGGTTCAATTGGTTTTTTAGGTATTGTTATTGGTTCGGTTTGAACCATAATCAAATTGTACTGTGCATGAACTGAAATCGAATTCAAAATTTTGAACTAGAACTGGAGTTCACCGACTGGTTCAATCCATGTCAATACGTTAAAAAATAAAACTGAATTGGTATCGTTGGTCCAAAATTTTAAATCATAACTTGAGGTTCAAAGACTGGTTCCTATCCATGTCAATGTTAAAAAATAAACCTGAATCGGAATGGAATTGACGATTCCAGTCCGGTTAAACATAAATTTATAATCATCTACTCATAAATAAAATTTTCATGATAAATAACGCAAAAATGCAGAATCCGGATAAGGGGATCGTGACTCTACAACATGATTTTGAAAATTTGCAGCAGCACAACAACAGCAGCCAAGCCTTAGCCACAAACTAGTTGGGAATTTGCACAAATACACAAAATCTTTTTTGTTTCCTTATGGCTCTATGCTAGATATAGATAATACTAAACTGAATTCAAAATGTCCTTTAGTATCCTAAAGGGTTAAAATCAATCTTAAATGACAAGAAGAAAACGCCAATTCATTTTGTTTGGAATGCAAAAATCCAATTAAGATATTGTCAGAGAGAATAAATGTTTGTTTACTAATGCAGCCTAAATTTCATAGAGATTGGAACATCCATTGCAAAGACCCAGCAAATGCAAGCAGATAAATTCATATGAACCAGCAAATAGCAATACAAGGATATCAGCATTCAAAATAAAAAATTGCCACGTGTGAAAATTGTGGCATGAGAGGTTACTCACCAGTACTTAATCAAGCCATCCCAGCCGCAAGTTGCCACTTTGCTTTGCTCCAATGGTCGCACCATGCACACACCCTCATGGCACCCAATGCACACACCCTCATGACACTTGTCCTGAAAACCTTACAACTCTTCCAGTCCCAAAACCAGCATTTACCCTCACCGTCTCCTGACATAACAAGCCGTCCATCTGGTGAGAAATTTACTTGGCAAGCATAACCTGCCACAATATGCCCAGCAAACCACTGGTGCACCTCTCCTAACTATTGCAATTTAGTTTCCTCTGAGAAACCTCAGGAGCATTTGCATAAATTGAGGGTGTTAATGATACAGGTTAAAAATATAATATTATATGATGGGTTAAAAGCACATCAAACAAATCATTCTTGCCCAAACTAACACGAAACAAGTCAGCAACTGGTAGTCTGGTACCACAAGTAAACATGCTAGCGTAATAGACAAAGCAACTGCATACATCTATCTTTCTGACTTGCAATATCATGCAGTCAACGTTTACAACGTCAATCATGCAGTTACCCTAACAGTAGCACAAGATATTTCATATGGCCAAACATATTATCAAATATCAAATAAAACTGAGAAAGGAAAATGTTTATCTAACCTGTCATTTACTCCTGCAAGCATCACATACTCGAACAAAACTTCGCAATTCTTTATGGATTGGAGTTCCTTCCGAAGGGTGTCAAGAAGCAAGCCTAAATTGTATTTCCGGTTAATTGGCACGATCCAGTTTCTTACCTGCATGGTTTATTAGTTAAAGAGAAAGTCAACAACCTGGATGTGTTTCCCAAGTGAATAAACATACAGATATAAATGAAAATGCACCTCATCAGCTGTCGCATTCAGACTAACAGCTAAAGCACAATTGGATTCATGAAGGAAACGTTTCAACTGGGGGACAAGCCCGCTTGTAGAAACAGTGACCTTGCGAGGACTAAAATGAAGATTGCGAGGACTAAAATGAAGATCCTGCTCATGCACCATAATATCTGCAGCTTTTATGACGACTGTTTCAATTACCAGTCCATCATCCAACCTAAATAAAATCTGCAAGCTCCTGTGAGTTTCAAAACCAATGAGAAGATAATGCAACTGCTAAAAGCAATATATCAAACCAGAATAAAGTGACTTCGAGACCAAAAATACAACAGATAATGGTTTTAGCTACCTTCTTAGTTCCATCAGATGCAGTACCAACATCTTCCAAAGATATTGCCTCAAATTCTGCGTGTTCACTCAACATTTTCCTAAAATCCTTATTCAAACCTGAATAAGGTTATCAAACAAATTCATAAGGCTCAGCATGTCTCTCTTGTTGGAAGAGAGATTCAATTTTGCTCATAGATAGGGACATCAAAGGGAGATAAAATCATTTAGCTCACTGAAAAGGCTATAAAACCGGACAACAGATAGCATTTCAGAGACAAGGTGGTGTAAGAATACCTTCTAGCTCATCAACATAATGACATATGCGCCCAAATATTTTTCCATAAGACGCTACCCAGGCATCATAGATTGACCAAGGTTCTGGATCATGCTATTGAAACCCAGTTCTGGCATGTGGATCCCCACAATTATTACTTGGAAACTAATTATTACTTGGAAAACTTGAACATAAAATTATACATAAATTCTCATGTTTGGAATATCAGAATTCATTTTGAATTTCTAGCCTAGCTAGCTTGTACCACAGTTTAAAATTATATACTTTTTTGAGTTTAACATAGGAAGAAAAAGAGAGTAGAAAAACATACTTCAAGCTCAGTGTAATTCATTCCCTTAAGAAGCACCTTTGAACCCTTGGTTAGAATAGCATTCATGTCTCTAATTCCTACACAAATAAACAGCCACAAAACAAATAAATAAATAAAATGGGAGCTCCAAAAACAACATATGTTTTACTAGGAACGATTTCTGCTTACCAATAATCAACAGGAAGTAGTGAATGATGACACAAGCGCGGTCGAACACGGGAACGAGCGCGCGGAAGAGAACAAGAGAAGTGGGCGTGGAGAATGGAGATTGGGCGGTGGCGTGACATGAAGAAGTTGTTTTAACGAGAGGAAATGAGAGAGATAGATCCGGATTAGGGGAAGGAAATTGGAGAGCGAGGCAGATTGAGATGAGGCAGTGGAAGGGTGATTTAACAAGAAACCTATGACCGCAGCGCCGCGCTCAATCCAGCATACAACCCAATCTCCTTCTCCGATTTCTTTAAGCCCGAAAGGTATTACATGTTCATTGATGAAAAAATATATATTAACATCATCACAGCCGACAACAACTCAAGATTTAAGTAAAGCGGAAATTTTCAATTTTTTATGATAATTTCAGAAAAACAAAAGAAAAATTCATCAGATTTAATTAATTTAACAAAATTCAGGATTCAATCATTATTGCAAAACAGTGAACTGATCATTCAGAATTTGAAATAATCCGTAGCACCTGTATAGTAATAGCAGAGCTTAAAACCAACAAATGAAAAAATAAGGGGAAAAAGAAAAAGGAATGTTCTCACCAATTTCAAGCGATTAATCAAAATTTGAAGAGATACGTTCCTTTTTTTTTTCTTGAATTGACCAATTTCAGGCGTTTTTCCTTTTTCAGAAGGGGGAGAGATTGAGACGAAGAAGAGGAGATCAATAGAGAGGCAGTTAGTGCTTAAGATGAAGGAGAGGCTCGGTCGGGTCGTGGAGAGACAGTGAGATGTGGGCTTTACCAAATAAATGGACTCTGGAAGTTGGGAATACATCATACGGTCTTTTAAAAGATTAGAGGTTTTTTTTTTTTTTTCAAAATTTTGATTATTAAAATTAAATTGAATAAATGAAATTAAAGATTAAAACACTGAAATTAAATAATATTTTTAACACTGAAATTAAATAATATTTTTATTTCAATGGTAACTATACAAAATAGCACATTTACAATCGATATATGCAGCTAAAGAGTTACATTATTTCAAAAAAGAAATACATAAGTTAATTATCGTGCTCTTCTATAATATAACGTCTTATGATTTTAATTATCTTGTTGAATCTCTCTCGTAGTTTGCTAATTAAACCGTGGATCTCTTTAAGTGAATCATATATTACTTTAGCAAACAAGGAGGCCCATAAGATTAAAATAATCCAAAAGTTGTAACAACCATAAAGACAAGCGCAGCTACGGCTAATCCAAGGGCAAATAAGCCAACTTTGCTAGTAATTGAATTGAAGGAGTTCCGAGCTTGAAAGATAGTTCCAAACCCATATGTGAGTAAAGCAACAAGAAAGATTGGTAATATAACGCGTGTGTCTTTATGAACCATAGTCTTGATTTGAATGAGGCCAATTAAACTTGCTATGATTAAGGTGAAAACATTGTGTACTGCATTTAAATTTTCCCTGAAAAGAAAAATGAAATAAAAAAAACTATTAGAAGACTTTAGCACATTTCAATTTAACTATATATATTTGTAATTGATAAGGATAAACAAAGTTGCATAAATTTTATAGACTTAGCAATAATTGGAAAATGGATAAAAAGTTTGGAAGAGTTTTGAATAATCTTTCATGAATTGTAACAAAAATTGATAGCTTGAAATTATAGAGAAGTGAGACAACTGTGCTCTGTCTAGCCATGAATCAAATACTGAAAAACTCGAAGATACAACAAAAAGTTTGACAACCCAATATTCAATGATATACTAACCTTTCGTTTGCCATTTTCTTTTAAATTCTTTGTGCTTGTTAGAGAACGCAAGAATAGGAAGATAGAAGCTGCAATGACTAGAGAGCAACTCTGCTATTTTTCCCAAGAATAGGAAGATAGGAGAGAAGCTGCTTTTTATTTTTTCCCAAGAATAGCAAGAATAGGAAGATAGGAGAGAAGCATATGCTTGTGAGAGAAGCTGTTTTTTTATATGTCATATAATCGCTTTTTATTGTCGGTTGTTGTAGGTCAATTCATATAAAATATTCTTTTCTTTTCCTCATACTGCTTACTCATATTTCCTCCTTCACTGATATTTGCTTTTTTCCTCAATTCTGCTTACTCTGCTTAAGCATATTTCAATTTTCTATTCATATTTCTCAATTCTGCTTACTCTGCTTACTCTACTTACTCATATTTCCTCCTTTACGGATATTTGCTTTTTTCCTCAACTTTTTTCCTCAACTCTACTTACTTTACTGATATTTGCTTTTTGCCTCAATTCTGCTTACTCTGCTTAAGCATAGAATATACTGCTATAACTTCTGCTTAAGCATATTTTTCCCTTACTCTGCTTAAGCATATTTCAATTTTCTTTTCATAACTGATATTTGCTTTTTATGATTCCACATAGGCAGGAACCTTTTTATGATTCCACATAGGCAGGACCTTTTTATGATTCCACATACATGCCACATAGGCAGGACCTTTTGACATCTAAGAGGTGCCACATAGGCAGGACCTTTTTACATCTAAGAGGTGTACATTGTGGTTCTATTGCCCTGTTTTTGGTTCCATTACCCTGAATTCGTCTGACGTGTGGTGGTGTTTTTGTTTTTTTGGTACATTGTGGTTCCATACTTCCATTACCCTGAATTTCGTCTCACGTGTGGTGGTGTTTTAGTTTTTTTTGTACATTGTGGCCCCCCATTGCCCTGTTTGTTTTTTTGCGTCGTTGTCGGGTGATAGCTTTTCTAGATAATATTATATAATATTCTAGTCTAGTTAACATTGTCGGGTGATTTGCTTCTTCCATTCAATTTTTCCAGGCCCAACCTCATTCAATTTTTCCATTTTGGTCTGATGGGTCGTTGATCCTTCGATTCAATTTTTCCAAGCCCAACCTCATTACCTTGTTGTCAGAATTTACAGATACTAATAGGTAATAAAAAAAGATTTCAAGACTTTTACACATTTCAAGACTTTTACACATTGCAACATGGGGTTAGGGGTGGGCCACAGTTCCGCGAACTCGAATCGAAAAGGTCCGGTTTCAGTTTCGATTTGGAACCGTCGGTTCCAGGTTCGTTGCGGTGATAAAACCGACTTGGTTCCGCATCGGTTTTTTCGGGCGAATCGCATTAATTTTAAATTTTAAATTCTTGAGAGAACGGTTTTTTAAAAAAAAATATAATTGGAACATAAAAAAATTAAAAAATACACCTAAAAATTAAAAAAAAAACTTCCAATTAAATTTATTTTTTAAAAATTTGAACATAATTATTTTTTTAAAAAAAGATTTCAACTGCAGATTTATTTTTTGTTTAAAAAAGTTTGAATATAATTTTTTTTAAAAAAAAAGGACGGCTTTGAAATTAATTTTTTTTAAAAAAAAAAAAATTAAGTTGTCTACAATATACTCTTGGGAGTTCTAGAGGAATCAAAGCCCACATATTCTACTTACCTTATACCAATTTCACCCCTTACGCTAATCGGCTATTTGCACCACCGGTTGATGTTATCCGTTGAAAGACCTATCGTATAAATCATATAAATCTTCATTTATTTTGGATTTTCTTGCTCTTAGTTCAACCTTTCTGCCCAATCAATCCACGCATGATTGTGCTTCTAATTGAATTTCAGGTGTCATACGAGATCGTTGTTTCATCAAGTTATGTTTCCTCTTAGACTAAAAGCTTGTTCAACCGCACAGTGGCAGAACCGAGCTTGCTAAAACTTGTTTTGCAATTAAAGAAAAAGAATTGGGGAAAAAGTATTGCGACGACTCCACTAATCTTAAAATTGGAAAATCAATCTGCATAACCATCACCAAAACTCAAAAAAACAAGTTGTTAGCATAATTATCAAATTCAGAAAAAAGAAAACTGGATTCCTGTTTCTTTTTTGTCTTTGTAGTAAAACTTGTTGAGCAAGCACCAAACACCACTTACCATTGTGTTTGGAAATTGTTGAATATTAGATTGAGAAGAACGTTGAAAGTAGATGAACTAGAAACTTTGAACAAATTCATTATATAAATTGCCATTAATATTTTGGTTTAATTCCATTGCATTACACATTTATATTAACATTATCCTTCTACATCAAAGATTTAATACTTCATAATAAAATAGTCAAATAAAATCACATAAAACATCAAGTTACATCTAGGATCAAATACATAGCAAAACAAGATAAAGGGTGGTATATTTTTTAAAATAAGATAACCATTTTTTTCATTGAAAAAAATACAATTTTTAAAATAAATCATTCATTTCAAAATCTTGGAGTGCAACTAACAATATTAATACATATAGATAAAAAATAAATGAGATGTGGGATAAATAAACCCCACTAAATTATAAGTAGCATTAATTAAAAAATTTTTAAAATATCTTAAAAAATTTTTGCACAAATATCCCCAATTTTGTGGATAGAAATTATATATCCTCAATATTATTAGCTAACAAAAAAGCATAAATATTTCTTTATAAGAAAAAAGACTCGTTTAGTTAATTCATTTATGTTTTGAATTCTAACGAGTTGGGACATCCTGAAAAACGTTTGCGTCTTTTATTATTTTCTTACCAAAAAATTTAGCCCAACTTTCATCACTTGGAGATGTCCCCATGATTAAATAATGGAAATAGCTTTTAATTGCGAGAATTAAAATACTTCAAAGAATTTTTAAAACCAATCCGTACACATAAATTTGAAAACAGGCATGCCACAATCTTATATGAAAAAATTTTCCACAATACTTGGCTTCACAAATATTTTTAAGTTCAATAATTGATTTAGTATTGCAGAAGCATTATCAACATTGAAATTGAAAAAATTTTTTTGTCAACTTATATCCTCTTAAAATTGAAACTTATTTCTATAAATATTCATTTGCAGTATGTTATCATCAAAAACATGAAAAAACAATAATTTCTTTTTTAAATTTTCCATTCATCATCAATCTAATACATGTTAATACCCATATAAGAAATGCATTTCTGCCAATGATCACTCCAAATTACACAACAAATTTGAAACACGAAAATTTTCATTGAGAAAAATAAAAGCTATAAACTCTTTTTTCCTTATTATATAAAGGAATAATTAGTTTCGTTACAGTATTTCTTCGGTACTCTTTAGCAGAAGGATTTTAAAGCTTTTTTTGACAATAATTATTAAACCTATTTTTTCACAAAAACAAAAGATAAATGTTCCATAAAAAATCATTTGCTAATTTTCTTTCTTATTTGTAATTTTTTTCAGAATATTGCAAATAAAGAAAGGTCTAGAAGGTGCGTACCCGAAATTTGTGTTTTGAGACCGATAACTCCTATTTTTGTTGGATGTTTTATCTCCAAAATGCTTCCAAAAATGATCCATAAAGCCACCCGCTTTGTTTAAATTTATAGATTTTACACAAATTGCAAATTACATCATAAATTTTTCTCAACCTTTGGAATTTTTTCGCTGAAAATGAATGGCGAATATGTCGGAACTTGTCTTGCTCTTCCAGACAAAAAAATTTGTGCTCGTTGCTCTTGCTCTTGCTCTTTCCTCTGCTTGTAATTGCTCATTAAATTTTGATTCTTTGAGTTGGAATTTTCACAAATTTTCATTTGGATATCCCTCAAAATTAAATTGTGTTGGAACGTGAAATCATAGAGTCGGTTGTAGGGATAGATGAATATTGTGTTTCTCCAATCTTTTCCCTTGCCCTTTACCCGAATTGAGTTTCTCCACTTGTCATTATTATGATAATAAGATTATAATTTGGAACTTGAATAAAAAAAATTAGAGAGAATAATAAACTTAATACGAGAGATTTGTAAAGTAGAAGAAGAATAATATAGAGTAAGTGAGTAATTGTAGGAGAAGTAAGTAGAGTGTAGTATATTGTAGAGAGAGTTTGAGAGTTTTTTGTTAATCAATTTGTAAATGGAAATGACGGTATTTACAATAAATTCAAAAAATGCATTTTTCCAAAAAATACCTTGAAACTAGCCGTTATGTAGCCGTTATTGCGCGCTGTCTGGGAGGGGGTAATAAAGAGATTTCACAATAAAATTTTAAAAAAAAAAAAAAAAAAACTGGTCTGAACAATTTATAACAGCAGAACGCCGGTTCGGAAATCGGGTTTTGAACCGGCGGTTCTAACCGGCCGGGAATCGACGGTTCCCAATCCGCGTTCCGACTGGTTATTCTGGAAAACGCCGGTTCGGTTCCAGAAATCTAGAATCGGAACCGAACCGAAAAATCTCCAGTTCCGTTCGAATCCGGTTCCGGTTTCACCGCGTTCAAATTAAGGTTCCAGGGACCGGTTCGAACCGACGGTTCCGGTTTCCGAAAGCCGTAATATGGCCACCCCTAAATATGGGACGAATATTATTCTTGAAAAAAAAAAAAAAAGCTATTATTGCTTGTCTTCCGATTGGGCCTTTCCAAATCCTTATTCCTACTGTTGTTTCTCTCAACATCTGCCTTAATTATTCATATTAAATAAAATTTTCATTATTTTTACTTTTTTTCAGTTCATTAATATTGGCAATTGGTAAAAAGGATGGATTATGAATATCATATTAATAAAAAATAAAAGCTGAATATTGCAAACTTTAGTATCAAAAGCTAAAAGTACTAATAAATAATTATAAGAAAGGTGATTGTAAGGATAAACAAAATAAATATTTTTTTTTAGCAAAACTGTTTTTAAACATTCCTCAAATATTAAATTCAACCTCTAATATGATTTGTTACATTTTATTGTTTACCGTATTGCACCTACAACATCCTCAAATATAAATTCACCTCTAATATGATTTGTTTTTACATTTTATTTTTACGTATTGCACCTACATATTTTAAATTATATATTGTGGCCCCCAGTTTTTATTATTTTAAATTATATATTTCATTCTCATTAACCCTTTTTCTGTCAAAATTTTAAAATTATTTATTGCCTGGTCAATTGGTCAATTTTATGTGTAACAGTTAAAATTATAAAATTCATCTATTTATGTAGTCACTTTTCTCAAGATTTTAAATAATATTTACTTTGTCATTTTTCAATTCTAAAAATTGTTACAGTTTAATATAAAATTTTTGTTAAGAGTTGATTGCTAAATATACAACATGCAGGTTTCCTTTCCTTTTTTTTTATTAAATATATTTTTATTTTATGGCTTTCAATGAAGAAATAATGTCAAAAAATGCTAAATTTATAAAATTAAATCGATTAAAATACTTATTAAATAGTTCAAATGTAAAATTTATTGTTTTAAAAATTATATTAACTACATATTAAATTAATATTTTGTATATAAAAATATTAAATTAATATTTTGCATATAAAAATAAAAAAATTTAAAATTTATTATTACCGTAACGAGATGTAAGATCAATTTAAATTTAAAATATTAAATTTATTGTTTTCGAATTTTTTTATTGCTCAACTCACTTGCTGCTCTCTTTCCTTCTGTGCCTTCGGCCTGGATTGACAAGAATGTTATGAATACGTACTTCAAAAGCGATTCAGGCAATTTACCCATATACATAAATTCAACGTTTAGCTTTATTACTTAAATTTTACAGTGCTTTTAATTTTTATTTAATTCATCCAATATTTTAATTTATAAAATTATTTTATTAAATGTCTCAATTTACAAAATAAATCAATTAAACACCTATGAAATAATTAAAATTTATGAAAATTATTATTCAAAAAATTTTAAACACTATTATTGTTACTGTGAAAAAGTATTTAATATTATCAAAATTTATAAATTCAAATATACGATAAATCATAAAAAAATTTAAGATAGCAAGGATTAAAATTGAAAAATTAGAGAATAAATTTATATATTCAACGCTTTTTCAAGATTTTAAATAATATTTTCTTCGCATTTTTCAATTTTAAAAATTATTACGGTATCATATAAATATTTTTTGTTAAGAGCTAAAATAATGTAAGAAGAAATAAAGTAAGAAAATGCTAAGCTGAAATATTTTTATATTTTATGGCTTTCAAAGAAGAAATAATGTAAGAAAATGCTAAACTGAATCGGGCCAAAAACATAATCAAACAAAATCAACTTTTAAAAAAAAGAAAAAAGAAAATAATAAAAGATATGAAAAGGAAGAAAAGGATGGTGTTGTAGTTAAACAAAAAATTAAGGGCTAATGGGAAAATCACTGTTGTGGCGACACTGATTTCCCCACGTGGGTTATATCCCTATTACTTTGCTCCACGTGTGATTGTTTATATCGCAGGTTGTGATAGACAAGAACTTCTGTTTCCATAATTTGTGGAAAATGTCGCGAATACGTATTTCAAACCCGAAGCATATTCAATTTGCCCATATTTTACCCTATTAAGCGTCTTTCATATCTCTGGGGTTTATTTAGGTTCAATACCTAAATGTATCCTTTATTTTTATTACTTTATTACTTTAATAGTTCAATACCTATTAAATAATTAATAATTATAAAAATTATTATTTCAAAATTTATGCTAAATTACATATCAAATTAATATTTTGTAGATAAGATTCAAAAACTTTAAAAACTATTATTATTAGTGTGAAAATACGTGTAATAGTTAAAATTGCAAAATTCAGTTTTTTCTCCTTTTTTGATTTGTGCTCTTAGACAGACTTGCTCCACCTTCCAAATGTACTTCCCCCATGGTTGATTTTTCATTATAGGATTCAATTTTTTTTTTCATTAAGCAACTACATCCAGTTTACTTTTTGTTTCTTTGTAGGATGCTGGAATAGGAACAAGTATTGACTCTTTTTATGAGTATCTCTTAAAGGTATGTGATAACGGTTTCACTGTGTAGGAAGATATTTCCTGGGTTAACATAGTAGCTCAAAATATTTTTCAGAAGTAAATACATAATCATGCTGATACACATAATTCAAATAAGCTTTTATGAAAACTGGTTTGATTGTCTGCATGAGTCCTGCTCTTCCATTCTGCCGTGTCTCATTCCATCAATGGCTAGAGCACATAAATACATAAATACTTGCAGAAGATCAGATCATATAGGATGGTTTTGAACAATCATTTACAGCTAAAATAGTGGTAGGATATTCACGATAAACAAATGGGAGAATCTTAGATGATGAATAGTAATTTAATTTTGAGAAAGAATCTTAGATGAATGAATAGGTAATTTAATTTTGAAGAAGCTTTTATTGAAAAATTTCTTATATTTCAGGTTATTTGTATTGGTGATGAGGAGTATTTGTTCATTTTTCCAAGAGCTTAGCTGCTGTCTAATGCACTATCTTTTAACGCATCCTTGGTTAAAGCTGTGGCTTATCTTGCCCCTCTGCTCATAAATAGCTGTTGTTGCCAAATGTTGTGTAGCTCTATAGAATTGGTCTAATTCCACAATATATACTTTATTCCATTGGTATTTAAATCCTTTCAAATTTGAACATTTTACTTTACTGTCTTTTTAGGTATGTAGAGGTAAATATGGATTCTTGCTGCTATCGTCTGGCCATTATTTAATAGTCTGCAGGCATTTGGCCAGGCCTTCAGGTTTTTTGCTTTTTCTATATCTGGCATTGTGCAACGCATAATAAGTCGACTGTTATATTTATGTTGATTGGAATTGCCATTTATTTCTAAGAGTCGACTGTTATATTTATGTTGATTGGAATTGCATTTATTTCTAAGGTTTTAGCAGGAGACATTGATCCTGCCATTCGAACACATGCTGCCTTCTTTAGCGTCTGGAAAAGATACGGTTTCACTCCAGAAGGTTTTAATCTTGCTACTCTAAGTGTTCAGGTACCCCAATCATTATTGGAAGCACATGAAAGATTTAATAAGTATTCCCAATTTGAATCACATTTTATAAGATACTATGGTATCTTAGTTATATAGTATGAGTTAGCAAGTTACTTTCAAAAAAAGAATAGACATCTTATTTTGATTTATAGAATGGGCAGAAGAGGTATCCACTCCGTCCAGAGTTAATAGAAAGCACATATTGGCTTTACAAAGCTACCAGAGATCCCAGGTCAACATATGCTCTAATTTCATACTTCCTGATGTAGCCAAGCAAATGCAGTTTTGGGAACCTTTTTTTTATTAATTTCTTTTCTTGTATCACAACTATTTAGGAACTTTATTTGGAGTTTTCTACATAGGTATATAAGATCCAGTAAAGACCATATCATTAAAATGATAAAATTATGAACGGGTGTAAGGTCGATGCACAAAGGATGTTAGGCCCAAGTGAAAAATTACAAGGACAACTAAATAGTTGGTGCATAAAGCACTTCATTTTTGATAGTGAAGAACTATGATGTTTCTTTTGGATCAACAATACCATTAGCATATCCATCTTGCTGGATTCTGACTGTTAACTTCTGCTACATTTACCTCTCCTCTGGGAGAGAAATGTCAATTTCAAGGAGATAATTTGGGGCCCTAGAAATATTTAAGGTGGGAAGTTGAGAAACTTTTCTCTTCGCATGAGCTGCTTTTGAAAATAATTAACTATACAAACATTTTCTTTCTTTGGTTCAACCTTCCTACTTTAATCAATATTGGAACTTTTGGGCTTTGCCATATAAATGGACTCTGGAAGTTGGGAATACATACGGCCTTTATGATTAGGGTTTTTTTTTTTTTTTTCAAATGTTTTTTTCAAATGATTATAAAAATAATTGAATAAATGAAATTAAAGGACTAACACTGAAATTAAATAAAAATTCTATTTCTTTTCCATTTTATGGTAACTACACAAAATAATACATTGTCAGTCGATATATAGCTAAAGAGCTACATTATTTCAAAAAAGAATTACACAGGTGAATCATCGTCATCTTCTGCAACACGACGTCTTATGATTTCAATTATCTTGTTGAATTTCTCTCCTAATTTGCTGATTAAACTGTAAATCTTATTCCTTGAATTATATATTACTTTAGTTAACAAGGAGGCCCATAAGATTAAAATGATCCAACCCAAAATTGGGAGAACCATAAGCACAAGTGTAACTACGGCCAATCCAAGCGCAAATAAGCCAACTTTGCTAGTAATTGAATTGAAGGAGTTCCAAGCTTGAAAGATAGTTCCGAACCCATATGTGAGTAGAGCAACAAGAAAGATTGGCAATATAATGTGTGTGTCTGTATCACCTAAAGGCTTGAGTTGAATGAGGCCAATTAAACTTGCTATGATCAAGGTGAAAACATTATGTACTGCATTTAAATTTTCCCTGAAAAGAAAAATGAAATAAAAAAACTATTAGAAGGCTTTAGCACATTAAAATGAAATAAAAAAACTATTAGAAGGCTTTAGGCACATTTCAAATTTAACTATATATATATTTGATTGATAAGGAAACAAAAGTTGCAATATTTTTATAGACTTAGCAATTAATTGGAAATGGATAAAAAATTTTGAAGCAATAATTGGAAAATGGATAAAAATTTTGGAAGAGTTTTGAATAATCTTTCATGAATTGAATAAAGATTGATGGCTTGAAATGATAGAGAAGTTAAACAAGTGTCCAGCCATGAACACTGAAAAACTTGAAGATACAATAAAAAGTTTGCAACCCAATATTTAATGATACTTACATTTTCTTTTAAATTCAGAGGAGCTTGTTAGAGGAAGATAGCAATATTAAAAAGTTTGCAACCCAATAGGAAGATAGAAGAGGAACTGTTGCTAGGATTTTTTTTTTTTGAAGGTAAAATGAGAAATATTTATTACGAAAGCAAGAAATCAAGTAGAATAGGAGGTGGTACAGAATTCCAAACCCCCAAGCCTGCTTCGGAATGTGTTCCAACTGTCAACATATGTGCAGCAACATTCGCAGACCTATAAACAAAATTACATTGTGCGACTGGTATCTCAGACAAAAGAGATCTACAGTCCTGAATTATCCTGAATTACATTGTGTTCCAACTGTTGCTAGGATATAAATACTAGGAGCTTCTTTGCACCCATTTGCATTTGTGCAAACGCTTATTTGCACTACCACTTTTGCTCACTCGCTTATTAGGGTAAGGAATTGAGAGCGAAGCAGGGAAGAGGCCATGGAAGGGTGATTTACAAGAACCACTGACCGCACGCGCCTCATCCACATACAACCCATCTCCATTCTCCGATTTCTCGTAACCCGAAAGTATTACATGTTCATTTGATGAAAATATATATTAACATCGTCACAGCGACAAGAACTCAAGATTTAAGTAAAGCGGAAATTGTCAATTTTTTATGATAATTTCAGAAAAATAAAAGAAAAATTCATCAGATTTAATTAATTTAACTAAATTCAGGATTCAATCATTATTGCAAAAAAGTGAACTGATCATTCAGAATTTGAAATAATTCGTGGCACCTGTATAGTAATAGCAGAGCTTAAAACCAACAAATGAAAAAATAAAGGGAAAAAGAAAAAGGAATGTTCTCACCAATTTCAAGCGATTAATCAAAGAAGGGAAAAAGAAAAAGGAATGTTCTCACCAATTTCAAGCGATTAATCAAAATTTGAAGAGATAGGTTCCTTTTTTTTTTTCTTGAATTGACCAATTTCAGGCGTTTTTTCCTTTTTCAGAAGGGAGAGAAATTGAGACGAAGAAGAAGAGATCAATAGAGAGGTAGTTAGTACTTAATATGAAGGAGAGGCGTGGTCGGGTCACGGAGAGATAGTGAGATGCGGGCGTTACCATATAAATGGACTCTGGAAGTTGGGAATACATATGGTCTTTAAGATTAGGGATTTTTTTTTCTTTTTTGTTTATTTTTTCAAATGATTATAAAAATAATTGAATAAATGAAATTAAAGGAATAACACTGAAATTAAATAATATTTTTATTTTAATGGTAACTATACAAAATAGCACATTTACAATCGATATGTAGCTAAAGAGCTACATTATCTCAAAAAAGAATCACACAGGTAAAATATTGTGCTCTTCTGTAACACGACGTCTTATGATTTCAATTATGTTGTTAAATCTCTCTCGTAGCCTGCTAATTAAATGGTAAATCTCTTCAAGCGAATCATTTATTACTTTTGCGCATAAGGAGGCCCATAAGATTAAAATAATCCAACCAAAAATTGGGACAAGGAGAAAGACAAGTGCAACTATGGCCGATCCAACAGCAAACAGGCCAACTTTGCTAACAATTGAATTGAAGGAGCTCCAAGCTTGAAAGATAGTTCCAAACCCATACGTGAACAGACCAACAAGAAAGATTGTGAATACAAAGTGTTTGTCTGTATCAACTAAAGGCTTGATTTGAATGAGGCCAATTAAACTTGCTACGGTGAAGGCGAAAACCTTGTGTACTGCATTTAAATTTTCCCTGAAAAGAAAAATGAAATAAAAAACTATTAGAAGGCTTTAGCACATTTCTCTTTAACTATATATATTTGTAATTGATACGGACAAACAAAGTTGCATAAATTTTATAGACTTAGTAATAATTGCAAAATGGATAAAAATTTTGGAAGAGTTTTGAATAATTTTTCATGAATTTTAATAAAGATTGATAGCTTGAAATGAGGAGAGAAGTGAATCAAATACTGAAAAACTTGAAGATACAATAAAAAGTGGAGAGAAGTTGAATCAAAATACTGAAAAACTTGAAGATACAATAAAAAGTTTGGCAACCCGCAATATTTAAATGATGCTGTTCTTTCGCTTTGGCATTCTTTTAAATAATTTCTTCGTGCTTGTTAGAGTAGAAGAGTAGGCGCTGCAATGACTAGAGAGGCGAGTAAAAAGTGGGCATATTATATGACCTTATCCAATTCACTTTGTTCCTCTTCGTTTGAGAGGTAACAATCGCTAGAGGGAGCGAGTAGTGGCATATTAATATTGACTTTCATTTCACACGTCGACTACCATTTGTCATTATTGGACATTTTGTTCCTCTCGTATCGAGTAACAATTCGGCTCGACTAACATTTGTCCAATTATTGACATTTTTGTTTTTTCCCTCTCGTTCGAAGTAATAACAATCGCTTCGACTAACATTTGGTCATTATTGACATATTCGTTTCCTCTCGTTTGAGTAACAATCGCTAAGAGGCGAGTAAAAAATCGCATCGAACTGAAAAACATTTGTCAATTGTTGACCATTTGTTTCCTCCTTTTCTGCGTTTTGAGGTAACAATCGCTCCGACTTAACATTTTGTCATTATTGACATTTGGTATCTCTCCGTTTGGTAACATCGCTAGAGAGCGAGTAGTGGGCATATTTAATATTGAGTACACAATCGCTAGAGAGCGAGTAACGATCGCCAAGAGAGCGAGTAAACATTTTGTTCATTATTGACATTGTTCGCTCTCTTTGAGCAAACAATCGCTCGAAATAACGATTTGTCATTATGACAATTCGTTGAGTAACAATCGCTCGACTAACATTTGTCATTATTGACATTTGTTCCTCTCGTTTGAGTAACAATCGCTCGACTAACATTTGTCATTGTTGACATTTGTCATTAACTGTTGATTTTTATTATAATTTAAAAAAATCAATCACTTTTTTAATTTTAGTATAAAAACTTTAAATGGTTTATATTTTAAAATAAGGAAAACAGTTAAATCAATGAAAATAGACTATATATCCAATGAAATTTCCTGCAATATAAAAACTGATAAATTTGGAATCACTGCTGTTACCCGAATACTAGCCAGCTTGAACATTTAAAAAAAAAAAAAAACAAAACAAAAGAAAAGAAAACCCGTATATATATTTTATTATGTGACTCTACAACATGATTTTGAAAATTTGCAGCAGCACAACAACAGCAGCCAAGCCTTAGCCACAAACTAGTTGGGAATTTGCACAAATACACAATTTGAATTTGGCTAGTTCAGCACAACATACTTAGTCAGCAGCCTTAGATGTTCTCATCAAATTCCTTAGTTTGGGTTAATTTTTGCACAACATATAATCAAACAATCTTTTGTTTCCGTTATGGTCTTATCTATGCTAGATAATAGATAATACTGAAATCTGAATTCAGAGAGTGTCCTTTAGTATCCCTATTATATGGTTAAAATCAATTCTTTAATGTATTACAAGAAGAACGCCAATTCATTTTGTATATTGAGAAATGCAAAATATCACACAACTTAAGGGATAATTGTCAGAGTATGAATTAAAGTGTTTGTATTACTATATTGAGGTCAGCTAATTTCATCCAGCAGATTGGAACGAGGTTCCATTTGCATAAGGGACGGAGGAGACACCCAGGATAATGCAGAGCAGATAAAATTCAGGTATGAACAGCAATATTAGCAATTTATCAATGAACTAACTTCAGACATTCCATAAACCTCACTCTACAGAAATGTTGCCACGGTGTGAAAATTTGTGGCAAATAGACGAGAGGTTAGCCTCAGCCAGTACATGTAATCAAGCATACTCGCTAGCCGCAGAAGTTTCTGCACCACTGTTGAGCCTTCCTTGCACTCAGAGTGAATGCCATCTTCCACTTCTGCCAATTGCACCCACTCACTACACGTGGTGTACTGAAAACATTTACAAATATACTTCAGTCCCAAAGATGACAGCTTTATTATAGCTTCGTCTTACTTCCGTCTGCCGGATTCAGTAGTATCTACTCGTTCGATTCTCTGCGTGTGAAAGTTTACCGTGGCAAGACATGAACCTGCCTACAATTTATTGTCCTCAGCAAACTCAGACTGAGTGCACTCTCGTTAATATTGCAAATTTAGTTTCGCTCTGAGAAACCTCAGTTGTTGCATTCTGCTGTGGCACCATAATATCGCAGCTTTTTATGACTTTTCAGAATGGTGGTACTGAGTGTTTTTCACATTCCCTGCGCCAAATACAATTTCAAGGACGATTTAATTAGAAAATTTTATTGGCTATACTAACAACATCTAGTTTTCGTTCTTCACTTAACCAAGATCTTTGAAACTAGCGATTAATACTTCAAATGGATGTAAATAACTCTCCTGTCCAACATTCTGAAATAGATTGTCTAAAGACTTAGAGACCACTTTCAGCTAAAACAAAAACTTATTACGAATAGCTGGCAGCTAAAACGCAATGATAGCAGATAACATTAACAAGGGTTATGAACGGCGTCGTAAATGACCCATAAGAGTAACGGTGGATTTGCCAATCTGAAGGAATTTAGTATTGTCGATTGGATTGGCAGATATGTCTCGATCATTAGTAATAAGGAAAACGACGCTGGACTTATATTCACATAGGTTATTGTGTTTTTCATTATGTTACCAGGAATGCAATAAGACGCGACAAATGATGAGGAATCTGCCACGTTCTAATTTTATGTTTTGTCGATAAAGATAAAGTGAATAGGATACAAATTGTTTAATTAATTTAGATGTCCTTAGTGCTGACTGAGCAAAGTCACTAATGAGCGCAAATTCTTACTTTTGTAATTGGGAAACTTCTTGTATAAGAAGTGTTATCATAGATGTCATCAGACACTTACCAACAAATACAAACATGTGGTGATGGAGACAAATCTTTTCGCTCGTCACATAGACGTTGTGCAAATTACAACCTGGTTCTGAGCTAAGTACCATCTGCAGTAAGTCGCAGATGATCTCCTTCAAACGACATCCTAAATTGGATTGGATGCATTAAGATAAGAGTACCTCTGTAGAAAGTTAACATAGCACAATAATTTGACGGAGATAGTCAGTTAATACATAGAAGATATAAGCTTACCTGACAGCTGCAGCAGAACTGAACGAATTCCATGGCCGAGCAGCGGCCACTTGACGGTTGAAAACACAAAACTGTCGTTCCTATCCTCTATCACAGAAGGTATGACGACATTGTTATCAATTAACACGTTCATCATCTAACCTTAAATAACATCTGCAAGTCTGTGAGTTTTCACTAACTGAAAGAAGTATAAATGTCAATCGTGCCTAAAAGCAATGACTTCGGACTCAGAATCAAAGTTGACTTCGAAGTACCAAAACAATTAACAACAAATATTATGTTTTGGCTACCTTCCGCTTAGCTCGACATCAAGAATGCAAGTTAACGAACTTATTTTTTATACCCAAAATTATTGATTGCCTTATATGTCTCGGCGTGTGGTGCACATCAGACATCCTAAAATCTATTCAAACCTGAATACGGATTATCAAAGACAAATTCATAAGGCTTCCAAGCATGTCTCTCTTGTTGGAAGAGAGATTTTATTGCATTTGGTGCTTGACATACGACTAGGGACATTCAAAGTGGTTTAGATTAAAATTATCAGGGTTATTAGCCTCACTGAATAGGCTCACTAGATTATATTTCTGACTTTAGAGATTATTGGGCAATTTTCAGCAGGACCATCGCTGTGCCGTTGTACTCAGAATATCCTTCCTAGTTGTCACTCTAATCAATTATTATGCGCTTATCACTAGGATTTTTCCTCCATAAGTTATTGCACTATTCCTACTAGCCATCATAGTTTGGCAGGTCGGAAATCGACTCTAATGTATGCTTGTAACCATTTCTGGAATGGATCTGTTGGAGATATCCACACTTTATACTTGTCGGACAATACTTTAAACATAAAAATTATTGACAAATTTTCGCTCATTTGGAATACTCTAGATTATTCATTTTGAATTCTGATTCATAGCTCGCTTGTTACACAGTTTGATAAAATTAATGAGCTGTTTTTGGCTAGAATTTGAGGCCATTTTCAGGTAGTATTAGTAAATAATGTAGATGTCAGAATATAACATGTCATCTTCATATGTCTTCAGTTGTCAGATGTCACTTTATGAGTTCACGCGCGTTTTCTGAAGCCAATGTCCCACCGGTACGCCTATTGGAATCCTCTTTATATGGTTTAGGGACATACGATTTATACAATTCAGCTGTCTTTCTTAAGATCTTTTCATCATCGACAACCACTTTTGCAAATTACACCACACTCACGTTTCTCTCTATGCATTAAGAGGAACATGAATATTCAGTTATTGAGGTTTAAGGGCACACATAATCTGTGTGCAGCACAGTCTGTCAGGATCATACAACTATCAATCTGATATTAGTCGATTAAGTTGGCCTCTGTTTGAGGCCTGGTGGGATCGGACCATCTGGATTGGTCATACATTCTTGTGGTCTCTATCTTCCTTGGCTCCATTTCTGGATTGGAAATTATTCAACTTAAATCTTAAGGGGAGCCAGTCCTTAGTTGATCAGCCGGCAGTTTAATGAATGAACGCTATGCACACAGAGCGATCGGTAGTAAATACCCGAGATTAATAATACGAGAGCGGAAGAATGAGCGAAGAGACGTATGATTTAAGGGCGATGCCGCAGGTTAGAAAATAAGGAAGATC